ATCGACATACATTCTTCGGGTCTTCCTCGCCGCGTTGCGGGTTCTCCACTACCCACCAGAGGTGGCTGGCCAGATAGACCGCGCGACATTGATCGGGCTTCTTGAGCAGCTTGCTTCCGTGCAGCGCGGCTTTGGTGATGAGGGTATCGTAGTTCTCTTTCGAGAATCCCCGCGTGCCGTGCAACGCACCCGCAATGATGCATACCGCCTGGAACTGGGCCCGGGAATCGCTGATTGAGTCTTCATAGATGGTGAACGCCTGGGCAAAGAACTCGTAGCTAAACTCCTCGAAGCCCGTCTGGTCGGCCACCTCGCCGCACATCACGAACAATCGCAGCGCCAGGTCGGCGCATCCGGGGTTCACGCGCTGGTAGAGATTGTTAACACACTGGTGCATGAACCGGTAGAGTGCTGACGACTGCGACTGCCAGTTGTCGTCGTAGTGCTCGCGAGCCTTGAGTTTACGCGCCAGGCGTATCGAAGAAGTGATGAGGGCTGGTGTGGTATAGCGGATGCGCTCGTTGCCGTCGAGGTAAGCTTTTCGAGTGGCTTGGAGGAGCTAGAACATGGTTAGCGCACGCTGTCGAGAAAAGATCGAAAGCGGGACAGACCTTCAATTGAGTATCGTTGTCGTTCGATTTGATCAAATGGACCAACCGTGCAAGCCACCCTTGCTCCTCAATGGTCTCTTCGGTCTCTCCTCGTCGCTGTGACCCAGGGTATCCCATGGACTGCTGAGTGCCTTCCTTGATTAAGACTCTTAAGGCTTGCAGAACACGGTCGAGGTTTTCTATAGTGGTGATCGGGGTTCCGTTCTTGAGGAGGCTGCGAGCGATCTCGCCTGCGACGGATCGTCGCGTGGGGTAAGACTGGGTGGTTAGAAGGGGGAGATAATGAGGTAGGGCCAAAGCCGTGAAGATCGAGGCGTAAGAGCGGAGGGGTGCGGTAAGAAGTTGCAGGAGGTTTTGCTGCGTGGGAGCGGAGTGCAGATCGGCGTGATCGGTATAAGCAGCAGTCTCTGTGGTCGCGAAATCCAGGACCTGGTCAACGTATTCTAGTTGGTCGGGGTAAGTGCTGAGCGCCAGATTGGCAAGCGAAAGCAGAAGCGCCATGGTGTCTTGGATGGGCAGGCCGCGGTTCTTGATCAAGTTGACCACTTGATCGTAGAAGATGGCATACAACTTGACGTCGGCCGGGATGGCCTCTGGTGCTTTGGCGTCGCCATTGGCTGCTTTTTGCTCGCCTTCCTCCGTCGGTTCGTCTTCCTTCTGGGCCTGTTCAACGCCGTTCTCCTGACTTGCCTCTGCCTCTGCCGCAGGAGCTTCCTCCTTCGTCTCTTCAGACACCTTGAGGTTTTCGAGCAATTTAGTAACGGCCTCTTCCTCCTGCTTCCGTGCCTCGGGGTCGGCAGAAGCCTCGCGCTCGCGGGCAGCATAGCTCGACAGACGGTCCATCAGACCTATCACAATCTTCTTCAAGTCCACATGCGGGTTGAGCCGTGAAATCGCCGAAAGCAGGAGGTCGAGCGTGTGCAGATGAAACTCGTCGGGGAACACCTTCGTAATCACTACATCGATGCGGTCAGCAGGTCGCCCATGCACGCGAATAACACCAACAGCTTCGATTCCGCACCTTCAAGCAGATATTCTTGCGCCAACACATCCCGACACTGAACGACCTGTTCCAGCAGCGCCTGCAGTATCCCATTCTTGTAGCCCTCGAGATCGACCAATTGACTCAGGCGCACAACGTTGCTCCCAACCAGCAATTCCAGCTCGCGCCGTTCCTGCATGCGCTTCTCCCGCTCGCGAGACGGGCCTTGGTGCTGCAACCGCACCCACAATTTGTTCATCTCCACGAAGTTGGTCAGGACAAAGTTGATCGAGTCCTGCAGATTGCCCTCGGGGCCGTCCCCAGTGGTCGTCGGCAGGTGATCCCGCGCCTGGCCGGACAGGTAGTATCGGAGGAACAAGCCGCGGATGGGATGCTGTACGCCTCGGCTCATCTCCATCATGTCCTTCATAATCTCCTTGACGGGGGCATCCTCCACGGACATGTACACCGTCCCTACGGTGATCATGAGGTAGAGTCGCGGGATGATGTTGCCGGCATATTGCACGAGCTCGTAGAGATCCGCTAAGTGGTTGACCGGGTGGTTCTCTTTCAGGTATACGGAGAGGTGGCGCAGGGCGTCGAAGACCGCCATATACAACTCGTAGTATTGCTTGGGGCCTAGACTAGGGGTGCGGAGCTCGGAGACTAATGTAGACCTAATTCACCACAAGACGGAAACCCTGGAGTTAGCTTTGCGTGTGACGGCTGCGCGGTGCCCGGATCCCTTCATGTCCAATTGCCCTTGATTGCTGCCTGGGGGAGGTGTGGAAGCTCACCCGCATTTCAGCGCATCCATTAATTTCCCGGGAGTCTCTAGACATTTCCGCATCATTTGCGACTGCTGCCGCACTACGCCCAGTGCCTCCTCGAGGAGACGAGTCTGATCTTCAGGGGGTGCTACCGGAGTAGCCATGGTTGCTGTTGTGTGGATGGGACAGGAGGGGAGGGGGAGATTCGGGTTGGTCTCTTGAACGTCGGGGCGGTAAACACCTGGCCGGAAAGGGGGAGGGGGCGCGGAGTAAGGGTTTCAATGACGAATATCGTGGGTTCTTCGGATGCAGAGTGGTAAGAACGGATTTCCAGAAAGCTCCCAGTCCATAGATGGGAGAATCGAAGACGGTGGGAATGAGAGACGAACTGAGGGGAGGAGAAATGCGAACATGCGATCAGGACTTTGGGGGAGGCTTGCGGACTGGCGGACTTGGCTGGCCTTCGGGTTATGTAAACGAACCACCCGTTGGATTCGTACGTCACGGGGGCACGAGGCCGCTAACCGCTCTGGGTTTCATACTATACTTAACGGAATACTAAACTAGTCTTTTGTAGGAGTATTTTATAGGCTCATTGCATGTATCATCAAACATATAAATCTCAATCCATTCTATCATTCCCAATCGTAAATCAAACCATCTACTCGCCTGTGAGTGTACTACTCTACCTGATCCAACAAATTGCATATAACAGAAAAGAATTAACGCCCCAGATATGCTAACCCTCATAAAAGGCGATCGTCATGCCACTCATTTCATGACGCATAGAAGCCGGAACCAAATACCCATTATGAGGAAAAGAGGAAAAGGAAGAATGCTCGCCTGCCGTTTATCGTAGTCATCGCATCCGATCGTATCAGTCGTCGAAAAATCTTTAGGGTTGTAATGGAAAGTCAGAAGAGAGCGTCGTCTCTCAGAAGGTTAATAGTCACCCTCGGTCACGTTCCGAGCATGAACCGAGGTGCTGTTTGAGCTTCTGATAAAGTGCTTGGCAGCAGGATCGGTGGTGTTGACTGCGCGCTTGGTAGCACCAGACTGTTCAGCGGCGAGTACCAATCGAGACTCCACGGTGTCGTTGGTGCTGTGAGGGATGTGTTTAGCGTCGGTGAGAGTAGCGGCATGCTCGGGGGCAACATCCATCCGGGCTGGCTGGGTCTCATTTGCGCTTCCGGCGATGTGTGTGAGAGCTGCGCCAATCAAAGCTTTGTCGCCGTCGTGCTCCGCGTGGTGTTCATTTTCAGTGGCGTTGTGCTGGGTAAAAGCGTGAGACACGGCCTCGTTGCTTCGCTTGATCATCGCGGGGGCTACCTGGCTGGCAGGAGCTTCGGTGACGGTGGTGTTGGTCTCTGCGGCGTGCTCATGACGACGGTGGTGATTTTCTGTGCTGTTGAGTCCACGCGCCGCAACTGGTGGCTCGGAAAGGGGCGTGCCCGTTACTTGAGGACCGACACCCCAGGAAGAAAAGAAAGGTCCGAGAGCGGGCGTAGAAGAGGGATATTCAGTGACGGTGACCGTCACGGGCGGCGAGGGCGTAGCGGTGACTGTCTCGACCGTCGGCGCGGGGGTGCCAGCAACGTTGACGACCTTGTAAGGTAGTTCATGCCTGCGAGCCATGGTATCGTTTGCTTGAGACTGGAAGACCGGAGCTGCCTGAGCAGTCAGGGAGAGAGCGAAAAGCAAAGCCGAGGTATACATGTCGATGTGAAAGCGTCGGTGGATGTAGTAGACTGATGACTGTGGGAGTTGAACAAACGGTAGGTAAAGCGCAAAGATCTTTCGTGCCAATGTCCTACACTGGTACTTTCTGTATAAGTGGATTGGACTAGAAGAGAGCTAGAAGCCAAAACTCGAGGGACAGGATTCATTTATCACTTGGATGGAAGTCGTAGAAGTGCACCCCGACCCACCCAATGCCATGAAATCAAACAAAATTAGCAGCGAAGAGAAAAGAAAAAGAAAAAGAAGCAGATCCACCCGGACCCAGACAATTAGATGTTTATTCCATCATCGACGGCACGAGGCCCCAGTGGGCGGGAGACAAAAGGTGCAGGCTGGCGCATCCTCGTTGCTGTCAAAGGAGGCTGGGAATGGAGACACCACTGCAGTTGCCGGCCCAGCCCCGTGCGTTTTGGGCGATTGATATCGACGCCCGCTGGGACCCTGCACCACGCTTAATTTTAGTGCAAGGTAGATTTCTTTGATACGATATCGTCATTCAGAACATCCGATAGAATAGAGATTGCTATATGGTAGCAGGAATTGGATATTGTACGAGTACTCCAGAGTGAGTATGCGCAGTAAACCTACTCCGTACTGTGTCTGTTTTTCTTGTTTTCTTTTTCTTTTTCTTTTTCTTTTCGCGGGTGTGGCTGGGTTGAAGATCCACTCAGCTTCAGGGCACTGAGTCTCTACTTACAGCCCGATATGACGTTGCCATTCGACGGGAAGACGGGCGGTGGGCCGAGGATCTGCCATTGAAGGTTGATGGATGATCACTGCTACACCTACTCTTTCTTCTACTCCGTAGTACTTACTCTATCTATCATGACCAGCTCACCTTTACACAATTCACTATGTTGATCAGAGTATAACCTTTCTCTTGCACCGTCACACCGCCTCAATGGCTTGATTGACCTGCATTACCTTGCCGTCTCCCCAGCACAGTCTTTTTTTCAATGTTGCAGATCTTCAACGACGACGTCATGAGGATATACTGATTGATACTTCCCGTCTCGACGTGTTGATCAGAGTGAATGGTGCGCGAATTTGTCCTGTTTCTATTTCGGGTTGAGGCGGTGTCATCAGTGCAGTGAGTGCACTTGACAACCTGATACTAAACTGCTCCTTGTGCACAAGATTCGGTGTAAATGTGGGCCACTATATTCGCCACGCCTAGGCGGATGCCTTACTGGGTCTTTTGACGGTAGATGCCATTCCTGTCGGAAATGTCCTCTGCCACGTAGTTAAGGGTTCCGAGTATGCGCACTAAAGAGAGTCGATACGTATGCCCAATCCAGCTCTAAATATAGTAGTCTTAGATCGACTGGAAGAGACTCATCATATACCTTGGACTGTACAGTAGCCTCCGCCGCAAGGGAATAAGCATAAACCTACCTCTAACCCGTCTTGGCGTCAGAACTACGTCTCTGCTGCGAAGCTGATACTCAGCTTTCTAGAACATTCTCACTCCTCACCTCGAGATAGGCTGTCAAGCCTTCTTCGAAGGTCCCCACAGCGACCAGAATCTTTGCAGGCGGGTGGTAGTGTATGAATTTATCATTCGACGGACGCGAGTCCGCGAGTGCAAAGTTCTTCCGAACTTTACAAGCTAGCACATGTAGTCACAAACATCCCGCTTCCTGATAGTAATGAAGAGGTCTCTATCAGCGCTCGCAGTCCTTCCTAGCAGGAGTATTGTTCAGGAGTATCGTTGACCACGCTTTGCATTCATAGCTTGTACCTATCTAACTGCGCACTAAAGCTAGCTGCCGTGGTCTGATCGAGCCATTCGTGACTTGATCGGATCGAAGTATGGGCTGCAATCGAGGAGCAAGATCCTCCCATACACGCAACAGCAGTATGTTACGGTTCTGTGCAGTTACTGCATATAGCAGTTAGACTTCCATGCAAGATTCCGTGGGTCTTGACACGCACACTCGACATTGCAGCGCCGGGCTCTGCAGGGTTCACCGTACTGTGTCCGGCCGAGCTGGCGGTGTCCTCCTCGGACCTGACCTCGGCCCGTAGTCGGTCCAAGGCTCTTGTCATGCAAGGGGGGATATGAGATCTGATTTGTGTTGTTATTCATGGCGACACGAACAAGTTGAAGAGTCCCGCTCAACACATGGTCAAGTCCTCGACTCGGACTAAGCCACACCCCAAGCCCGCGGCGGCCCACCCTGCACACGCTTGGTTGGGGTTCCACGACAGCGCAGTGACGTGAGTTTCCTCCTCGTAGATCGTGATCATCGCCATCCCGTTGACCAACTTGCGATCGCCGATCAAATTGCGCAGCAGACTGACGCTCTCGGCGCGATATCCGTCGTAGAACCGGCTGACTCCCGTGCCATTGGTGTCGTGTTGGTGCGGCGGTCCCCGCACCCACTCGTGCTGGAACCAGTTCTGTTGCCACTGTTTCTCCTTGGAGTGCAGCACGCGCCGGAGCGGGTTTGTTGCTTGCACGGTGCCGCCGACGCAGCCGAACAGGACGCTGGGATGCCAGGTGCTGCACGGCGCCACCGTCGAGATGGGACTTGGCAGGCGGGCAACGGCGGTGGAGGTGTAGAAGCGCCGGACTGCGAGCAGGCGGGCAAAGTCGTTCTCGTCGCTCGAGAGGAAGGATTGCAGTGGCGCGCAGTACGAGAGGTTATTCGAGCCCACCCGCATGCGGTTTGTGTACACCTGGTCCTTGGGCGGGTCGATGACCGAGGTGAGCCGGGTATCGCCGTCCATGGACGTGGTGCCTATGAGATGGGGGTAAGTCGGATACGCTGACACGATGTTGAGGACCCAGGTGGAGTGGAGCGCTTGGTAGAAGTAAGGGAGGGAGTCGGAGGACGAGCTCGACGACGGCGCGATACTCCAAATCGCGACATACCCATTGGCACAGCCGACAGCGATATCGCTTGGCGAGAGCCAGGCCACGCACGTACATACCGTCGATGGTGGCTTCGCCTCGAAAACAGTAGAATGTACCTGGTCTAGGAATGTCAGTTCACCGCAAGCCAAGGAGGATCGTGCAGAGGGGCCTACAGAATTCCGCCTTTTTAGCGTTGCGGCCAATCTTCACGTCAATGACCCGCAAATAACCATCCGTCCAGATGCCCGCTAGAAGACCGAGAGACTTGCGCTCATCCTGATCGTCTTGGTCTCGCCAATCGCGAGGCATAGGACACCAGGCCAGCCGCCTCAGATCACCCCAATCTGTACATAGCGCGAGGCGCAATTGGGGCTTCGAGCTCATATCGATCTTCTTCGTCAGTGTATCAGAATCTTGAGCCTCAAACGACCATATCTGCAGGGCACAGGGATAAGGCGCCGAGGGCCTGAACGCTGGGGCGGCCTGATCCTTCAGCGGATCAGGAACCTCGGCTTTCTGGTCCGGTAGGATCGGGGCGACCACCGACAGATACTGCGTCGACCCAGTCTGATTCGGCACCCAAGCCAGACATTGAACTTTGTGCCCGAAGTTCAAGAGCCAGCCCTCGCGGATCTTTCCACTACCAGCAGCAGCCTTGGTCTTCTTCTCGCCCCACGCCTGGCCGAAATCGAGCACCTCATGCTGGCCCAGCGTAAACTCCTTCTGCTCGTCCACCGGGCCCATAAGCACAGTATGCTGCCCCCTAAACCGAGGCAGATACTTCCGACGCGCCGCCGCCTCCCCCAGCTTCTGAAGTTGTTGCCTGGCCCCGAACCGCTCCCGCGTCACAGGCGTATAATACCAGTCCCAACCATGCACCCTCTCCCTCGAGACAACCTCCGGCTCCGCCCCAAATGTCGACCCATACCCATAGTCCGCCAGCTGCCCACCGCGCTCCAGCGCCTCGCGGGTCGGAAACGTCGATTCGACCCCGCCACCCCACCGCTCGCGCGCGTAGATCATTGCCAAAAGATCGCGGTCGTCCGTCCCGAACATGAGCCGCAGATGCACCGCCTTGCCGACATGTTCGATGGGATTGAACGAGCCGCGCGAATGTGTTTCATCACCGGCCAACAACAAACTCCCATCCGGATGCCGTCGCTTAGGCGTCCGCGGGTGGGTTTTTGGCGTCGTCGTCGTCGTCGTCGCAAACGCTGCACCCGCACGCGCATTCGCGCCAGCCGGGGTGGCAGCTGCAGAAGTGGTAGTAGTAGCACCTTTGCGTGACTTTCTACGGATCGTAGCACGACCGCGGCCGCGACCACTGCCCCAGGCCTCGCTGGCGTCCGAGGCTGAGTCTTCATCGTCATCGTCGTCCGCAATCCCTCGGTCATCCTCCTCCTCCTCATCCTCATCCTCCCCAGCATCCGGCATCGCATAATCCTCATCCGAACTCCCGTCGTGAGCAGCCGTCGATGCGCGTTTGCCATTCCCGGTCTGCTTTCCCTTGCCCTTCTGCGACGATGCAGTAGCAGCAGCGGTTAAAGAACCGTCCTCCGATCCGCCCAGTTCATCATCGTCACTGACGCCCGCCGCCACGAACGGGTCTTCTATATATTTCGTCCTTGCACCAGAGGTGCGATTTGACCGGCGGGTATGGGTCATAATTTCGCCTGTAGGCTGTAACGAGAGTAGGAGTAGTTCTGCGGGGGCTTTAGTGTTTCAAAGATTCGTTGCTGAAGGAGCATTCAGTCGGGTCGGCGCATCGCGAGTTTCAGGGCCAGATGATGGCTGACTGAGGGTTCGTGCTGGTTGGTTCTGATCGCAGTGTATGTTATAGCGCGTGGGACGTCATGGCGTTTGATTATATGTCTTTGCAACAGTCGAGATGAAATGGGAGGGTCTGGAGGATAAAATATGATGGCGGAAGCTATGCTGGTTGCCTCATTGGGTTAGAGGGCTTGGCGAGAGAGCTTCGGTTTGAATCCATGGAGTATGGATAGATGAGGTTAGAGAGAACCAGAAATGAACTGGTAGTTTTCAATGGCAAAGGAAAATTACCAAAGGATGGAAATTGATTCACTTGCTATCTATTACTGTTGTGCTGGCCAGTCAACCTCTGAGGTCCCCGATCCATCAGATACTACAATCTGGACAGACAGCTCACAACGGTTGCGACCCCGCTTATTACTGGGCAAAGTGACGGCATCTTCGCCGACTCACCCTCCGTCGATAGCGGCACGATAAGTCCTCCAACCGACTCTCCGTTGCAAAACAATCTACAATAACCACTTGCTTCTCTCCATCCAACCCCAAGTTTACAACCAGACCAAAAACACACTCTATCCACCCCGCAACCATGTCCTCCAGCCCCAACCACTCACCCCCGGGCATCCTCCACGAATACGTCCGTCCACCCGTTCCCCAACTCCAAACCGCTATCTCCAGAAGCTAATGCATCGAAAAAGGCCCCCCATCTCGTCGCCTTCGAATTCACCACCCCAACCAACGACCCCAAACCCAACACCCTTCTCTTCGTTGGAGGTCTCACCGACGGCCTCCACACGGTCCCCTACGTACGCACCCTCGCCCAGAGCCTAACCCAGTCGCCCGAAACCACCTGGAGCGTCTTCAACCTCCTTCTCAGCAGCTCGTACAACGGCTTCGGCACGCAGACTCTCGACACCGACGTCACCGAAATCGCCCAATGCATCCGCTTCATCCGCACGCAGCTCCCGCACAAAGCCACGGGCAAGATCGTCCTCATGGGCCACTCAACGGGCAGCCAGGACGTCCTGCACTACCTGTACACAGCCCCGAGTGACCGGCCTCAACTCGATGGGGCGATCATGCAGGCACCCGTTTCTGACCGCGAAGCCTTGCTGGTCAAGGTTCAGGAGCAGGACGGGACCGCTGCCCAAAATGAGGTGCGAGGGGCCTACGAGCAACTCGTGCAGATGGCGCGCAATGGGCCCGCGGACTTCCTGCTGCCGATGGATCTGCTCGCCCGCGTGGGTCTCCCAGAGAAGACGCCCGTCACCGCGGAGCGGTTCTGGAGTCTGGCCAGTCCGGAGAGTCCGCAGCGGCCGAGCGCGGATGATCTGTTCAGTTCGGATCTGACTGACGAACGTCTTCGAGAGACGTTCGGGAAGGTGGCAGAGCAGAATCTGTTGAAGGGAAAGTTGATGGTTCTGTTCTCGGGGGCCGATGAGTATCTTCCTCCCTGGGTGGATGTGCCTGGGTTGATGGGAAGGTGGAAGACAGCTGCCAATGCGGGAGCACGCGAGATCTGGGATGACGAGGAGAGTGCTGCAATTGAGGGCGCAAGCCATAATGTGAGTGATGTTGGGCAGAAGGAGCTGGTGAGCAGAGTCAGTCGGTTCTTGGCGAGGACGGAGAAGCAGACCTAAGCGCTTTGGAAAGAGTGGGGGAGTGGGTTATCTGCACCGATACCATCCATTTTCAAAGGGTAGAGATACTAAAATATACATACTAGAAGGAGTAGGAAGAAAAAGGAAAAAGGGACAATCCACAACAAGACAACGGAGGGTATATTTAGATGAGAGATGGTAGGAGTCAAATGGACTGGGAAAGGCAAGAACAAAAGAAGAGGTAAGAAACGATGCCCCCAATCCCCAGACATAAACCGCCGAAGAATTTTCGTGTCTAGACCTTCAACCACAAAGTCATCACCCCCTTCAGATACTCCACGATCTCATGGCCCCCCAACTTACTCTCGCCGAACAACCGATCCACAAACGTGATTGGACACTCAGCCACCTTGAAGCCCATCGCCTTGGCGCGCACCATCATCTCCATCTGGAAACTGTACCCCTTGGACTGGGTACTGTGGATGACCTTTTCGAGGACGCTCTTCTTGTACAACCGGAAGCTGCCCGTCAGATCGCTCACGCCGGGCATGAGCATCACGTCGGCGATCAAATTGGCCGTGCGCGAGGTGAACTTGCGGAACAGATCCCACCCGTAGACGCCGCCTTTGATGTCACCGCGGGAGGCGTAGCGCGTGCCCGTGACAATGTCGGCGTCCGTCTCGCGCTGAATCTCGATCATTGTCGGGATGAACTTGGGGTGGTGGCTGAAGTCCGCGTCCATGATGATCACGTAGTTGCCCGTACAGAACTGCAGCCCGTGGATGTATGCGGTGCCCAGGCCAAGCTTGCCCGCCCGCGGCTTCAGGATGATGTGCTCCGCGCCCCAGTGCTTCTGCAGTTGCTTGGCCACCTCCAGGGTGCCGTCCGGGGAGCCGTCGTCGACGATGATGACTTCCCAGTCTAGGTTACTGTTTTCACAAGGAGGAGTCAGTTTAAGAGTGGATAAGGCAGTAGGGAGAAGGAAAGGGGCGAGGGGTCAGCTGAGACAGGCGGACATTGTCGTTCTGTCAATGCAAGACAGGTGGAAGAGAGAAAGGGGGCACAGAGATTTAGAAAGAAACGATGTAAGCGTACTTCTCGCGAAACGTCCGCTCCAACAACCAACAGATAATAGGGAGGTTCTTTCGCTCATTGTAGGTCGGCAGAATGACCGAGTACTTGTTCGTTGAGGCACCCATGGTGTTAATTGTGGGAAAATTGCCAGCAGATGGTCCGTGAGATATTGAAATATATTGTCCGTGCTCCAGAAACACGAGACAGATCAGATGGAGAGAGAAAAGGAGTGAATGTCAGCCAAGCGCTGGGAATGAGAGAGCGAAACACAGGGAGGATAAGTTAAGAGAGTTGAAAGCGCGCTGCGCGGGCTGGACTCGGCGACGAGGGACTGGCTGGCCTGGTGCGGGAGATCCGCATTCGAATCCCCAATTCAACGTGGCCAGTCCAGGAGGTCGTTTCACCTCGGTTCATGTTACCTTACATTACTGGTACTACCAGCAACTACGGAGCAATGAACTATGAGACGCTTTACTTCCAGCATCACTTCCATCAAACTTTCTCAACTGTTCAAGGTCCATACATAGGATACATAGGATACATAGGCTTCAAGGACAAATTCATCATCAAGTGCACCCGCACACACAAACTCAACTCCCACCCTATTTTTCCATCCGATTATACGAGTGATCATATCGCTGGTCAAATTCCTTATTGTGTTGCTTCACCTCATCCGATGCATTATCCCCCACCGTTCCATCGACCTCTGCGTTCGGCGAGTTCTCGCCGTCGGTAATTGTCGGTCTGGCCTTGTTGCTTGGCGTAGTAGTGCTGGTGTGACTCTTATTTTCAACGCCCGTGCCAGACTTGCTGCTGCTGCGGCTATTGCTGTCGCCGCCGCTGCTGGACTGCGGGGATTGCTTGGAGGAGCCACCGACATCGGGAGCAGGAGGACCTATTGTAACAACAACTTAGTTCAACCATTCCATTGAAATAATGTTTATATGAGCTTGACAGGACAGAAGCCACTAACCGGGATGTTCAAGGTCTCGTGTAGGCTCATTGCGGGGGTTGTTGGGTTGTTCAGCGTTCGTCTCGCCGTCGCCGCCGTAGGAACTATGAGCGTAGCCACGCCAGAAGAGACTAGGCTTGGAGGTGAGACGAGATGCTGGTCGGACGGTCAAGGGGGAGTAGCTCGCGCGAAGCGATAATCTGCTGCTGCGGAATATGGAAGTCATGATGGCGGTGTTAGGAGAGATGATTCAATATACTCAGGCAAGAGCAATGGATGGTAAGTAATCTAGATATAGATTGAGAATTCAATCACTTGACAAGGCCTCGGGGAATCCCGACTTTATTTGGCAGCAGCAGCAGCAGCAACAGCCGTAAGAATGGCTCAGTCGCCCCCCGGTAGGTCAAGTGGTGATCATCAACTACTCGAAGGGGGGGGGCAGACGATGACGTTTGCATCCGGTCATCCTCCCACAATCTCAACCATTGCGCAACCACGCACTGTTGCATCGCCCCTGGCTACTGAATAATGCTGTCACGTAAGGGAGTGACACAGACAAAATGATGAAATAGAAGTGAAATGGCTCGTAGCTAGTCCACGAAGAGATTGTCTCGGCTTCGCAGCCCGCTTGAAATCATAAGTGTAGATTCAGACCATATTACCAGAACATGTCGAAATGTTAATCAAACTCAATCAGAACATGACCCATCCTTAAGGACAGTCTTGCGCAGAGAATCAATGAAGAGGATATCCGGTCCCCGAGCAATTGTGCAGGCCCTGAACAAAGAGAGTGAACGAAAGATTCTCCTGGCTGCATTGTAATGGTTGCCCTTCCTTATACCGTTTGATCCCCTTCCCAATTTGAACGCCAAAAAAAGAAAGCCTTCAAGAAGAATCCAGAGCGATGCAAAGGCGGACGGCGATTTGTCGACCGCATTATAAGGTGAAACTAACGGCCAGTGAGCCAAATAAAACTCGACTGGAATACATGAAATGCACGCCATAATGACAAAGAAATCGGAAAATCCCTCATATCCAAGGTGAAAAGGAGGTAGGCTAACCTCGGGGGACTAATCAAACATTCGTATGCACGTAAAGAGATGAATGGAACCGGCTTCCTTGAGTGTAGTAACGCCAACGCCTTTGGTCTCGCACAAGAACAAGAGCCTCATTATTGCTGGCGGCCTGAGCGCGCCAAATCGGCCATCTTAATCGGTCAATGATACGCAGTAGCAAACGCTCTGGTACTCGGCCTCTGCGGTATATGTCTGTGTGGTGCCGGTAGCTTGGATCGTCGTTGTAGGAGTAGGCTGCACTTCCTTGATTTGAACGGTCTCCTGAGATATCGGCCCAACTGAACCGTCATCGAGCACCTGCATCTGTTGACAATAAGCATTAGGGGCACCTGGGAATTCACGTTTTTCCTCCATCTTGATCCGACGGGGATAGTCAGATACAGCGGCATCCCGCTTAGCATTTGTATTTGTGTTCCCACTTGACCCCGAGCTAGAGCCTGAACTTGAGCCAGAGCTCGCTGTTGTAGCTTGAGCGTAGCTCGACGAAGTGGCGGTTGCACTGTATTGAGCATCTTTGGTGGTCTCGTTGACATATAAGAAGAATTCAATTATAGTGCTGTTCCACCAACAAAACCAGGGTTTATCTCCCGCCTTGGCTACATCCTTGCGCACAAGCATAGTAGCCAGCAGTTCATCCTCTGACAATGAGCGTTTAGAGGACGCGTGCGTTGGAAAGGAGTCTTGAGGCACCACGACAAGTTTGTCAAACAGTGTCCAAAAGTGCAGAGCAGGTCCAAAGCTAGCGTCGTTAAGATCATATGCCATCGAGAGATTCTGTGTGGGGTTCGAGAGGACAGGCGCTTGCGCCCCATAGCTAAGACTTGACGAGTAGGTGGTATCCTCAAACGTGACCGAACGCTGGCCCTCCGAGCCTTCGACGTTGACAGGGATGTCTCCTGAATTTAAGCAGGACCACGAAGCTCGGTAATCTGACTCGGCTACGCAAAATTTGGACTGATTCTTCGGAGATGCGGGAATGACGTACTGGCCAGTAGGCAGGGGCAGCAGATTGATCGGAGTAGACGTGATCGGAGTCGCATCCATCTTGGGAGTGACGGTCTCCGTAACGATATGCGGGCCTTTTGGTTGCTTGTGTTCCTGATCCGCTGCCTTCTTTGCACCGAGTACGCCGCCGATGACACCTCCAATGCATCCTCCAACAAGCATTACCACCCCAACCAAAACAATCGTCCAGATGGGCAACCCGCAGCAGGCCTTCTTTTTGCCCTTTCTCTTCAATTTGTCTTCGAATGCCATGATTCCAGTAAGCGGAGGCTCCTCGGATTGTGAGTTGCTTCGTGCAGTCATTCGGTTCGTGGTCTCCATAGGCACATTAGGTGATGTAACCTCCGACATGAGTGGGCCCGCACGCTCATTGTGGAGGGTCTCGTCCGCTGTGATGCCAGCATCATTGACGGACGCTAATGTCCCCTCTACTTTGGGGACGGCGTTCTCAGGATAACGGGAATATGGTGGAAGTTGTTCGGTGTGTCCGTCAGGGCCGATGAGATCTCCTACGTCATCATCTGCCCGACCGGGGGGTCGTTGGTAGGCTTGATTATGACCGGGAAAGCCAAGGGGGACCATAGAATTGTCCAGCATTGGAGGTTCCATCAACGAATCGTCCATAGCGCTATCCAGGCCTTCCTCAGGGACCACATTCTGGGTGTACATTGCATACGGATGTTGCGGTCCACTGGCATCCTCCAACGGTCGATCCACGGGGCGTAAGGTTGAAGCGGTCGCAACACTCGGAGAGCGACTAACACCGACCTGCGGGTACATCGCATAAGGATGGCTGGGACCGGTTGCTCCGGTGTAGGGGCTCATAGCTCGAACAGGTATTGAGAAGCGCGAAGAGATACTTTGGCTGCGGGCTGTGGTGGAGGGGGTCGTAGACGCGACGGAATTGCGATTGGCAGAAAAGTCCAGCCCCTTCGGGGGAAGACTTGATCGGTGGGGAGTTTCATCGAACGATACCCGGGCTTCATCTCCAAAGGGGTCTTCTGTTAGATCCGCATCGACGGGGATGGTGTTATAGGTTTTCTGCTGCGATTGTTGTTGTTGTTGTTGTTGTTGGGGCAATGATCCGCGTAGGGTGCTGGAGGAATTGGTGGAGGAAGTGGATGGACGTCGGGAAGTGAAGGTGGGTTGATCGGAGTCAAGAGATTCGAGGGAGTATTCATCAGAGAAGACGTTGGGGTTTGACGAGCGAGCCGATACCGAGCGACGATGCATTGATTCGACTTCGTTCACCGGGCTAAAGCGTGGTGTGGATCGTTGAGAGGATTGTGAGAAGGAGCGAGAATGATCGGATGATAGACGCCCAGACATGGCGTTTGGACAGCCCTGCCGGGCTATCTATCTGAATTGGTCAACCTCTCAGGAGAAAATCGGGTCAGTCACCTGAGTCGACTGAAATCCGGAAAGAATGGGAAGCGCCGAAAGAGTGACGGGGGGAAGGGAGAAAGGAGAGTCCGGTCGGCGAAAGAATGATGGGGGGAGGATTGTGGTAGGATGCCCAGGTGACTGTGAAGGAAAAAGGAGAGTTTTCGAGAGATGTCCAAGGCGATAATCAAATAGAGTGGGATGGAGAGTGAGAAGGTCGTGATAGTGGTGGGTGGAAAGTGGGTGTAGGAGAGTGTAGGAGGGTGGTGGTGGTGGTGGTGGTGGTGAGAGTGGAGGTTGAATGAATGAGAGGGAGGGAGGGAATCACTAACTAGCCGTTTGGGGCGGGAGAAGGAGAAGACTACAGACGGAACGAGGGAGAGAGGGTGGTGAGAGTAAGACTACGCAGAGTTGGAGAGGGCGGCCGGGGCTGCCTGAGGAAGAAAAAGGACCGCTCCCGACCAGGCCTAGCGCCATTCTTCTTCCGGGCGAAACAGTCACCACTACTCCGTACTGTGGGTAGTGAGGGTAAAAAAGAAAAAAGAAAAAAAGGGAAAAAAAAAAAAAAGAAAAGAAAAGTGGGGTTTAAGGCCCAGTTCACTGCAAATCGAAGTTCCAAGTCGACCTTCGGTCGGGTTCTGGTCGGTTTGGTCAATTCACTTGTAGTCCACAAAAGTAAGACAAGACAGAATAGCTCGTGCAAAAGATGCAAAGATGCACAGGGCTATTTACAGAAAGCTCTAACTCTAACTACTTACACCATGCGCTCGATTACGACGATTGCTGCTATTCTCATTGAGATGGTGGTTCTATTATTATGATTTAGCATGTCTCCTGTTCACTCAGGGCTGCTGCGCCTCGCCACCGCGCCTGAAGAGTGCTACTGCTAGTTACTGCTTTTGCCTGTAACAGACTAACAACCCAACAAAGTGGACACTACCCAAGTAAGGTACAGAACACCACAACTCAAAAAGAGCTACTCGTACTGTAGTTTTGCACCTGGGGACGGTCGGTAGAACTGGCCCTAATTCAATTGATCTTCAAGACTAGCGAGCCTGGATCGCTCTGGTCACTCTCAACTTCTCAACTACCGATGTATTATTAGTTTTCTGGAAGAACTTAACAACTTGACGTGAGGGAAGATAGAAACTCGAGTCGACCAAAGTGCAACATCTCCCCCTCCAGTGTCGTCAGAGGCGCTTCCCAAGACCAACTGACAGACGCTTTTTTCTGACTCCTGGCGATCTGACTTGTCGACGGATAGAGATTCAAGTCTTCTCCCACCTCCCACTCAATAGACTTTACTTCTCGCCAAATAACCCGGTAGGATGGAACGGTCAGGGACGAGAAATCCGTCTATCATCCTCTTGGGGTAACAATCGCCTTGACTCGGACGAGGTTCAGGCGGAACAAGGGACGGTCGAAGAACCAAAGGGGTAAAGTGGGAAATGATAACACCCAAACCAGGCTATCAACCACTGTTTTCGATGGGGGGAGGAGAGGGGCAAACTAAGGCACCCTTCCACTCAGCAGCCAAACTCAGCAGCAACAGAAAGAAGCAAGCAGGTTCTTAGGCTTTTTCAGCAACAAGGGATTGGTACACAATACAGTACAAGTGGAACCACAAGAACTGCCGAAGCCGATTAGTTCGAAAGATGGTGCAGTGCCTGGCACGGAAAACTCTATCTGGCCGAATTCGGAACCGCGGGTGTGAACCCTTGATTGGCATCCAATGCTAGGATCAGCGCACATTGCATCATGACCCTCTGTCTCTCACCAAGACTGGAGAGACGCCGACCGGCCATTATATCACCGGTATGAGTGAAAACGTCCCATTGACTGGCCTGCCTGCTTGCATGTTTGATCTGAAAACAACCGAGTTTAATCTTCTGACCGACGACGCGATTGATACCTTCCACACGTGGCTCGGGCGTTCCCCTCTGGGCAGATACTACCGGCGACTCGGAGAGAGCTTGTGGCTCTGTGGGTTGTGGCTCGCTACCGTGCACGGGGTCTCAACGGGTGTGGCTTCAGGATCAGGAGACGACCCAGGGCTGGGGTCTATCGCTACCTTGTACTCAGTCAGGAACCAGTGTCTACATGCACGGATACCTTTTCTGCGGAGAGGAAAAAAGAACCATAGGGAGATGGCAGTCCAGAGTCTACTTCTTCTTCAGTACTGGTCAGACATTAACCTAGAACTGCACCAGTCTTTCCGCGAGCAAGGCATAGTCAAATAGACAAGGTTGCAACATCGAAAAAGCCTCTGTTGATCCAGAGCAGAGGCCTAGGGTGGGCTATGCTCAAAAGCAGATACCGCTTCTCCTCTGCTCCGAGCACTCAGGCCTAAACCACTTCTTCGAATGAGTCAAACGGAGGACTCTCTGATTTCGCGTATTGCGTCTCCGTGACTTGAAATCCTGCCTAGGATGTATTCAAGGGGAGATGATGTTTAATCTGAATCTACTTTAGTTACTTGGAGCTATCCAGCCAGCTCTTGCGTTAATCTCCGAGGGGAGAGGTTGGGATCAAAACTGACTTCAGGTGATTCAGATTAAGTTTGAATATGATGAAGTCCGCCTACAAGGGTGTGACTAGAGCAACAAAAGATCTGAATGTAGCTATATGATTCGTGATTCGACGATAACAGCACCTAGTGCTTGGAAGGATAACCCCTGTCAGCTACACTCCGGAGAAGACGTCGTATGCATGTTCGGGCTAAGCACTATATCTCGTTGTTTTCAAGATTATATTCTCGGTGACTGGTATCAAGTGCCAACAACTCAGATTCCAATTGTGAGAGCTTTCGTACAATGAACATCGAATGCCACGATGATCATCTTTGATGCGGCAGATTCCGGGACCAGTGCCGTGCCTACTCCGTACTTGAGGTACCTAGTGTATGCACGTCAAATTGCCCACTAAGCGGCATTGGCAATCCTATCTGCGAGTAGCAGGCACAAAAGTGTATGGCTGGAAAAGCCCGGTGTAGATTATTTGTCCTCCTATCAGACTGGTTGGCAGCCCTTCGAAGCCTTGACACACTGTGAAGGCGCACCGAGGTAACACACCAACAGTGGATCAGATGGTGGGGACTTCTGGCAAAGATTTGGCCAGTCCCGATGTACAGTTGACTCTAACCCAAGACGACTGACAACAATCCTGAGCTTAACTCTGGTACGCTTTTGACCATAGAGGAATGAGAACAATCTGACGGGCTCTAATAGGTCGAAACACAGGTGGACTGATAACGCGGCGGGATACATGTTGCGAGTCGCGACTAATCCTCGCGATGAGTAGGTATGCTCATGCATCTCCACCGGCTTCAGATACCCTTTTCCCTGAGTACCCTTAGATGGCCGCGGGGGAAGGGAGGGTATTTGACTATCGAGTGAACCTAGACGAGATCGGAATGAATGACCCGTGAGGATTTTTGGATCTTTATCATCCAAGTCACCATCATAACAGCACGTGTGGACCAAAAGATGATGATAAAATCATATATGCTTTGTTTTAGCGATCCAGATCAACCAGCATGTTTTCTGCATGGTATCGTGTGCACTGTGCAGCCTGGAGCTTGGCTGGCCTAGTAGGATGGGTGTGTGTGGATCGAACATAGGGCTGCCCCTCATGGTTTGCATCGGGACTGAACTCCCAATTCAGTTCTAGAACAGCCCACGGTAACTGCACCAAATACGTACTGGAGTTGATCCAAACCAGAGATACACAGTACGGGTACTCCGTACTCTGTAGGTACTAGATGCCAGCAGTTTCCTTTTCAGTGGCTGGACAATTTGTGATTTCTTCTAAGCCGGCAGGATCCGTCAGGACTTTTCTTCCTAGAGATTCGTTGATCGAAGAACCAAACGTTTGCTTTTGCATCATACTGGGTCCCAGAAATCCCGAACCACAAACCAAGTCCGCATTAGGTGGTTCTCTTCTTGCGCGAGCAAGTCTTGCTCCTATTCTAGACCTACCATGAGTAGTCTTCCCTCCTGCCCTCATTATCCACTCTTAATTCCCACTGCTCTTGATACTTGCATTGCGATAGATCGGAAAGATGCCATTGCTCGGTCTACGGCGTGACTCTTAGTCCGCGGGAAATTGCCTCACAAGGACCAAACATAGTAGACCTACTTGCCGCCAATTGATTGACACCTTATCACTAAAAAGGGACATGTTCAGCTATTTGAATATGCTTGGCCCTTGATATGGTCGGAAAGTCAGCATGACAGGTGCATCTGGAAACAAGACTTTTCTCCATGGAGGCCTGAAACGAGGGAGTGGGGCCGTTAGTTATCGCATCGCACTTGGTCAGCGCTTACTCCAGAATTACGGAGTAAGCTCGGGCTCTCGCCATAACAGAGACCACCTATAACGTCATGCATGCTCGGTACTCTCGATTATGCAATGGAGAGACTGAACATGCCTTCCAGCCTGCTGTGCAATCGTACCATGTACTTCCCATGAATCGTGGCCCGTCAGTTGTGTGGTACCGGGTTACTGCCTAATCCTAGCCTAGCAAGATTCGTCTGGTCACAATTCCGGACACTGACATCTGCATCTACCGTCACGGCTGTCTTTTGAGAGCTAGGATATCAGCCAATTTTACTGGCCCCTTTTGCCCCCAGCCTTCTGCTCCACTCTGAACTGCCGGTCGAACACGCAAGTACCAGGCCCATGCACGCCTGTCCAGTTCGTCCCCGGTAAGACTGGAGGCCCAGGACTGGCAGAGAATGTCAATGGCGCGTAAGAGGTGCGCGAGGCATTTCTCCCTTTCTGCTTCAACTCTGGAAGCATTCTTTGTGGCTGTACTGCGGGACGGTACGTCTTCAGCAGGAGCTTTGGCGAATGCCTTGTGCAAGTATGAGCGTGCTGAGTCCGGGGTGAATATAGGCAAAGGCTTATCCGCTTTCACCTCCTGATTTGAGCCCTGAGCTTTTCGCAAGGCCTCCGTATCAATTCCCCAAAGTGAAGGCACCTTGTTTGATTCGTCCTGAGATGCTTGCCCCAAAACGTCATCAGAGACGACAGGAGTGTCTGCATCCGGCCCTGCGCCTTTCATCGGCGGCTGTCCCTCTCTTGACTCGTAATCCCATCTCTTTAGCACTTTCACCTCTCTACCTAAAACCTTCACCACTGGCTGACCCTCTCCCCATCCTTCTGCTTCCGCGGAGGGTCCACTTTCGATGCCCAGGCTGACGGCCTTGGAGCGACTATTAGCGCTAACCACGGCCTGAGCAAGGCTGAGTCTGCTAGAGATTGGCTGCTCGGGCATTGTATATCTCAGAACACAAACAGCAAAGGCAAGCACTAATGGTGCTCGGTTTGTGAAAAGAATAATGCTCGATAACTCCTCTTCTGAGGTGGTTGTCATGGGCAGAGCAAGTGCGCATTCTTTCGTAAAAGGGCTGCTGGATTCTCCAGTATCAAACCTTTTGGTCTTCTTTGACGGAGCTCCAGTGTCATCTGCAGATGAGCCTCGCTTTTTGCACAGTCTTTTTGCGGCGTTCATGACTTGTTTTGCCACTTTATCATCCTTGAGGATGTCTTGGAGGACTTTTGGTTCTGACTTAGAGATCTGTTCGGGACTGTGCGATTATCAGATCGACCAGCATGTTGAATCAAAGTATCTCAATATATCATACGTGGTTAGGCCCGCTTTCTGCAATTCCATGATTTTACCCATCGCGGACGCAAGTGGGACTTTAGCATCCTGTGACAGGAAGCGAAGTAGAGCCTGAACCTGAGCAGCAGCCATTGTAAACAAGACGTATAGCACGATGAAATAAAAGATGAGGAGGTTGGTCTCAAGAAGTCGCAAGAAAGGTGGGAGAATAGATGCTCCGCTGAGGATAGAACATCAATGACGGCGGGCCTTTCCAAAGCATATTTCATGCCTGAGGCAACAACTTGTGAGTCTCCCGTCTCCGCTCCGATCAGCTTCCACCCGCAAGTTGAGCTCACTCCGCGCTTCCTCTTGTTGTTGTATCAACTTCCCGTGGTCTCCGCAACAAGGAACTCTGCTGCAACTGCAGCTTCGTCACCATGTCGGACGATTCGAAACCGAAAGGCTTCCCCGATATCTCAGCCAAACTGTCAGCAATTCCCAAGAAATCGCTCTTCGAACGCCAGAAAGCCGAAGCCGAAGCCAAACGAGCCCGCGAGCAAGCCGAAACTGCGGCTGTTTACGAGGACTTTGTCAAGTCATTTGAGGATGATTCGCACGGCGGACCCGGATACTCTGCTGATGGACGACCGAATCGCTTTCCCCAGAAGACCCAGGGGTTCGGCGGTGGCCCTGGGAGACGACACTTTACCAGCTCTGGTCCGCGCCTGAGCGGCCCTGGCACTCTGGGGCCCCCTCCACCGTCGCTAAGAAAGCGCAATCACGAAGGCTTCCCGCCGCCACACCGAAATCGAGACACAGCGCAGGGTATTCTAGGCTTTGATAGAACCGGTCCTGGCCCGTCGGCTGCCGCGTCTGCGTTCCGCACGTCCGACGATGAGGATGAGGCGACTGCTGATGCGAAGGAGGCGGAGAGGGCGGCGGCTAAGCCGACTCTTTATTTAGCCTCATTACCTCCGGGGACGTCCCCGTCGGTGATCAAGTCGATTATCCCGTCGGTGTTGACGGTGGACAACGTCAAGGTACTGCGTTCGACTGGTCAACAGGCTCCGACCGATCGCAAGTCGATCGCTGCTATCGTGACACTGGCAAATGAGTCTGCAGCGTCGGACATTGATAGCACAGTCAGCGCTCTCCAGAATAAGTATCTGGGTTGGGGATACTATCTGTCCATATCGAGGCATCTGTCCTCTGCGGCTATTGGTTCAACGATGCCGGTTACCGTCAGTCTGTCTTCGACCAGCTCGCTACCATTCGGGGCCAAGTCGATCCAGCCAGACTTTCCCGGACGCCTTAATCGGGCTCCCCCTCCTGGGATGCACCGCGGTGGCTTTGCGCCGCCGACATCGTATAATCCTGCCTATGGGCGCAGTGGCCCAGTGACACAGGTTGAAGTGAAAGCACCGGCCGATCTTAAGCAGCTACGATTGATACATAAGACGCTGGAGAATCTCCTTAGCTACGGCCCTGAATTCGAGGCATTGCTAATGAGTAGACCCGAGGTTCAGAGGGACGAGAAATGGGCTTGGATATGGAACGCGCGAAGCGCTGGTGGTGTCTACTATCGTTGGAAGTTATGGGAGGTTTTGACTAATAGTCGACCGACCGGGGGTCGACGGGGACGATCACAACCCCAAAGCTCATCGCTTCTCTTTGAGGGAGGTGCCAACTGGGTCCCGCCTGAGGCCCATATCAAATTCGAATACATTACTCAAATGGACGAGTTCGTGACGGACGACGATTACGATTCTTCTGACGAAGAGATGTCGGATAATGAAGATGAGAGACGGGTTGCTAGTGGAGCGCCGCAAGCGGAAGGCCCGGGAGCTGCTAACGAAGGGCTGGGGTACATGAATCCTCTTCAAAAAGCCAAGCTGACCCACCTGATCGCACGACTGCCAACCACTCATGCGAAACTACGCAAAGGAGATGTTGCTCGTGTTACTGCTTTCGCTATTGAACATGCCGGGGCAGGGGCTGAGGAGGTAGTGGAGATGATTGTTGCTAATATCATCAAACCTTATGCTTTCACTGGGGCTAATCCGGACCGTGAAGCAGAGCAGGGGCTTGCTCGTAAAGAGCAGTTCGGAGAAACAGGCAATGAAGCTGCGACCGAAGATGGACGGGCTCCCTCAAAAACCCTGGACTTATCGTCTGCGAAGTTGGTTGGTTTATATCTTGTCTCCGACATTCTCTCGTCATCTGCTACAAGTGGTGTACGCCATGCATGGCGATATAGACAGCTTTTTGAGTCAGCCCTGAAGACGCAGAAAGTCTTCGAGCATCTTGGTAGATTAGAGAAAGAGTTGGGCTGGGGCAGGTTAAAGGCCGAAAAGTGGAAGCGCAGCGTTGGCTCGCTGCTTAACTTATGGGAGGGTTGGTGCGTGTTCCCGCAATCGAGCCAGGAGCATTTCTTCCAGATCTTCGAGAAACCACCCCTCACGGAAGAAGAGCTACGAGAAGAGAGAGAAAAGGCCGAAGCCGAACGAGCTGCGAGCGCGTTCTCCAAGAACAAGAACCGCTGGAAGGCAGTCGACGAGGATTCAGCTTCTGGAAAGTTCGATCCCGGTCGCGCTGCGGCAGCCGAACCAGATCGCATGGACATTGATCAGGTTCAACTTGACTCTGCAGGGCTACTGAATATGGACGAAGTTTCAATGAGCGATATTGACGGCGAGCCAATGGAGGACAGTGACCTGGATGTATCGGATGGTGAGCCATTGGAGGAAGACCCTCTTGAGGAGGAGAGCGAGTCGAACAACCAGCCGCCTGAGCAAGTTGCTGAAGCGGTAGCCCAAACTAAGCCTCAGCCTCCAGTGCGCAAACCGCGGCCTAAAGCAGAGGACATGTTCGCAGACTCGGACTCAGAGTGATTTTAGCATCTCAACAGGGTCGCGAATTACCATCAGTAACCCACATACTTCATAAGAGTTCAGCGAGCGTGTATGACACGATTTGACATGGCATTATTCGACTGAGTACTGGACTGTACAGTACATACGGGGGTAATCAATCAATGTAGCACGAAGTCCCCGATGGATGCCTGAAACATGTTAAGGCAGAAATATCCCGAATGGGTAAGGAGTGGAAGGCTGGCCCCACAAACCCCTCGGGATGGAAAGACTTTCGGTGTTGATATCAACCTCGTCCTCATCTCTTCCTCTCGGTCCTATTCTATTGTCTCCTCAACTCAGATCTTTATTTCTCAACGTCTCTCTTGCTTTCGCAGGCTCACGATCATCAAAATGGGTAAGTAATTCATCTCTCTTCTCCCTGGGCAATTCTTGTCTCCTGCTCATTTCCTGTCAATGTTTTGTTGCCCCTCCCTGAGGCTCTCCCGGGAGAACCCCTCCATACCCGGCTGCCAATTTGCACCTAAAATACCAGCAAAGAGACTAATGTGATGCGCAATCAATGTCTAGCTTTCCAAAACATTGCCGGTATGTCGCGACCCGCTCACCTATTGTCGCGAATTTCAGCCCTGCTGTGACGCAACCGATGAACCTGCAGTCTAACTGCGGCCCACTAGAGCAATTTGTCCAGTTCTACTACAACACCTTTGACGCCGACCGTTCAAACCTGGCTGGACTCTACGTATGTCGCGCATATCACGCTGTTGACATGCCACGACTAACGCATAAACTGTGAATCCATAGCGTGACCAGTCTATGCTTACCTTCGAGACCAGCTCCGTTCAGGGTGTTGGCAGCATCGTTGAGAAGCTGACTGTGAGTTCCCTTGAACAGACAACTCATTACAAATGGAGAAATCATCTGGTTGACTAAACACGCCATGTGATTTGTCTCGTTCCACAGAGCCTCCCCTTCCAGAAGGTCGTTCACAGAGTCTCCACCCTCGACGCCCAGCCTTCCAGCAATGAGGGTAGCATCCTTGTCATGGTCACCGGCGCTCTTCTGGTATAGTCATCCCCGAGCTTCAGCATGGCTAGATGCCATGAATGCAGCCCCAGTGGAACGGCTGGACCCGCTAACCACTCTGACTCTTGAACAGGTCGATGAGGAGCAGAACCCCATGAACTACACTCAGAGCTTCAACCTCTGCCCCGACGGCTCTGGCAGCTACTATGTCCAGAACGACATCTTCCGCCTGATCTACAACGCATAAATGGCCTGTCATTTGTATATACAAAGCGTTGCGAAGGAAAGAGGAATAGCGGGTCCGGCTACGGCTTGCGGGCGATGATTTATTTTTCCTTCTTTCTCACAGAGAGAAGGAACCGGTCATAGCCGGCAGTTATCCCTTTTTGAAACGAAGATAATGAATCAAAGTCAACTTTCAATGTCGATTCAGAGAGCAAGAGGGGGTTTTTGGGGCCTCATCTTGATTGTGTCATCCGCCACCAGGTCAATCGACCAATCTATCTGGGTTTAGCGCGGTCATGCCGAGAGAAATGCCCTCTCCTCCTCTCTGCCTCGCTGCGAGAAGCTTTCCTGCTAGACTTGCTATCATCCCTTGTTTTTGCTTGCATCAGCGAACGCTTTGATCGATAGTGTATGGGCACATGTAGGACACGGTATTTCTTCTAGGTTATGCATGGCATTTGCTATACCTGTCCTCTGCTCCACTGTTCTTGTCCAGTGCGTGGTTAAATCAAAGTAAGATAGCTAGGTAGGATGTCCATCAGCACCCTTCCGTCCGTTTTTCACAAAGTCAAAACTTGGAAGATCAACTCCTCAGCGCCAATGGAAAGTTGGAGGTAACGCCGACGGTAGCGTCACGCAATGCGATTCACTCTGTCTAAGCTACAAGTTCTCGCCACATGGTAAACACCAGACATTCTACACAGTATTTTTCGGACTCATGTAAGCTATCCCCCGCCCGATATAAGATGAGCGTATATGCACGAACGCCATTCAGCACAGACAATTACAGTAGCCTTTAAAAAAAGCCCTTGGAGCATGGTGTTGACCCAGAGATCTTATATATCCTTGATTTCTAAACTGTGTCCAAAGTGTCGAGTTATACCAAGAGATGAGCTGAGATGAGAAGATAGAGGGATGAAGGAGAGAGAAAGAGAGACGCACTCGCTCCTGCGAAGGTTCTACCTTACCTTCCCAGAAGCGGCGTTTCTTCAGATGGCTGATCCCGCGCCTGACCCTCCTCTTCGTCTTCAGCTGCAGCTGCAGCTGCCACACCACGGCTCGATACCCCGTCAGTCGCGGGGTCCTTGGTGACAGCATCGCCGTCCTCGTCATGGCTGTGTCCCTTTTCGGGACCGAGGAACTCGAACCATACGCCCAGGCCTAGCAAGGTTCCCTGCAGACACGCCGTCACGATCAACACCCCCCAGGTACTCCATCCGGCGCGACCCAGCCGCGCCGCCAGACTCCCCGCCCACACGAGACTGCCTGGCGTCTGAATGCACATCATGGGAATGCTGAGGCTGCCGACGCAGCGCAGGCGCACCGTGGTATAGATCTGGGGGAAGTACTGGACCGAGGCGAGGAGGGCGGCGAGTACACCGCAGAAGTTGGACCAGGATTGCAGGGCCTCGGGCCGGCGGAGCCCGACGGCCAGGGTGGTGATGAGCATGACGAGCGCGTGCAGGATGCAGATCCCCGCGACGGTCAGGGCGGTGCGGTAGGTTGGGGTGTCTGGTCGGTGGCTGTGGTGCTGGTTATGGTGGCGGGGGAAGTAGAGTACGAAAAGAAAGAGGCTGTTATTTTTGGATTTGTCGGTTAGTCGATTAGGTCGTGGAAAGGAGGGAAAAGAGGGCTTCGGTTTTAGCTGGTTGGCTTTACTCACATCAGGAAGAAACAGAGGCATTGCGTTCCGACCTGGAGAATCCCTAGAAGGGCGGAGAAACAACCGAGTCCGCTGATCTGCTTGCAGCACGACATGTCGTGGAGACTCTGTTGTTGCGAGACGACATTGGCGAGGGCGGATGAGCCGGAGGTCGTGCCTAGGAGGACGAAGTAGGGGGATATTCCAAAGGAGGATCTGAGGGAGATGATGCGGATGTGTTGGGGGAGGTAGGACAGGAGGATGCCAAAGACGATTAGACTGGGTGGCTTTGGGTCAGTTTGAGTTCTTGTTGCTGGGGTGCAGGGAGGGAACGTACATAGACAGGATGAAGTTCTTGTAGTCGGGGGAGTCCAGCTGCCCGCATTGTAGGTTGAGTGAGCTCATCTTGGTGTGAGGTGATGAATCTAGAATTGGGTTGTGTACTAGGGAGAGGACGAAAGACTGGAGCTAGACAGCGATGAGCGGTCTATGAGCCCGACGCATAGAAGCAGGGAGACAGAATTCTGAGATTCTCAAGCCGAATGTGTCGATCCAGCGCACACATGTAGGGGAACAAACAAGCCAGTGAAAGATGAGTTGTCACTGGTGGATTGCCTCAAGCAGTAGTAGACAGTACCTCTAAGAGAAGTTAGTAGAGACGTCGGACTTATGCTTCAATGCTTCCCTTATCGGTCTCCGCATCCTATCCCAAAGCAGCTAGTGGGAGATCATGTGCCTTGCATTGCAAGTACGAAGTACGGATAATACGAAGTAGATTCAATAAGAATAACACAACCATCGAAGGATCCAGATACTATCATTTACAGGTCATTCTTTCATTGCTGACCCCCGGACTCAAAGAATGCAAACAGCCGAAGGCGCGCCCAGACGCCTCTGCCGACCGACCATGGGCCACCCATTCATCGATGACGCCAGCCGTGGATTGAGGGACAGCAACAGCAACCACATCAATACGTCACTCGGCGATCATCTCAGCGCCGCCTCCCTGATTCCATCCACAGCTCTTTCTTTCTCGCGAGACAATAAATATTTCCTCATCCCTGGTCCTTATTTCTTCCCAATCTCCTCCCATCAACAATCACCGTTATCATTAACGACAGTAAGTGGCTCACTCATCAACGAAAGCTGGAGAGAGGAAACGAGACGAAGGCAGCGATAAGCTAATCTCACACGTCTCTCATCGATAAGACTGATACGGCTATAATCTCGAAAATACCTACCATTTAGCCATAATGAAGCTTCATTTGGCTTTTTGCCTAGTCTTTGTACTGGCAACCGCCGAAGCCGTTGGTGCTTCAAGCTGGTTTAGCAAGGCTGGTATGTTCGAGTCGAACTTCCTGCACCATTCACTCGCTAATACATCTCGGTAGTATACAACAAGTGGCACGAAACTGAGTTGGAAAGATGGCTTGCCGACCACGGTACGTTAGCCCTCTTAGCTTTCTGAGGAGTTCAATTCTGACGATACTTCCAGACATTCCGTATCCCTCGCCGGCTGATCGCAAGGATCTCGAGTCCTTGGTGAAGACAAACTGGGATGCTAAGGTTCAGAAGCCGCTGGGACAAACTGCCGAACACTCTCAGGATCACTGGCACAACGCCAAGGAATGGCTCTTTGACACGTATGTAAAGTGTGACACCACATCCCTGGCCTTGTCACTGACATTCATCCAGCTGGTCGGACTCTCAGCTCAAGGCCTTCCTTGACCGTCATGGCATTCCTGCTCCTCAGCCTCGCAAGCGTGATACTCTTCTTAAGACTGTCCGCGAAAACTACGAAACCGTTGCTCAGAAGCTCGGTGAAGCTGTCTCCTACCCTGGTAACTGGGTTTATTCTCAATGGTCTGAATCCGACCTGAAGGAGTGGCTTGATGAGCGGGGCTGGCCTGTTCCCCAGCCCTCCACTCGCGACCGGCTCATCGCTACTGTTCGTCGTAACGCTAGACTTGCAGGACTGCAGGCTAAGGCCATCGCTGCTTCCGCCTCTGCTTCCGCAGACAAGGCTCAGGCTACCTTGAGCGAGGCTTTGTTCAATGCTTGGTCTGACTCCGAACTGAAGAAGTTCCTCGATGAGCATGGAGTGAAGGTTCCTCAGGGATCCAAGCGCAATGAGCTCGTGGCTCTGGCAAGAAAGCACCGTGCCTCCCTGGTCAGCCAGGCCTCGACTGCTGCTTCAACCGCTTCTGCAAGCCTCTCCTCCACGGCTAGCGAAGTCATCGGCGCCGCCACCACCAAGGCTGGCAACGAGTACGCCCGTGCAACCGATGCCGCTCAATACAAGGGTCAGCAGGCCTTTGACACTCTGATCGAATCTTGGTCCGATTCTCGTCTTAAGGCCTACCTTGATGCCCGCGGTGTTCCCGTGCCTCAGAACGGTAAGCGCGATGAGCTCCTGGCACGGGTCCGCCTCCACTCCCACAAGGCTGCCAATGGCTGGAATGCCTGGACTTTTGACACTTGGGACACCGACCACCTGAAGAAGTACCTGGCTTCTATGAATGCCAAGGCCGCCCACCGTGCCGACATCACCCGTGATGAGCTGGTCAAGCAGGCACAGGACACGTACGCCCAGGCCTCCAAGGCTGGCGGCGACCAGCTGGCGTCTGCGACCGCCTACATGGCTCAAGCTACCGACGTTGCCAAGGGCTCTGCCTTTGACTCTTGGTCTCACTCCGATCTCAAGGCTTATCTTGACTCTTATGGCATTCCCGTCTACCAGGGCTCCAGCATCAACGAACTCAAGGCCGCGGCCCGCCGCAATGCCGAGTATTTCAGATACGGAACCTCAAGCCCTCAGGGTACGATCTTTGCCAAGCTCCAAGAAAAGCTTTCGGATGTTTCCCAGTGGGTTTGGGAGCAGGTGAAGGTCGGAGCCGCCAGTGGCAGAGCCCACGGCCAGGAAGCTGCTGAAAAGGCTTCTGAGGTTGCGAAGGAGCAGGCCAAGACACAGGGCTTTAAGGCCGCCGACAAAATAAAGACCAAGGGCGCTGAGGCTTCTGCAAGCCTGCGCAAGGAGTTGTAGAATGTGATCTTTTGCGATCTGTTTGTGGTTTACAAAGCTTTGTTTAGGGTTTGGCGGGTGCTGGTGGGACATGATCTTATGACTTAACGTAATCGTTATTTATCTGCTGCCAAAATCGTATCGAAAATACTTTTCTACTTGTTTCTTACCAACGCTTTTCTTCGTTCACGATAAACGAAGATTTTATCGAAGATGACCTGAAAAGAAAAATTCGCCGAGTAAACGAGACAGTTTAGAATGACCATAAAATCATAACTCATCCAGCCAAGTAGTGCCAACACCTTATTCTCCACACGACTCTTGAAACCGCCTAGAATTTTCAACTTCAGTCTTCCGTCCGCAGTAGCCGCCATAGGTTGTCTTCCTCTCCCAGAGATCCCTGGCCCTCTCAAACTACTATTCCATTCCCACGCATCCTTGACTCAGGCACCCTCCTCTCCCTCAGCCACCAGTTTCCCCACAACCAGATACTTCTCTGAGAACCGCTCCTCCCACGACTGCAGATTCTCTAGCTGCTCCGCATCCAGATCCTCCAGCTTATCCAGCGGACCCTTCAGATCCTTGGTCAACATCTCCGCATCGAAGCTCTGGCACGCGAGACCCCGGGAAGCGTCCCGGCCGGCGAAGTTCTCGTAGGGTCCACCCTATAATTTTGGTTTTTTTCACGAACTGATTAGCTCATCCGAGCGGAAACGAAGGGCAGGCCTAGGCGAGGGGGAGGGAATGTTCTTCAGGGGATGTAACTTACGGGTCCATAGAAGTTACGACCGGGCGTCACGTCGAAGACCCGTCCGCGCACGGCTAGGTAGACAGGTTGATCGCCGGTGCCGTTGTAAGGGAGGAGGGTAGTCGGGGTGAAGGTGCGGAAGACGACGGGTGGGGGCGCCTTGGGGAGGGAGACGGGGGCTTTAGGACGGAGTTGGAGGTAGACGAGGATGATGAAGAGGGTGAGAAGAATGAGGTTGATGGGGGAGGCGATTGTCATTCTGATTGTTTGGGGAGGGATGTTAGTAGGTAGGTAGTTTAGTTGGTCTGGGGAGTGTCAGCTTCGAAGCTCCAGCTGGGGGTTACTGACACTTCGGCGGGTGGGCTAGTTGCCCCGTCTACTTAAGAATTTAGTGCTTGTTTGATGAATATGGGGACTTAGGGGTTAGAGGAGCTTACCTGTGCTGGACATTTCGATAGTAGTTGTGGTGTTGGGTTGAAGGGGAGAATGTCACTTGGGTACTTATCGAGGGATGAATGGGATTGTTGAGTGGAGCTGGGATGGATTAATGGCCGAGGATGACGGTCGGGACGGTGTATGACGGCAATTACAGTGATGGCAGAAGCTGAAGCCTCTAGCCAATCAAAGTCATATCTTAGTGTGCGGAGAACCAAGCCGGAGCCACGGGCTGCTATTCGTGAAGCCAAAGGCGGTAGATGCGGAAGCGCGATTCGGTGCCGTTGGATCGTGCCTTGGGATGATTCCCGCAGATTCGATCACTTCCAATCTTGGAGGTATTTAGTAGGACTACTACAGTATCTTCTTGTTCGTACTAATGTGGTTATGAATGGCTGTGAGAGGATCTTCGTTCCGCACAAGATGAGCTGATCGTTTCTATAATATACGGAGTAAAGCTTCAATGGCACGCGAACAAGCCTATTCTCTGCAGCGATCCGCATTCCTGAGATTGCAACGGAGTTCGAAATGCGCGCGAGTCTCGACCCTCCGCGAGCTCTGAGCTCCTATAATTAAACCAATCTATTCTGAAACATCCCTCTCGTCGCTTTGCCAATTTCCCACTGCTGTCAGTCCACTAGTTCGTCAGTTATTCTTGGGCTAGCTCCCGCAATCCTCACACGGTCGACCCGGCTTGGGTGGCATACCAATGCACGAGGGGCAAGTCAGTAACCTCCGCGGCTCTCCCAAAGCGGTCTTGTTTTTGTTACTGCCTTGTGTGTTGCTCCGCTGGCTGTTCGTCGTTCTCTTCTCTTCCAATCCTTTACCCACTTCTCATTGCTTTTGTCCCTCTTTCTTGTAATCTCTTTCATTTATTTTAGTGCCTGGTTGCGCGCACTCATTTTCTTCTAGATTGGATTATCTATCTAAAAATCTCTCTTTACCTTCCTTTGTCTTCTACTCTCCGTTGTGGTGGACTGATTCTTTTGTGAATGACGTGCCGGCACGCCTGTCGCATCACTTAATAAACCTGAACTTAACTGCCTGAACCTTGGTCACATTGCTTATTACATCTTACTCAACCGTTCCACTCTAACCACCGACATACATACATCGATCTTCACGTTTTCATCTGTTCAAATCGGTTGAATTAATTGCTCAGCAGCCCGACGTTGGCCCAGAGTGGCCTTATCGAATACCGAGCCAAAGATTATAGTCCTCGCTCGCACCGTTGACAGGAACGTGACAAGCAAACTGGTTGATTCCCGAGCTACAGCATCCGCCTTGAGGGTTTGCAGTCAGAATGTGGGGGAAGAATCCTTTTCATCGATCGCGGAAGCCGGTCATCGGAAATCCCACCTTGATCGACAAGACGCTGGACGATACTGTTTATCAATCCTGGTCCCGTGCCCCCGGCTCTCAGAGCACCGATAAACGTTCCCTGGCTTCTCGAGGGTGAGTAGAAGCAGTTGAGCCGCAGTCGCATCCCGTTTCCTAAAGTATACTTTGCTTGCTAACCCGTTCTAGCAACCAAGCGAACTCGCTCGTTCCTACTCAACACCCGTACTCAGATCGCAGGGCCGTTTCTTCATCCAAAGCCCCAAGCATCGCTCCCAGCATCGCTTCTGACGATCTATTTGATCATCGCTCGGTCAGCTTAACGGATCTGCCTCTCCAGACAGGCAGCCTCGGCCACGATCTCAGTCGGCCCAGCAGTGTTGACATCTCCCCTCCCGACTCACCCATCTCCCTGAGCCGACCACCACTTAGTCGCGGAAGCTCCCGTGTCTCCCCCATAGAGGACGACTCCAAGCCGGATCTTGGCATCAACTCAATGGATAAGAAGGAAACCTCCAAATTCAACAGTCATCTGCCAGTGCGCACAGCTGCTGCTCGATCGGCCGACTGTTCACCCGCAACAAACCCGTCCTCGAAGGGATACGCAGCCAGGCAGGACAACTTTTCGAGAGGTTCGACGTCAAGCCATTCTGGCGGGTTTGGACAACAAATCTCCGGCAGTGTCTCATTCCGGACCGATATTGCCACGCCTCCGTCATCTAATGGTTCAACTGGTCTTGGATGGGGCACGGAAAGTGCCCGGAAACCGCCCTCGGAGCCACGCATGCGCGAGCCTTGGAAGGGACCCAGTGGACGATCGCCAATAGTGAATCCTATCCAAGAGCGGCCCAGAGGGAACACGATCCGTAGCTATGACCAAATGAGAGCACGCAATGGCTCAGCCTCCGACTTGGCAGCGTGTGGTATTATTCCTACTGTGGTGACCACAATTACGGCCGGGGATCCTCGACCAACGGACAGACATCATGGCACAAGCAGGAGCAACCCCCGTACTAGGACACCTGAAGCCCCCACTCCGACTATTCGTAGCAGCAACCGCGCACCACCTCGGGTTGAGCTCCCAGAACCGGAAGCGGACTGGGAATCCGCGTTGATGGACCTCAAATTGACCACCCACGAAATGGTTGAAGAACCTACAAGTCGCTTCAGCGCAACCACTTACGAACCTACAGAGATAGGCAGCTCGATAGGGAGCAGGCGCAACAGTATTGATACCGTTGCTGATACCGCATCTGTGTCCACGGAGTGTCAAATGTCCATCATGTCTCGAAGCAGACCAGTACCGAGCATAGTTGCTCCCGGGAAGAAGCCGACTAGGAAGCCCACACCTTCTCAAACCGCTGTGGAGGCGGAGACTGCCAAGGAATCCCCCACGATCACTCCGCAGCAACAGAACCAAAACCGTATCGAAGCGCTCGAAGCCCGCAAGGAGACCCTCGCTCGTCGCAAAGCAAATATCAACACGATCATCTATGAGTTGACTCAAGTGATTCAGCCGAGCTCTGTCGCCTACGACATGGCCGCCAGGGATGAGGTGAAGAAAACCGTTGCCAGTCTTGAAAGCGAACTTGCTGAAATCAGGAGGGAGGAGCATGAGATTGGCGTGAAGTTGCTCAAGGCTTGGAAGAAGCGCGATGAGCTTGACTGTTATGGTGGAGGCTCTGGCCTTTGGGTCAGTCGAGTAACCAGTTGAAGGTTGATTGAACCATTCGTTTTCCTTGCATCCTCATTTGCGCAAAAGAGCGCGTTGGGAATTCTTTCACTGTGAGCTCCATTCTTCGATCTACTCTCTTTACGACTGTGCCAATTGGGCTAGGTTTGTTGATTGCATGATGCCTTTCAGCGTTTCGTTTACCATTCGGCAGCATACAGCGGGTTTACTTCTACTTCTTTCATTCTGGCAAAGGCTGGTAGTCGGTCTTTGTTTAATCTGTGCGATGCGCGATGATACCCTGTTTGCTTGTTGGGAGATGCGAATTTCAGTCTGGGGCTCCGAGGCAGGTTTTCGTCGAAGTATTTCTGGATCTTCAAGGGACTGATCACACTTCGAAGTAATGTAGCAGTGAAATTTATCAGTGGGTGAAGAATGTGCGCTTAGTGTTGTAAATGCATCACGTAAAGTTGCTCAAATAGAATAGCGCGGAAGGCCAAGCGACTCCATCATTCTGCGCTTTTGGGTCATGGCTCGTGGTATAACATGAATGAATGCTCTTAATGCTCCGCGAATAATTTATTTCTTGCCAGACTTCTTGATACCCTGGGAGCCGGTGTTCAGGGGGCCCTTGCCCTTGGCCTTGGCCATCATCTCCTGCTTGGCCTTGGCATCTGCATGTGTGCAAAAGTTCATTAGTGACATCCTCACCCCAATCATATATATATGCAGACAGCTGCTAAAGAAGTAAACATATAGAACATACCGGCTCTCTGCTTCTCCTTGAAAGCGAGATCATCCTCATCGAGCTCCTTGCTTGCCTTCTTGGCCTGCTTGAGGGGCTTGACCTTGCCACCTAAACAAACGATCGAGTTAGGAACGGAAAGTAGGGTCGAAACGATGTAGAAGGCGCATACCTTCTCTGCTTTGGCCACCCATTGTGTGATATTGGTCTTGGTGATGGTTATAAGGAAAGGATATTGAGCGACAATGAATGCGTGTTGCGCAAAGAGGAGAAGAGGGGAAACGAAGGCGCAAAAAATCGTTGTCTTATCAGCGATTGTCCCGCAGGGAGCCGCTAATCTGGATCTAGTTAGGCGGGAAATCTCTCCCCATCCCTCACCGCCCTGGCACCAGCTCATCTCACCAACCTGCTTTCCCCCATCAGCCCCCATCAACTGCATTGACCTCATTTCTATTATCACCCCCAGCTCAGTCTCTTCGCTCAGCTACCCACCCTGTCGACATTCCAAATCAACCCCCGCGCGACTCTTTCTCTGGAACTGGGAGATAGCGATCCCCTCAATCTACACACACTGTCTTATGCTTGCTTAAAATTGGCAAGGGCCCGTGGCATTCTCAGCTGGTTGGACTTTCTCAATATATCCTCCCACGTTGATCGCGTCATCCAAACCATTCTTGGCTAACCGGAAGTCCTTCTTCCCTCTTCTCTGAAGCTGCGCGAAAGGCCGATTGTCTATTTTAGTCACACTTCGTTGAGAGAGCAGAAATCTCTTGGCAGACGCAAGATGGCATCACTCAGGTCGAGGTCTCCATCGATCCCTTCTGAGGGTGAGATCATCGAATCAGGTTCAGAGACGAAGGCAACTACAGCGCAACTTCCTCTTAATGGCAACCGTGTTGACCGTCCCACCAGAGCTAGTTCACCCGCCCCTAGATCTCCAGCTTCGTTGAGCAGATCGCCCCGCCACCGGAGGTCGAGGACCAGGACCAGATCGCCCTCCCGTACTCGTTCCCGCTCCCCTTACCGCGATCACAGGGGCTACAAACGTCGCCGGGACGATGACTATGATCGTGACTATGATTATGACGACAGACAATACCGATACGAGTCCTCCCGCCGCGGCGGTCCCCGATACGACGACAGCCGTTACACGGGTCGCGGCGGTCAATCGCACCGACGCGCCCGGCCCTACTATGACTACGATCGGGAAGAAAACTTCGGCCAGGGCCTCCGGTATAGCGACGAGTCGGACCGGCGCAGGGAGAAACGCGCCCGCACCCGCAGCCGCTCGCCGTTCCGCGAAGTCCGGAAACCAAAGCAATACTCCGGGGATGAGTGGGAAACCCAGAGAGGTGATAGCGTCGCATCTCGCGATCATAGAAGGAAGGCTTCTATTGAACAGTTAGTGAGCGAGCGGGGGAATTTTCCAGTCGTCGCTCGGGATTTAAAATCACATGCTGAAACTCAAAAACCTCAGGTGCAGCAAGCTATCAAAACTCCTAGTGTTCGCTTTGAAGGGTATGCCTATAGATTTAGCTTTCGTTGTGGAGAAATATACTTACAGTTAGGCAGTGTGAACGATGCACAAATGGCTGAGGCTCCGGAGGAGCAGCAGCCGCCTGCGGAACCTCTCGACGAAGCAGCCCAATTAGAAGCACGACGCAAACGGCGTGAAGCTATCCGCGCGAAATATCGTACTCAAGCTCCGCCGTTGCGTCTGCAGGCCCTCCAGATGGGCGATGGTATGGATTCAACGACACCAAGCGCCGACACGGCCGCTTCGGTTGCATCGAACGGCACTCCTTCCGGTAAGTCAAATCATCACTGCCGCAAGCTTTAATCATCTGACCCTCTATAGATGCCGGGCATTCGGCTCCTCAGACGCCTAATGAGATTTCAGATCCATTCCCTGCTGACTTCAAGGTTGACAAGGACAATGGTTCGCTTCATAATGATGCACCTGTAGATGGTGCTGACAAAGATGAAGTTTCCGCAGCAGACTACGATCCTACGATGGATATGAGAGCCGAAAAGGAAAAGCACGACACCCGCAGCTCAACTGAGGATGTCTCCGCGGCAGCCTATGATGAGACACAAACGACCAAGCAGGACATCTTACTCCCTGACGCAGACCATCCTCGGGCCCAACCCAAGGCGAAGGATCCTTACGATATGTTTGCAGAAGACGATGATGACGACATGTTCGCCGAAGATACGCAGGACACCGCGCAGCCTACACACGCCTCGGCCATGTCCGCCATCCCGCAGCCCAAAGAGCTGGATGTCAGTATGCTGGACAACTGGGACGATCCAGAGGGCTACTACAACGTGCGGCTTGGTGAGCTGATCAACGGGCGATATCATGTGCAGCAGAATCTGGGCAAGGGTATGTTTTCATCTGTGGTGCGTGCAACCGATTCGAAGACTGGGGGTCTGGTTGCAATCAAGATTATCCGACAGAATGATACCATGCGGAAAGCGGGCATGAAGGAAATCGGAATCTTGGAGCAGCTTCGCGAGGCAGATCCTGAAGACAAGAAACACGTCATCAGATTCGAGCGGCATTTCGAACACAAGGGCCATTTGTGTATGGTATTTGAAAACCTAGGCATGAATCTGCGCGAGCTCGTGAACAAGAAGGGTCGTGACACTGGGCTGAACCTTGCCGCCATCCGATTGTATGCGCAGCAAATTTTCTTGGGACTCAGCTTGTTTCGGAAGTGCAACATTCTTCACGCCGATCTGAAGCCCGACAATCTTCTGGTCAACGAGCACTACAACGTTCTCAAGGTCTGTGACCTGGGGTCGGCCTCCCCTGCGACGGAAAACGAGATAACGCCATACTTGGTCAGTCGGTTCTACCGGGCGCCGGAGATCATCCTGGGGATTCCGTACGATCACGCCATCGATGTGTGGTCGATTGGATGCACACTATTCGAGATCGCTACGGGCAAGATCCTTTTCACGGGGCGGAACAACAATCAGATGCTCCGGTCAATCATGGAATGTCGTGGCAAATATCCCCCGAAGCTGTTACGGCGCGGGTCGCTGACGCACATGCACTTTGATGAGATGTTGAATTTCCATAGCCAGGAGGAAGACAAGGTCACGCGTCGTCCGGTGGTACGGGTGGTGGATTTCAAGAAGCCGACGCGCGATCTGCGGACACGGTTGATGGGCAAGGGGACCCGTGGGATGACGGAGAGTGAGACAAAGGAGCTGACGTTGTTCTTGGACTTGCTGGAGCGTTGTCTCAACCTCAATCCAGAGAAACGATGCACGCCGGCGGAGGCCTTGCGGCATCCGTTCATCTCACGACCGAAGGTGTAGGTGGACGGTACGGGATCGGAGATGTTTGTACAAATTATGTCATCGTGGTACACTGCAGTACATATTTAGCAGTAATATCCCCAAGGTCTTAACCATGGTCTCTTTATGATTGATCAGCCTTGTGTGTAAAGTTTCAACATAGGCAGAAGTAAGGTAGATGATGACTCAATGGCCGTTTTCATCCAGTCCAGTGCCACCGGTGTATATTTAGAGTATGAGTACGGACGGAGTAGTCTTTCAGCGGCGCAGCAGCCACGCAACTGCGGGGGAGAGAGCCTGGGGGGTGATGGTGGTGGTGGCAACGCAACAGGTAACGAGGCACGGGAAAAAGAGGCTGGGGCTGGGCTGGGCTGGGCGGAGGGGCGAGGAGTGGAGGGGGGCTGTGCGTGTGGCAAGCCACTAGCCAGTAAGTAGCCTAAGTTCCCCCCGCTACAGTACCACTATCATCATTATCATCAACATCATCATCATCACTGTTGATTCTTTGGATTTATTTGGAAAAGGCTGGAATTCACCCGAGAGGGTGTCAACTTACAGCATGGGTACTGTGGAAGTGACCTATTGTTAGCAGTAATCTTGATGGTTTTCTAATCCTTTCAGTCCATCCTGACACCGGACTTTATTGCTTCTATCGCAAAACCTACACGAGAATTATAACATATACTATTCCGTCCATTCCACCGGACTGTAGTAGGAAAAGGTTGCAGATGCAGGTGGAAGGGTAGAAGCTGGAAAGAAGGTGGCTGTGCCATCATGAGCACCGTAGTCGTACCACGGTACATATTCTGCTAGCTGCGTAGTTTGTACGGCAGATTGGTAGGAGAGGTGCTGTGCCATTCATCCATTGTTGAGGCTGTTGAGCGTCGTGACCACTGTCTGTGTGATGTATATTTGTTTGTTTGTGTTTGAGAGAGAGAGAGAGGGGGGGGGGTGAACACATAAGGCTGTGTGCATTCTTCTGATCAGCTTTACCAGTGAACTATAGTTATATACAACTAGGTCACTTACTTACGATGTAAGTTTTGATATAAGTTAGGTGCTCCGTACCCCTTGTCCTAGTTAGCTGAGTGTAAGCTGTAGGTTGTAACTAGGTAACTTCTTTGTAGTACTCCCGTAAATAAGTAGGGTAGCCTTGTTCTTTGCCAACGAGGCTGAAGGTTGAGTTAGACAATGTGCTCTAGTTAGCTGATTTAGTAGAGTCAGCTAATGAATGATAGGCCCTGGTTTCTCCTGGTCGCTTTGAAGAGACGCAGATATGGCAGCTTGCAGCGTCTCGTCCCACAAGCTATATATTTACGAGAATTGCGTTTGATCACTGCAGACTACTATTTCAGGGCCTCGAGATTCTTCTATGCGGAGCAGACAGAATCCGCAGAGCCGTGGGGTTTAGATTAGGGAAACTATGCCGATCTTGGTATAATTGAGTCGGGCTGAGCAGAGAAGACTCGGAAGCAAACAACATCATCCCTTGTTCTCTGAGCGGTTAGCAACAAACAAAGGGAGTGTTTTACCCTTGCCCGACCGATTGGGAATCTGGTCGGCGGGTTTGCGATCTTGCGAATGGCGCCGGGTAGGGGCCCGGGAGATGGATTTGGAACGGACGGAGGATTCATGAGATCATCTTGCGTTTGGGTTTATGTAGGGAGGGTGTCTGATTTCGGTCGGGGGCTTTTGGGTGGATTCTAGTGCACATCATTACCAATATGGAAAAGGTAGATGGAGGATGTGTGTGATGTGTTATATGCTTACTTCGTAACTAACGATGTGATTGTAGATTATGAGATATATAGAGCGCGCGGGGAGGATCGATGATGTGAGTCATCAGGATGAGAAGTGGGATTCAGCTTGCGGGAGTAGACCAGTAGGAGGAAATACTACTTAGTCCTCACCAAGAAGAAAGATCAGTGACCAGAGACAGCTTACAGTGAAAAAACTACATAGCCAGTCCTACATGTACTGTACGTTGTAGTGTACCTACTACATTTGAACTTACTACATGGTACACACAAGCATGATCATGCAGTAGTTCAGGCCCCCAATAAGCATACCATCTCCTGCAAGTGTGTCTTTCTTGCTGTACTGTGCAGTTTTGGCGCCGCCCCCAACCTTTCCCTCTGGGTCTTTATGCAGCCAGCGTCCATGTACATGTATGTTTGTCCTGCGTACATTGAATTAACAAGAAACCCACCTTGCAAGTGCAGGCCTATCCTATACCTCCTCTGTTTGTACACATACATGTACATTCCTATGGTTAGCCCGGTGCCCGGGCAGTACAATTCCCTCAAGGCGAGAGATTAGGGCACGGGATGAGCGAGTGACTCCCTCCCTACTGAGTGCGACCACCAGCGTGGCAGCCCCCGCGGAGCATTTCTCTCGCCTTCCAGGAGCCAAACGGGCGTCTTGAGTTTCGGGGTGCGGGAAGGATAGACAGGCCCAATTGGGAATTCTCCGATGGATCAGTTGAATCGAGCAAGGGTGATACAATTGGTGTCTCACTCTTAGGCTTCACTTGCTGGGTACATACTCCGGTATAAAATGTAGGGCGAAGGCTGTACCGGTAGTTTTATAGCTAGCTATCTATCTACGGAGCACTGTCCAAACCGTATGAAGTAGAGAAATGAAGAGCTGCTACGGAGTACAATAACTCTGAGTTTGCTTGGGGAGGGGTCAAGTGCCTTATAATCTTGATTGCTTTTGATACTCCGGCAAAGTAAGGGTGCGAGAGCGACAGCTGGAGGTTTGGAGGGCAGGCGGCAGCTGGCCCGTGCAACCTGGTGTGGAATTGACTGTTGAACCGACGAGGCAACAAACGTGGCAGCAAAGCAGCCAATCATCAGCCGCTGATCCAGTCATCCGAGCCACTATCCCTCTTCCGGACGAACCGCCCTGTCATTGGTCTGATCGCCATCGCCTCACTTTCGGATTCGATGGAGTGGTGTTTTACCAGTAGTAGTTCCCGGTTTCCCTGTTGTTGAGCTCCCAGTTCGCATGGCAATGGACGAGATTAGAGTTGACTTGGTTTGGGGATAGAAAAGACGGTGTGGGTTTTTAGGGCATGAATGTACGCAGTGATCTCTACAGGACTGTCGCAACTGTCAATCTTGTCGACAGGGCACTCCCTCTCTCCTTTGTTTGATTCGATGTTTCGTATAGATCTCCGTTCCACTTGAAGGAGGGGAGAGAGAGACGAGGCGGAGAAGAACAAGGGCAAATGAGCTGGCAGTGCCGATAGACTACCGACGTAACCTACAGTGTCGACGGCCCTTCGACCATCAAAATCAAACCTGTCACTCATTAAACCCTCTCCCCAGATCGGTCGTGCGTGCCCTGTCAAGAAGACGAAACAATGGTCCATCATTCCGAAGGGAGCCTGAGTGGGGCTCCCCCTCGTAGTTTACGACGAGTAAACACTGGGCAGTGGCACTGAGGCAGCAGCTCACTTGTGCTTCTTCCAGTTCCAGTCCCCTCCAGCCTCCTTCTACAACCAACGCGGCGGGTGCGCAGGAATTCTAAGAATGGGAAACGAGTGGTGTGAAAGAGGCTTAAGCGGCTTCCACGCACCCCCCCACCAAAAAAACCCTTCCGATCCTTTGTGCTCACTTGCTAAGTCGCCTTTTGGCTTGCAACCTCCACCAAGAAAAAGCTGGCCGGCCTGAACTTGGTTTGAGGGAGGCTGGAACCAGGGTCAGGATCTTGGTCTGTTGCTCGAACCGTCGCAGACCATATGGAGCTTTGCCGCCCCGTTCCAGTCCAACAATCCCGGGGAGAGGGGAGGGGATCCCACCAGTGAATCACTGCATGACTTGATTGCTTGGTGGGTGGTGTGGCAGTTTCGGGTGCCAATGAGACTCGAGAGACGGCGGATTTATTCATCCCAGTGCAGGCCGCGTGCGGCCAATGATCAGGGTGAAGCCTGTCGAAAGCCTTTCCATCGATTCCGCCCGGGCCAGGCTGGGAAGGAAAAGTGGGAATTGTGGATGGTGCATGATGTGAGTGGAGCTTGGGTTAGGTGATTTTATTTTAAATTTTGTGTTTGAGTGGTGGTCAGGAGTGGATTGGAGTGGACTAGAGTGGACTGCAGTGGACTGGAGGTGAACTGGGAAGAACAAGACCTGTCACACCTACACCGCCTCGGATGAGAATTGATGATGATGATGATGGTGATGATGATGATGATGATGATGATGTTGTTGATGATGTTGTGGGTAATTGATGCTGTTGTGATAGTGGTTATTGTTATTGTTGATTGTTCTCTCCGGGCAGTTGAGTATTGATTCTAGGTGGTGGTGGTTGTGTAAGTTGTGGCTGTAAGGTGTATTGAGTGGTGGAGGTGCTTTATTGAGGTCTTTTCCAATTTGTCTTTGTCTGCTGACCTCTACACCTCACAACCCACAACCCACAACCCACACTACACACTACATACACACTCTACAATATGCTTCCTCCCCTTCCGGCTCTGTCCGTCTCTTGAGTACAACGTATACTCTCTGTATGCCTTATTACTCTCACCCATACTCCCACATCATGGATCCGCCCAGACTCATAGTCAGCTTTTCGCCTCCCTCGGACCCCATCCAGTCTAAGCATCATACATTGTTAGTGCAGTGGAGTCTGGGGGGAGCACCAGCTTGATTCGTCTGGGAACCGCTGCGGTGGCTCTGGCCACGAGTCTAAACTCCGTGGAATTAAATTCATCACCTCCTTATCATTACCCGCGCCCATCTTTACCCTTTCTTCAATTGTTTTTTACTTATTTTTATCAACTTATTGATTTCATTCTCCCTCCCGTCCATCCCTCCTCTCCTTTTCCCTCCCCCCGTTCCCACCTCTTGCCTCTCTACCTCTCCGTCTCTCTTGTCTCTCTGTTTGTCTCTGGTTCCGCCTCTGTTTTAGTCTCTTTCTCTCCCCCCTTTTGATCCCGCCTGTGTGTATCATCTTCTTGTTTCTTCTTTCCTTCTATGTTTATATAGTTGTTGGTGTGCACATCATCATCATAAACCCCTCCCCCCCCCCTCCTTTGCCTTGCGCATAATACACACATACATACATACCTCCCCTCCCTCCACTTTCCCCTACCAATACTATACACTCGGAAACAACTCGCCTTACTACGCCTTACTCGCCCATTGTTAACAATCCCTCTGGCCCCCTACCCCATCGTTGGACCTACAATCTTCTGGATCGCATCCCTGGCTGTACAACATTTCCGCTCGGATTGCCACTGGACCTCACGCCTCCCTCCCCACTAATAGAGAGAGGCAACATACAAAAGGACTTCGACTCAATATCCATTGGACATCCACCCCTTAGGATCTTATTTACCTTGTCTATATCAACTTCCTGAATCCATCCCATCAATGGCTCCCTGAAGTATCTCAACTGGACAGTTCGAAAAACGTTCCTCTGGATTTTGGATGACTACTTGACACTCCCGCCACCTGGATTTTGGACCCTATCCTAGGATTTATATCAACGATCCCTTACTGTCTGCCCTCCCACTCATATCCCCTTCCACTTTCTTTGATTGACAGATAGAGACTCGTGTCTTTACACAGTCCCTTTACTCTGCCGTCCTTATGCTCATGCTTCCCCCTTCCCCCGTTTATGGCATGTATCCCCCCATGCTTCCCACGCCGCCCCCCACACCGCCCGCCCGCTGCTATGCGCCGGAAGACCGCCTGGGACTTCTCCTGGCCAACCGGCTGGAGCTCACCGGCATCCTGGGCGTAGGGGCTTACGGGGTGGTCTACACGGCCGTTGACATCCATACCAATGTCCTGTATGCTGTCAAGGCCCTCAACAAGTCCGGACTGGATGCTCGCCAGCTCAAGTTCCAGCAGCGGGAGATCAAGCTCCACCACCTGGCCAGCCAACATCCCAACGTGGTCTCCCTGGTGCGGATCATGGACTCGGTGGACTGCACCTATGTGGTCATCGAGTTCTGCCCCGAAGGCGATTTGTTCTCCAGCATCACCGAGAAGGGCAACTTTGTGGGCAACGACCTGCTGGTCAAGCGTGTGTTCCTGCAAATCCTGGATGCGGTTCACTTCTGCCACTCGATTGGAATTTACCACCGGGATCTGAAGCCGGAGAATATCTTGGTGACAGACCAGGGCCTTACGGTCAAGCTGGCGGATTTCGGTTTAGCGACGACTGATTATTTGACGTCCGACTTCGGTTGCGGGTCAACCTTCTACATGTCTCCAGGTAGGTCAATCATGTCCGGGTATAATGAAGGTCATCCGCTGATGTAATCCTAGAATGTCAGCAGCCAAGTTCGCGAGCGGTGACGTGCTACGAGTCGGCACCTAACGATGTGTGGAGTCTCGGGGTGATTCTGGTGAATCTGACCACCGGCCGCAACCCGTGGAAACGCGCCTCGATCGAGGATTCGACCTTCCGGGCGTATCTCAAGGATCCGTACTTCCTCAAGACTATCCTGCCCCTGTCCGATGAGATGATCTGTATTCTCAGCCGCATTTTCGAGTGCGACCCGTCCAAGCGGATTACCATCCCGGAACTCCGTCAAGTGATCATGGATTGCCCGCGGTTTACCATGAACCCTGTTATCCCCTGGGCCACGAGCGGTCCCGTTGACTACTTCCACCCCGTGCCCGGGCCAGTGGATGCCTTCAACACCCAATCCTCTGTTTCGTCTGGATCGTCTCAGTACTCTGACTTTTCCGCCTCGGTGGTCTCCAGTGCCTCGTCCTTCACGGAAAACTATCCGGACATGGACAGTGTCTCGTCGATGTCTTCTGGGGGGTTCGAGACTGAAGACTGCAAGGAGTTCTATCCCTCGGAGCCTATTCCGGTTCCGGAGGGACATGTCATTCCCTACAGTATGATTCCTGTTTATTGAATCACCCAAAAAAAAAAACAAACAACAACAACAAAAGCCACTTTACGCAGTCATGATTAACGGCATTTGACATTTCGTCTGACGGACCTGGACACTGTTCGACTGTATTTTTTTGCCCACTACAGGAGATCCAGGATTCCTTTTTCGACTACTACATTCTTTGGACATACCTTTCCGGATTGGATTTACTATACCCTTTTGTTTGATGGCATAAATTGCCGAACCAGTTTTTTTTTTTTTTTGGTTGGTGACTAATGGTTACACTTGGGTGAAATTTTGCTCGGCTCAGGTGCTCGGGTTGCTGGGCCATACACTTGTTGCGTTGTTGCGTTGTTGGCGTTGGAATTGGACGACCATTGAAAGAAAAGAAAATACCCCGGACATGTTGGAGTTGTGATATTGAGATATACATAATACATAGTGGTGGTCTTGGTGTTAGGTTCGGCTAGGTATTGGCTGATGGCAGCTTACTGCCTACATTGGACTACATGGACATATATTTTATTGTTGCTATGGTATGTGAATTGTCTAGTGGCGAGTGGTGATGCCTATGTTAGATGAGGTTATCTCGTTGTGCCTTTAGCCATGTATATTAGTGTATTATGATGCGACTTCTGAATCGCAGATGCAGACTTGACATTACCACTCTCTTCCCTCCTCGCGTTAAGCATGTAATAGCGTAGTGACACTGACAGGACCAAGTCACGTAGTTCCAACCTATTGTTAGGATATGATTTAATGTCAAAGGAGGAGGAACCCCCCCCCCTCCCCTTCTGTGTATATATTATCAAGATATTGATACTTATGGGGAAAACCCCCAAATTTCCCTCCAACCTCAGGAAGGAAAAAAAGCATCTACATATTCCGTCCTCCCGTAACCTTGATCGTCTCCCCCGTAACATATGCGAACAACGGACTCGCCACCGCCAACACCACCCTGGCCGCCTCTTCGGGACTCGCCGGCCTCCCCAGCGGAATATCAGGGTAGGCCGAAGCTGCTCCCGCCCCCGAAGCCGCACCCGTTCTTCTGGCATCCAACTGCTTCCCGGGGATTCCCAGGACGACCTTCTCCCCGTCGGAGGTGGTGATGGTGGCGCCTTCCTCCTTGGGCGCCGTGAGACGCGTCTGCACGTGGCCGAAGGCGACGGTGTTGGAGCGCACTCCGAACTGCGGGCCCCATTCTTTGGCGAGGGTTTTGGTGAGACCGACTATCCCGGCTTTGGCGAGGGAGTAGTTGGCTTGGCCTCTATTATTGAAGGTTAATCCAGTACCTTTTGATTATCTCCCGTGATGGCAAGTAAGAAAAAAAAAAAAGGGTCGGTCACTCACGCATTTCCATGCACTCCACTCGTCGAACTAATATTGACAATACACCGCGGCTCACCATCCTTGACGCGAAAGTACTTGGCCGCGGCGCGCACCAGCTGGAAGGGAGCGGTATTGTGGATGGCGAGCATGGTATTCCATTGTTTGTTTGTCATCTGGCATAGATTTAGTTATTAACTTGCAGTTAGTTTTCAATAAATATTGCTGGAGGGGGTTTGTGGTGTATATAACTTGATATATACCCTACTACTACTGGCACTACTAGTAGACTGGCAGAAATGACACACACATCTACTTGGTACTTACCTTATGAATCACCCCGTCCCACGTAAACCCCGCATTATTCACAATAACATGGATCTTGCCCTCCCCGAACGCCGCCGTCTTCTCGACCAATTCCTCGATGTACCGCTCGTCCATCAGATCGCCCGCCACCGCCAGCGCGATGGTCTTTTGATGGCGGGTGTTGAGCTCCGTGGCAAGCGCTTGGGATTTTTCTGGGACCTTTGAGTGTTAGCCATTTCCCTTTGAGCTTAAAGAGTAAATGCGGACTGTAAAGCGCACCCTCATCGATATCGGCAATCACCACGCGAGCTCCCTCGTTCGCAAACAATCGGGCGGTTTCGGCCCCGATGCCCTGGGCGGCGCCGGTGAGGAGGGCGGTTTGGTTGGCCAGGAGGCCGGAGGGGTAGGTGCATTGAGAGGAGAGTTGGGTGAGACGGTTCATTTTTGGTTTGGCCTTTTTGTGGAGGAGGGTTTGTTTTGAGTGTTAATCAAGGGGTAGGGGTAAAGGGAAGGAAGGTGAAGTGAAGTGATGTTGTATGTATGATGTCTGTAGGAGTAAAAACAATCCGGAAATGCCTCGGTTCAAACCCCCCTCACCCCGCGATGCGAAGTGAACCCCCGTTCGGTTGGAAGCAGCCGCCCCCCCCCCTACCACTACTCACTACCTTGACTTGCCGTGACTTGCTTTAAAAGTTCATCAGGTCACACATTGCTTACCTCCGTTACAATCCCACGTAGGATTCCTCCCCCCTTCCCCCTCGTGTTCGCTTGTAGCATCTTCCCCCATTCTTCCCATCCTCTCGTGTACGGAGGGTACTCCACTACCTGGATAATGGATTGATGATGATGATGATGTTAGAGGGCCAACAAAACTTCAATTGTACTACACACCTCCCGCAAAGAGGGGTATCACTAAAATCTCCCACCCCCGAAGCATCCCGGGCTGGTATACCAGACCAACCACTCCCGCCCATGATTCTCTCTCCCTCCGACGCTCAACAGCATCCAAAACACATACACCCCTCCCCCGACAGCGCCTGCAGAAACGCCTCCACCGTCGCATCGTGTCCCGCCAGGATCTGCAGGATCAGATCCCCGTTCTCAAAGGCCGCCGTCAGCTCCGTCGGTCCCCCCGCCGGGCTGCCGCGGCTGAGCAGCAGCTCCTGCCGACTCACCTCCACCGTCTCCTGCAGGAGACTCACCACCTCCCGGCACTGCAGCAGTCGCCCGCGGAGGAGGAACCGGCGGATGCGTCGCGTCTCGTCCGTAGCAATCTCGTACTCGCCGTAGCCCACCAGCACGCTGGGGTCGGTGGTCGTCGACGGGGTGGGGGTCGTAGACGTCGTCGCTGGCGCTGCGGACGTTGTGGCGACGGCGGCGGCGGCGCTCGCCAGTGACAGCTCGTAGGGAATGGCATATTCGAGTAATTGAACAGTAAAATCCACTATCGAGGCCGCGTACAGCAGATGCGTCCCGTCTTTGGCACAGCCGGGACACTGCAGGAAGCCGCGGCACGTCGCCAGCCCCGTCGCGATGGCTTGGAGGACCAGATCGAACCTCGGATGGTGCACCATCGTCGTCACCGAGCGGAGGCGGTTCATGTGGAACATCAACGCGTCACCGCAGTCGCAGGTCGGTTGCATGTGCACCGCCAGCGGACAACTGGTCAGCCCCTTGGTGATGAACTCTTTCTGCAGGAAGGTCGGCGACATGGACGACGTAGCCGTGGTCGTGGTGGGGTCGAACATGGATAGCGGCGGCGGCGGTGGTGGTGGTGGTGATGGTGGCACATAACATCCCGGCGGCAGGCCACCACCCAAGCCCGGCGGATGTCGCTGAGGATAGCGGATGTGCTGCGTAGAGGTGGGGGTGTCTTCCATTAATGCAGACCCATCCGTCATGCTCACCCCTTGGCTATCAGGACTGTCGGAATGGCTGGGTTGACGGGTATCCTGAGGACTCTGAGCAGTTGATTCGAAGCCTCGTTAGCCTGTGCACTCAGAGGGAGTCAGTCCATGGAGAAGACATCAAACTCACTGCTTCTTTCACCATCCCATGCACCGACGGCGCCTGGCTCGGCACAAACGACTCGATATAGCTCCACCCAGGATTCGGGTTCCCACCACTGCTTCTTCCTTCCCCAGTAACCACCGGCTGCCGTTGTTCCTCCCGCGGTTGCTGATGCTGCTGGAGCTGCAGCTGCCCCAGTTTCCGTAAGGTAGCCCGGTTCTTGCTCCCCTTGGGCTTCCCAGACCGGTTGGCGACGCGATACCGACAGGTCAACCCGTGTCGAAGACATCGAATGCACGCCGCCGCCGACGACGACGACGACTGCGACGACGGGGCCTCGCTACCCCCCGCGGAGCCAGACAGGTTGCATTTCACCTTGGACTGGCGGCAGTTCTCGCACGCAGCCCGCAGTTTCGGGGCGTCGATGGTGGGGAGCGAGCCGGTCCCGAGGCCGGGGGAGTGCTGTTCGGTCTTGAGAACCGAGGGTGTCTCTGCCAGCATTTATCCTTTTCGTTCTTCGGAGGGGTGTGTTTGAGGGGGCTGATGGTTTGGTATGAGGGTGGGGTACGCGTGCGCGCGCGCGTGAGTGTGTGTGTGTGTCCTTTGTTGCCTTTGTGTGACCTCTCTCTCTTCTCCTGGAAATGTCTGGAAAGGAGGTGTGGCGATGGTGTACTGGGAACTCGCGAGTTAGGGTTATCGCTGGCTCTCTCCACCATAGATGTCTAGCAATCCAAAAGATAAACTGGGAGCGATGAAAAAACCATATACAATAATAGTACGACACATATACATACACACAATACATGCGGTGCGTGCGGTCTCAGTGCGAAACGAGAATGCAGTCCGTCCGAGTCCAGAATCTGCAGAGTCGAGACTCTGGGGGCATCACCTTATATAGACCTCGTATACTTTTGTTTTTTTTTTCCAGAAGAAAAGTATAATATAAGCTTGAATCCATCAGCAGCAGCGTGCTCACAATCTTATTTATACCGTCCAAACACACGCACCCACAGTGCCAGTATTTCGGCCGCCCCTTACCCTTAAGGCTAGGCTCGTCGTTGCTTGGTTTGCTGGTTTTGCTGGTTCGCTGGTTCGCTAGCTGTTTCTGCTGCTGCTAGGCTGCTAGGCTGGGGCTGACAGACAGAAAGACTGACTAACTTGAATCGAATCGAATGAGGTGAACTGACTGGCTGGGGCGGGTTGGCCAACCTGCAAGACTTGACTTCGTATCGCCAAATCCATAAATCGACGGTAAGCGCAGATGAAGTCAGCCGTCGTGACACCCTCGATCATTCCATCTGATCCACCGCGCATGGGGACAGAGAAAGAAGAGAAAAGCCGGGGTCCTCGCAAATCTGAGCGTGGTCGTGATCTCTGGACATGTGTGTGTGTGTGTGGGTGTGTGAATGTGTGTGTCCAACTGACCTTCCTGTTATCTTGTATATTTTTTCTGCTTCAACATTCTTTCTCATTTTACTTGTCGAGAGGGAAAAAGCAAAAAAATGAAAACCAAAAAAAAAAAAAAAATAGATTGATGCCAGATTCGATTTCAGCCATTATTGCTTGGCTGCCAGAACGGCCCAACCATGACTCTCGTCTAATTTCTAACGTAAGAGGTCTCCAACAAGACAATAAGCTCGAGTATACCATTCCGTTCAATTGTTCGTCAGGTTCTATTAGTCGAGATAGGGGAGTTTCAAACTGTTGCCCCTCCCCATTCAACTTCAATGGAAAACATTTCTCTGGGTTCGAGACATCAAGCCGGTAAGGCGAGCAAAGGCTATTGTCTCTGACGTAGCATCCAATAGCTCTGGAGAAGAAGTTTCGGTATGCAGGCCAGCGCATACCATGTGAGCTGTAATACTGGTTGCGGGATTCATCTGCCCGGTTTGAAATGTTGCAGGGCAAGCGGTGAACATTTTGAATATGAACCCTTCAATGACATTCACACAATTATGGAATCTTGCGATGGTCAGCACCGCGATGTGGAAATTGAACTGTTAGACAAAATGTCTCGGATTCCGTGTTTTGACGTCAGCATCTATTTCTCAAGTCATCTTCTCTTTCCTTCTAAGATTCAGCACCAACTAAAATGGCTAAATTCCCCTAGATGGTGACCAGCAACCAAACACACTCCCCCCTTGTGCGATCCTGGATTCCCTTGCCGGCGAATCACCGTCAGCTCCAAGGACAGTTGGCGGCGAACCCGCTGTGTCTGTAATCAAACGCCTTCAGCAACCCGGTCAGATGAGCAATTGCGGCGCAGACCACTAGCACGTGAAAAATCTGATGGGAGCTTCCCCACAGATCGAATTGGCCGGGTCGCAATCGCTCGGGGACCCGAGCCGCATAGATCGCTGCCCCCAGGATGTACAGGAGACCCTGGAGCACTAGCCAGCCGAGTCCGATCTGGCGTGTCATCTGCCCCAGCCCGTACAGGCGTAGTCCGTGGATCACGGGAAACACCGCTGACAGGCCCATACCGACAAACATCGCCGCCCGGAACGGCCGCCAGCCTGGAGTCCGGAACTGAGGGAAGATAGAGACCACGACACAGCCAAGGCCAATCGTGCAAATCATACTCCAGTAAAGCCGCTGCAGCGCGGGCTGACAGTAGAAGCCAAAGTACACGCTGGGAATGAAACTGCCCACCGTCAGCCCGACAATGCCTGCGTAGTCGAAGGCGTTCCCAATGCGCGCCACCATGGGAGAATGATTCGAGATCGTGTGGTAGACGGCCGACATGCCCAGGCAGAAGGCCGCCCCGGCGAAGAAGCAGCCGAACACAATCACGTCCGCCTGCGTCGCCGTCTCATATCGGGGGGCTAGTGCCCGATACAGTGCGAAGGCCGCCGGCACAACCAACAACGACGGCAGCAGATGCGTGTAGATGTTGACCGTTTCATTGTGAAGATAGGTCAGAGAATGAAAGGAACCAAGGAAGGAAGCCGAAGCCGGCCGATACCCGCTATGGATGTGCTGGTTATCGCGCTGCCAATGGGGGAGCTCGTCCCAGTGAAGCAATTTCTTGAGAACTTTGGGAGGCTGCTCCAGCACAGCAGCTGCCACAGCAGCAGGCTGACTCGTGTCTAGGACCTTCTCTGGGCCGTGAGTGGGGTGACGCTGTCGAGCGGACATCTTCACATGCAGTATGCTGCAGACACTGTACAATGACAGATATGATTCCGGGATCTTGTGAGGGAGGTCGGCGAGGGAGGTAGGGGACCGGCAACCTTGGAAGGAGTATCCAAGGTGAGTTGCTTCCAACGACCCGATAGCCCAAGAGTGACCGGAGGTCCCCAAAATCACCGTGACCCAGAAAAGGGTGGACAAGGACGAGAATGTCGGTTGGGATTCAGCGGAAAGTCGCCGCTTTCTCGGGCATTGTTGGGGGAGCAAAGAGAAGCAAAGACGAAGCAAACTACGCAAACCTGGCAAACAATCATCCCCCACTCACAATAGTTAGCCGATAGCTTAGCGTTACCTCCATCTTCCTCTTCCCCAAACATCCAGCCAACCAGCTATATACCACTCGTCACTCGTTTTGATCATGGCTAACCGAGCGCCTCCGGCCTGCAAGGCTTCCGGGGGCCGCCTGAAGCCTGTGGCAGACTCCCTGGAGACCGTGGGCTTCGTATCCAAGGGAGACCGGAAGTACGCCTGCGTGCCTTCCCACCCCCACCTCCGGCCGGGCTGACGTGCGCAGATTGCTAGATCATAAAGCTCAAAAGGATTATTATAAAAGTATTGTTCAAAGATATATGGAGTTCTGCGCTCTTCATGCGAAAGATCTGGATGCCGCCTGGACCTCTCTTCCCAGGAGCGCATCTGATGACGCTACCAAGAACCCGCCAGCTTCCCTACCCACGAAATCAACCGGAACATCTATACCTTCCGCAGCATCAGAGCTGTCTACTATCCTTCTCTCCCTCAGAAAACTCCGAGAGGCTGTCTTGGCCACTGCCTCCACAATTCCTCTTACTTTCTCACAACAAGTCCACCTCTTCTCGGTCAAGATTGCCATCCGAGCCCAGCATCCTCCCTCGTACACTCCCTCTCTCCGATACCTTTTGGAAGAACTTCACACCCCGTCGCATCCACTGCCAGACTCCGATTTGAAGGAGATCATATCGTACCAAATTCTCGATTCCGCCTGTCGACAACAAGACTTGGGTGCTGCCTACGAGCTGCGTGCACGGGCGCGCAGGAAACATGGGTTTCATTCGTCGGTGGTCGACGATGTCCTGCACGCGCTCGCACATGATGACTGGGTTGTATTCTGGCGAATTCGTAGGGGAGTAGATTCCAACCTGCGTGCTGTCTTGAACTGGGCCGAGGACCGGGTCAGAAGGCATGCTCTTAAAGCAGTGGGCAAAGCTTATCTCAATTCCGACTCCAGGTGGATCACAGAAGGCTGTACCGGGGAGAAGGACTTGACATGGGAGAAACTGGTGGACATGGAGAAGCTTGGATGGCAGAAAGACGGCGATAAGATTATCATTAGGAGGCCGAAACAGAAGCCCCCGGCCAATCTGACTTCCATCAAGGAGGGTCTGTGATGGCATATGGGCGATATTATCAATAATTCATTGCATGGCGTTCCAGGTTTGGTGGCGGCGGCTGGCTTAAGGTAAATGGTTCAATTGGTTTAGCCATAGCACATAGACAACTAGTGTTGAGTTTGTTTTTTCCTTCGAGAGCGAGGGTTCTCTTTGTCGATACTTGCGATCAATCATCGTCATATCTTGAAGTCTGCACTCGGCCGGTCCAGATTCAAGTCACCTCTCGCCGGTTGTCTCGCTACAGTCTCGACAAGTTCAGCTTTAAGCTTCCCGGCTTTTTCGGAGCACAGCTCGTAGATTGTCGATAGGTTGTACACGAGACTTGGGAAAGAATGCTGTTTTTGTATCAGGGATTCAAGAACCTCGCGAGCCTAGTACGAAAGTTAGCATTGCGAGCCGATGGGTAATCATCATAGCCGTGGGGCCCTACCTCGTTCAAGTGACCCGTATACAGCAAGCAAACTGCTAGATTCTGCTGGATGACGGCTTCGTCGGGTCTCTGGCGCTCGCGTTCCAGAAGACTGCGCCATTCGTCCGCTGCAGCGCTATATTGGCCCTCGGCCATGCTAAGGAGAGCGTTAAAAAAGCCCTGCTCCGTTTCAGTTCCCTCGCTGCAGAGTCGCCTAGCACTGTCGAGATCCCCAATAAGCACTAGAAGCAACACCTTACTCGACGTGCGTAAATCGTTGGGCATGCCTGACATGCGCATACTATCGAGTGCTTGCTTGGCCGCATTGAGATCGCCCATTTCTATCAACGCATTGACGTTTCGAACCCCTAGGTCCGCGAGTCGCTCCCTCCAAAGCTGCCGCTCCGCCGGACTGATATCTGTCCGCAGGATCTCTCTTCTTGCCTCCAAGCCAATTTCATAAAGACCGCCAATACCTCGACGAGAGTCGCCGAATCCTATACTCTGGAGTCGCACGGCCAAAGCTCTCAGAGGCCAAGGCACAATATGACGAGGATAAGTTTGGCCCTTGTCAGACTTGTCAGGTAACGGCTCCACGTAGTAAAAAGCGGACGTCAAGTCCTCGAGGGCTTTGGACTCCTGTGCGGCAATGATCGTATTTCCAGAAAGCTGGAGACATGCTAAGCGGGTGTAGAACAAAGCAAAGATGCGTCTGATATCGGTAGGCTTGAGCAAAGAAGATGACAGGATCGTTCCACTGAGGTGAGCAGCCAGTAAGAAGTGGCCTTCCGCCAGGAGCTGCTCCAGCTTTTGAAGGGTAGTGGGTAATGACTCGCTGGATGCTGGAACGATGAATTCAGAGCGCAAGGCATGGGGTATGTCCAGCTGCGACAGAGAGTGGTAGACCTCGTAGCGAAGCAGAAAGGAGAGATCTTTCTCAACGGTAGGTGGTAGATCATCAGGAGCGAGCGGATCCAAGTTCTCGAAGGAGGTACCAAACAGCTCAGGAAGAGCCGTTGTCCGGAGTGGACTTGAGATGTTCACCGTCTCAGTGCCGAGAGGACTGACTTCATTAGCAATTTCCTCGACAACGAAAAGGTACATTTTTCTGCCTACTCGTCTACTTGGTCAAGGGGACCTTTCGTCGTACTACGAGGCCGGGAAGCTGTCATTTATTAGCAGGAGATTGAACATCGCATCATACGGAACTCCTTACATCTAGAAGCATTGCGGCTGTGCCTGGAGACTGTGGCTTCCATGTCCGCAACCAAATGTGGAGCATGCAAGTAAAATGTGCTTATGTACAGCGGAGTAAATGCCTGCGCGATATACCCAGGCCGAGTGCTTTCGTGTCGATCCGACAGAGCGGTGCAGGCAAGGAATAAGTGCAGTGGATGTTATGCTGTGTTATGCGGAGGGTCAACCATGGTGGAAGTAATGCGGGAGCCCAGATTCTGCCCCGGATTGTCACGGCGGTGAGCAAGTCGGTCGGATAGACAAACTGGCCCCATCGTCAACTGTCAATCGCGCTACAATCTACCCCAACCTAGAATACTGCAGATCAGCGCAAAAGACCTATCTGATATTGCACATCCACCATCACGAGCCCAGACCAACTGCCCCTACCACAGAACACCTTTTTCCATAGTCAATCACTGTCTGCAAACGTCACCATGACTCTCGCCGAGGAGTTCCGCCAAAGAAACTTCAGTATGGACCTGCATTATTTACACTTGTTCAACTGATTCAAGGACATCCAAGAGCTTACACCCATCGTGCAGGTATTTACGGACAATGGTACGTTGCGACTGCTCTGTTCAGTTGTTCTTCTTGATTTCAACCGCCTGCGAACCTTGCATCCACGATTCGAAGTGAAGAACGACTGCTGCCTGGGATCTCAACATGGACGCTTGGTGCGCCGCGATGGGAGCTTCTGCAAAGCCTGTCAGCAAGTTATAGCAGTATATAACATCTTACAATGGCCTCGGAATCACATTCTCAAGCAGAATCAAGGCATACGCCATCGCAGACCACAAGCGCTAACTGGACCTGAACTAGGACGGGTGTCTTGTGCATTATTCTGTGCCTGGCCCTCGGCATCGCTAACATCTTTACATTCAATGCGGTGATCATCATCTTCAGCGTTCTGTGCCTGTAAGTGAAGCAGTATCTGCAGATTGAGGACATGGCTTACCTTTGCAGTGTCTCCGCGTTCATTCTCATTTTCACCGAAGTACCTTTCCTGCTCCGAATCTGCCCGACCTCGCCCAAGTTCGATGAATTCATCCGCAAGTTTACAACGAATTGGATGCGCGCAGGCATGTATGCCGTTATGAGTGTTGTGCAGTTTCTCAGTCTGCTCAAGGAGGCGACCAGCTTGATCGCTGCGGCGGTTGTTCTCTTGATCGCCGCCATCTTTTACGCGCTGGCGGCCGTCAAGAGCCAGGAGTTTGTCAGTAGTAAGACACTAGGTGGCCAGGGCCTTGCACAGATGATTGTGTAGAGACCATGCGGCTCTGCGTGCAAGAAGGAAAAAATTGTGGTATGTGGGTATGTTCGCGTACGACCCTTTTCCGAGAAGGTTCAGGGTCGAATGAAGGCGAATGCTGATAAACGGTGCTTCAGTCTACTGAGACCGCCAAATAATGAAGCGCAGAGGCTTCCAGGAGCCGAAGCTGAGAGTGGCACGGTGAAGCTTGATCATGCTCACTGTGAGGAAGGCGTCATGCACTCCTATGTTTTCCGTTGCTTTTCGCGAATCCTGATTTAGCTTCGCTGGAGTTTGGGCTGCTGCTGCTTTGCTTGAGCTTGCCTAATGCTTCCAGACCTTGTATCGCTCTGCTTTGTTTTGACACTTGTGACCTTGTCGAGGCCTTTGTGATGAGATTAGATGAAACCTGTAACAACTATTACTTCACCGCAGCGAATACCCTACCAGCATCTTGGCGATGAATATGAACGTTTCCATTTCTCAAGGCGAAGGGCATATGTTACAGGGAGTCTGTCGCTCAGGAGAAGTGAGCTACCTCAGCTACTTCTTTAGAATGAGGAGTCTGTCCGACTACATGCACACGCCCTGGCCATCCGGACGGCATCATGCATCGTACAGATGGCTGTGGCAGTACGATGGCTGAAGATCAGCTAGCAGCCATGTCCAGCTCCGTCGACAGTCATCAGGCAGTTGTGTCAAATGTTCGGTACAGTATACTCCCCGGGGAAGCTGTCAATTGCTATAATGTACTCTCCGGAACTACACCTAGCATCACCCGCCCAGGCACAGATTTACTGTAGTACTAGAAGCCGCAGTCACAGATATCTACAATTTACCATGTTCTTGCAGGAACGTCAACCCATACAGGACCAAAGTGTGCATGCTCAGGGGCAACTTCCCTACGTCATACCTAGTTTTGACCCATTTCCCCTCACTTCCTCCTGAAAGAGGGGGTGGCTCCAGACCCGCGTCTTCCAGTCTTTACCCCGCGCTTCGGGCGGCGCGGTTGGCGTCTGCGCACTGTGTAGAGTGAGTAGACCTTGTGAATTGTATGTCCAGTTCCATGAATCACGCGAATGGATGATACATGGCTTAGTAGCTCCCTTGGCAGTCTAATTCTCCGCCTCCTTTTTTATACTTGCCCAGCTAGGCAGCAGCTACACTGCTGTTGGTCTGTATTGGGATGGTAATTTACCAAGTCCATTTTACCCAAGGCAAGAAGACCTCAGCTGCTATCTACACTAGACGATGGAAGTCAACCCCCATGTGCTGTCCGGCGTTGGCGACAAGACCAGCGCAGGAACGGTGCTCATTGGCTTTTCAATCTCGATCGTCGGAGCCATCAGTCTTGGCCAGGGAGGTAGCAGTTCGGGCCAGATGTCTGTGCTAATGCAGCGCGGATTTCACCCCCCCACCCCGTGTCCCTCGTGGCTCCGTTCTTGCATGCGCGATATTTCGGGATGGTTGTTGGATATCCAGGTATCGGGTCTTCGGTTGATTTAGTGAGAGGGGCGTTGGCGATGGTTGTGGTCATCTTCTATGGTGTGGGGAGTGAAAGATTAGATTGGATGCAATGGGGTCTTGATGGTTCTCGCTCTCATGGTGAAAAAGAATCTTCGTGATTTGGTATCTGGGTTTGGGGTGACGGAGGAGCATAAACTTGGTCCGGTCCGCAAGATGGAAAGCGGTAACGACAGCCCAGTTGGTCTCAGTCTATCTATTCCAGGGGTAGACACATCTACGATGTACTTCATCGAATGCGTATCCGGAGCAGAGGATCTGTCTTCTCAGATAGCGATATTCTAGAACGTAGAGAATTGATTCACATACCGATTAGTAGGACCCATTCCCTCCCAGTCAACATCCACATCTCCGCCTTGTTTATCATGAAGGAAAACGCCTATCGCCAAAGACCGGCATAAAAACCCCCGTGTCGACGATAAGGCGCGATGGGTTTATGATGCAATCATGATGTGGAGCCGATTGGAGTCGAGGCTGTTCACCGCCTCAGACGTGGTGGGGTCCAGCTGAGGGGGTGTGATGTGGCCAGTCACATACAAGTCGATACAATCACCTGGAATCCAATACGAAGGTTGGAAGAGTTCATCATCCTAGCATTTCATGAGAGCCCTGGTGCAGAGAGGCTCAGGCCTCTGCACGCTCATACTATGCAATAGATGCATATTGCATGTATTGCATATACATTATGATCACCGTGTGCTATCAAAGCTGGCTAGCTGGCTGCCAGTTGACCAGCACATCAGCTGTAAGACATCCGTGATCACTGATCAGGCCCATGTGCAGCCAGCCCGCACCGCCACATGAGGGGTCCCTGGTACTGGCATCTACGCCGCTAGGTGGAAAGAAAAAAAGGCGCATGTAGTACATAGCTTCGATCAGCTTCAACCCTTCCGTGCAATTGACAATGACTACTGAAGGTTCCTGAGTAGCTGGCTGCTGTCGCATACCACATTACGAGCATGACTCCTGTGGCTTTAACAGCTTCTTCCGACCACGGTCTAGCCCGGCCACAAACCTCACGTCAGTGATGAGGGGAGGGACAGAATTGCCAACGAGAGATTTTGCACGCCAGGTACGAAGTACATTGTACAATTCAGTCACCCCAGGCAGTTAGGGCGAGGGAATTTTTTTTTTTTTTTTTCAACTTCTCCTTTTAGTGAAAAGAGCCAAAATAGCTCGACGGGGGCCCCGATCATCAGGTTGATACCAAGTTTTGACTAGGCGGGGGGAACCTGGCCAGTATGAGCTATTATTGAGCTCTCGTGGATGCCACCGCGCAGAACCAAAGAACAGTCGTTGGGGAAACTAACGTCCCTAAATTGATAGGCAACTGATTTTTATCCTGCAACCCCGTAGCCTAATCAGGAAGATTGGGCAATGCATGCAGATGCGAAGGAGGGACAAAAAGCCTCAAGGAATGCAATGCAAGAAGTGATAGGGACAGATTGTACTCCGTGCACAGTACTCCGTACACACAGTACAAACCAACGAATATATCAAATCGGTTGTGAAACTACGCAGCATCGAGGGAGTCGTATCAGTCTCACAGTCTCAAAGAAATGAAAGAATTCAGAAGATCAAAAGAGAGAATATCGGGAAACCTAAAAAACGGACCTGGTCCTGGCAACTCAATTAATTCTCTAGTATGAGTGGGCGTAATTGCAACCAACAAAGCTCGTTGGCTCACAGCCAGGCAACGGTTCCCAGATGGTTACCAAACGGTTTCCATACGGGGTTCGTACAGCAAAGGAAGAGACGGGGCGCCGTCAGAGAACGTCACGCGACGGGGCGGTGGGCCGTGGCAGGAAAAGAATGCGGTTAGTCCTGGTCTTTACGGCCACTTTTACGGGAGTCTTTCCAGTCACAATCCAGTCATACATCATCATAACTTCCAGTTCCTCCTCCCCTTCTTTCCCTCTCCTCCTCCTCCTCCTCCTTCTTCTCCCTCAAAACCTTTCTACTCTGTATTTTTCCAATCAATGCTACTACATAGTACTTTATTCCTCCGCTCTATCAATTCTTCTACGCTCTGTCAGCTCAATTTAATTGATGCTTTCTGACCTTCGTCTACTCCAATCCTCCCTCCTTTTGAGCTTGCCCGCATAAGCATAGTATAGCACCTGGCATACTTACTTTCCCGCCCTCAAAATCTCTCACCGGTAAGCGAATCCCACTTCTGCGTCTCTTATCAGAGTTCATGATTCGTTCCCAAACTGCCTACTCCCCCTCCAACGCTGTCCATCTTTCATATCCTTGTCAAAGTGGTGGCGGGGGATGTCAAACAGTAAAGAAGATGATCGGCTGTGCATCGCATCTACCTTATCTATTTGCTTGGGAGAATGTGTACATCCCTTGCCTAGATTGGTCCCCACATCTATCTGAAAGAACCTTTCTCTGATGCCCCAATCTCATTTCAACAAAACCCCCGTCAATACATAGACATTGTACTGCCATCCTTCTCCCCTTATTATTGCGAGCCGGGTTCATACACAGTGACCGATGCAAAGCTGCCCCGTGCTAGCGTCATCACCAGCCCAACCATTGACACGCGCCTTGGCTAGCACTCCCGTGAATAGAGATTTCCATCTCTTCATAGACCTGTAACTCACTGACTTGATCGCTAGATTGGACTTTCGAGCTCAGATCAATCCCATTTTGTCTCCCAACAGCCAGCCATGACTACACAAGCAGCGCCCGCCATTCCGCCGCGGCCGTCGAGGTCTCCCCAGCAGGGTCTGGCCCCCGCCTCAGCAGAAGGCCCCCAGATTCCTCCTCGTCCGTCCCACCGTGCAGAGCGCTCAGTGTCTCCCTTTCGCAATAGCTACGCACCGTCTCCTCTGAATGATTTGCCCAACGGATGGGGCCTGAAACGACCCACGTCGAATGACCTGCCCCAGCGACCCCCGAGTGTTACGATACCTACGCTTGGTGAGGAGGGCATCGAATACCAGGACTTGGATGTGGCCAATGTGCCCGATAACCAACAGACCACACCGCCTGAGACTCGGAATGTGGGAAGTGATCTCAAGCTTCATGCGCCAAGACCATCATTGCCCACTTCTAGCGCCAAGGCCCGAGTGCAGGCCGTGACACGGACGGATTCCCGTCAGGCTGCAGCAGCAGGCCTGGGGCGGGCTCCGTCTCCTTCGACTGATGACCATTCCGAGCGGCCGACCCGCTCGCTACACTCGCGAGCCAGCGGCTCACGGGGTGACTCCTCTGCCGTGTCCGCAGATCGTCGGCAGTCGTTTCACGGAGAGGAACATGGCATACCGGAGATTGGACAGAGAGTCCCTATGTACCCCAATGCAGGCGATGTGCAAGCTCCCTCTCCGAGCCCTTACTTGGCCGAGCCCCAGGAGAAGCGTTCTGGTCGTAATCATCACCGCACTCGCAGTGGCCGTGAGGCCTCTCTGCCTCCTGGAAGCTACGGTCTGCATGGTCATGGTGTTCCTTCCAACGACAAGTTTGAAAAGGCTTGGTATGAGAAGCACCCTGATGAGTTCGTTCGAGAGGAGCAAGGCCAATATGGCCCGGGTGTTGGTACGCCGCGGCCCGACTGGGCCCTGAGCAGTGACGATTTGAACAAGATTGTTCGTGGTTCTGCAGTGACTGGTTCTGGTCTAGGTGAGTTGTTGTGGTCAGTCACTGCCGCTGGACGGTTCCTGATCGCGTGATTTCTAGGCACATCCCCCGCTCTGACCGGTACTCCCGATGAAGAGGTCGGCTACATTGCCTCAGACGAGTACACGCACCAGCTGGCTTCACCTGGAATCGATTCGCGTCGTAGTTCCCGTCTCGCTGTCGAGTCACCTTTGCGCAATTCCAGTTTCCCGGCTACTGATTCACAAGCCCAGCCTGAAAGTGCAATAGAACAGGAAACCGATGAGAAGTCGGTCGAATCCCGTGTGATTCATGTCGACGAACCGTACCACCAGCTGCATCATCCGGATGGTTACGCTCAGACTCCAGGCCCCGAGGAGCTCACCCACAACCTGGATCACGAGGAAGTGAAGGAAGAGCCGATTCTGGCAGCCGACACAGTTCGCCCGGAGTCGGCATTCCAACATCCGGCTGTCTCACCAGCATTTGGCCGAAATGGCAGCGTAGACTATGAAGGACGAAGCCGCACCCCAAGCGTGACCCACAGCCGCTCCAACAGCAGGACTGCTAGTATCCATAACGGCATGCCCGCGCTAGCAAGATACAACTCGCGCGACGAGCACGAAGGCACACATACCCCGCTTGAGGATGTCGAGGAATACGAGCCTCTCTTTCCCGAGGATGACAACAAGGATCAGAAACCCCTCACTCCAGCAGAACGCTTCAAGCAGCGCCCGGAACAGCTTAAGCACCGCTTCCCAAGCCAGGATATTTGGGAGGATTCGCCCAACAGCTTACAACTATCCGCTACTGTATCTACGCCAGACATCCCCAAGGAGGAAGCCTTTGAGACCCCCGAGCAAGAGTCGAATCGCAAGAGCCAGGCGCCTCAGATTGACGCCCACAAGGTTGCTTCGCACATTCTGGGTACGGATGACCGGGAAGGAAGACCCGCACGCCCCGAGATTTCCAAGCAGCGATTCCCCAGCCGAGATATTTGGGAAGATGCGCCCGAAAGTCATACGCTGGTGACGACAGTTCAGCCAGCCGATGACGAGGTCAAGAGCCCAGAAGTTCCTTCAAAGCCTAGCATTCCCCTTCGTCCGCAGAAACGGCCGCAACAGGCTTCCTCTGTGGATGCCTCCTCGAAACCTGTGACTTCGCCCACAGACAAACGACAGCCGCCTCTAATCCCCGACAGACCCAAGCCACAAATCCCGGCTCGGCCTTCTAAGCCTATTCCTCGCGGCAGCAATGAACAGGGCAAGGACCTGGACGTAAAGCCCAAGCCAGCCGTCCCTGCACGGCCCGGAGGAAGTAAGATTGCCGCTCTGAAAGCCGGGTTCCTGTCCGACCTGAATTCGCGTCTTCAAATGGGCCCGCCACCGCCCCCGAAACCGCAGGTTAAAGAAGACAAGGAGGAGCTCGTCAAGAAGTTACCACTCAGCGATGCCCGCAAGGGCCGAGCTCGTGGGCCCGCCAGGAGAAGGCCCGCCATCCTCCATCCAGAACTCCCGACCATCCCGGAGGTCAAGATTACGGAGACCTGGAATGTCTGGCAAATAGACGAAGATGGAACCTTGACCGTTGGTGATGAGAAGCCGGCCAAAGCCCCGTCCCCGGCTGAGGCAACCGCCCCGGAACCCATGGCCCCTCCCATTGCCAAGAACCTTGCTGGTGAATCGGCCGAACCGCAGGCTCCAACTCCCGCCACTGAGAAGGAAGAGGTCCCAAAAGACGAGCCGGTGTCCCCGGGCGCCGCAGCCCCAGCAGCAGACATCAACCCGGCGCAAGAAACCCATCCCGAGCCCGAGGCCGAGTCCGCACCCGTGCCCGTACCTGAACCGACATTCACCCAAGCGAAGCACTCCATCCCCCTGGCCGACGACAACAACCTAGCTGCACCGGCTCCTGCTGTCGCGCCGGTCACCACGGACGATCTCTCCGCAGGGAAACCGACCATCATGTCTCCGCCGGATGGATCGCCTATCGATGACATTGCCGCGCAACTGTCTGCTTCTGCTGACGGGAAGCGGCCTTCCGAGGGCGACATAGGCGAGACCATCAACTAAATCCATTGGCATTGTAGTGTCTGGTGGGTGCAACGCAAAGCACTAGATAAACTAGCTGCATGCATTATCTCGTACAAGTTCCTGTTTTCACCTCTCTCGTCGCTCCTTTTTTTTGTTATCCTGTGCTAGTGTGTTGCACATGTGCATGCGTGCGTGTGTGTCTTGTTAACGAATAATAGTGGATAGAACCTGTGTAAAACAGAGTAGACTGATTGACTGCTTCTATGTACTGTACTACGCTAGGTAGGTACCACTAGTAGCCAGCCCCGAGCCAATCTGTACTAACATCCTGTACTATGTGCAGGACAAGTCTACGTGTCTACATGTAGTTAGAGAGATTTAGTTAGTATGCACATACTTCCTATGCTCAGAAGCATATACCGGCGAGAAATTATACCACTATACCAAGTAGAAGCTACTAGTAGATAATTATGGTTGTTAACCAGCACTGTATATACTTCAAAAGATGTACTATGTACTTAGGGAAGATGCACCACCCATCGGGATGTCCTCATTAAACCAGTTTCAATTTCATGTTGGATATCTAGATAAGGTACGTACTCTACTGTACTACGCTGTGCTTCGAGAGGTTTACGACATTACGTCCGGTCTTAGCAGAAACACCCAATAGGTTCCAATTTATCGTAAACATGTAGGTAAGGTAGCTAGTAAATGTAAACATACCGGGGGGACTAGACAGATGATCTAACTCGAGCGCGTCAAGTTCAGTTCAGCTAAGTAGAGCACAAATGAAATGACAGAAACACACATCTGGATGAGCGGGCGAAACGAAACACTGCAAAATAAAGAAACAAGCATTGGGTGTAGTTAGGCATAGCGGGAACTGAGGGGGATTAAGGCAGGAGGAGCAGGCAGCTGAGGGCTGGGAGTTTCGTTGCTATGTATAGCAGCCACCACCACCACCACCACAGATTGAATCTCAAAGTCAAAACTAACTTGTTTCTTGGCTAAGGAGAAACGGAAAATCGAGAAATTGGACGGATATGGAGTAGTAGAACAATACAGAGAAAAATCTTTGAGAGAAAGGGTATCTTTTATTTGGAAATTTGTTTTTGTTTTTGGCTTTTTTGTTTGTTTGGTCCGTCCAATGGTCAAAATTGAGCTAGAGACAAATGGTTTTATGGAGTATGGGGGAGGGAGACTAGGTTTGCAGAGATCAGAGCAATCTGCCTAGCAAATTGCTGCTGTGTTCCTTACGTTCTTGAAAGAAAAACCGGGAGAACAATTTAGCTAGCGGGCAGGTTCTTCAGATCACCTTTGCCCTCTTTGATCCATTCGGGGTCGATCAGGCGCTCGCGCTCGGCGTAAAGCTGCTTGTATGCGCCCCGAATGGTTCCATCGCTGACGTGGGCAACCTGAGAAATCTCCTTGGCGGACTTGCCGTGGCCCATAAGGTAAGAAGCCATGTAGATACAGGCGGCCACGATGGACAGAGGGGAACGACCGGCCAGATCGCCCATGGTCGTGACACGATCGGAGAGAGCAGAGGAGACGCTGGTGACCTGGAAGGGCAGATCGAGAAGGTTGCAGAAACGGTTGCAGAGATCGCTGGGCTTGGTGGAGGTGGTCGCGGTGTAGGTGTCGTTGGGATCCGGGACACCACCACTCGAAACCACGGCGTTGATCCGCTCGAGATTCTGCGCCGTGAAGAACTTCTCCAGAGCTTTGTAGATACGGCCAATCTCTTTCCGTGTGACCTTGGTGACGGCGAAGATCTCAGTAAATGTCCGAGGTACTTTGCATTGGCGGCAGGCAATGAAAATACATCCGGCGATAATCACGTCTTGCGATTTGCCCTTGAACGCCTTGGCGTCATCCACAATCTTGAAAAGATACTTCGCGGTGTCTGCAACGTTTTTCTGAATGTTGAAACCATCGCAGAGTGCACCAATCTCCTTGTACGCTGCCAAGAGAGATTTGTTGGCCTTCTCACTTGACTGCTTGTTCTGAGCGCGGTAGAGGTCACGCACTCGACCGGATCCACCACTCGCGATCTGAGTTTCCAGCTGATCACCGTTGAGCAGTGGATTCGTTGCGTCTCCGACACGGGATGGGTCGTCGTTATTCTGGTCATCGTTCGAAAAGGTACGCCATTCGGAGTGCATGTCGATTTCTCGATCAGCAAGCACCAGTCCACATGATCCACAGACGGTTTCGTGAGAGCCGGGGAATTCAAGGTTCGGTGGAACCTCTTTGCACTCGGGGCATATTATGTGGGCGGAAAGATTCTTCTTCCATTGCGGTTCAGCTTTCAGGGTAGCCATTTTCTTTTCTCTATTCGATTTCTCCGGAACGAATCGTGGGATTGAGGCCGGCTTGCTTTCAGCAAGGTGCCTATTGTCGATCGGCTTACGTTTTCGCGCACACAATCTAATGTATAACGGTGAGAACAGTGTGGCGACTGTTCAGGAACAATTCAAACCGTCTCCAACAACAACGCAAAGGGAGCAGCGGCGCGGACCGTGAAGTCGCAGATCACGTCTCAGCGTCTCACTGGCTTTCATTCTCATGTTAGCCTGAAAGCTCTTTCCAAGCAAGATGAAGACAACTCGCAGCTTGAGGACATCATGTGAAGGTCAGATAGACATGGGCCCGACGGTGAGCAAGCAGGGCCACATCCAGACCAGCTGCCACCGACACCTTGCCTACACCTCAAGAATGGGATCAGATTCCATGGTGAACTGATGCATCTTTACCTTTCGAGACAGGTAAAGGACTCTTCGTCCTGCGGACAGCTCCCCAACTCTAGATAGCACTTTCCCAATAGAAAAAAGCCGTCGAGCAATCAACCTTCGTCACTCGTGGGCCTTCGCACGCCTTAGGGCCAAGCTTGTCCGACCGCGATTAACCAGTCAAGGTCTCCGTGAACGATTAAGCTCTCACGGAACAATGGGCCGTAGAACCTGGTAGGTAGCCGCTGCAAGTTGTGATCCCAAGAAATCAAGACAAGCAGAGCGACGCAGGAGTTGTCGGATTCTCAGACAAGAGAGGCCGAATGGGTAGTGGAAGCGGGAGTGTCCAGGAGGAGGAGGCTGGGGAGTTGGGAGGTTGAGGGACGAAGAACAAAGAAGAGAGAGGAAATTGAAGTGAGATGGAATCAGGTAAGCGGAGAATTGCAAACAGGCAGAAAGCACCTGACCTGGGAGACAGTTGAGCCGCAGTCGCTGGTGACTAAGCCGCCAAGCCGAAGCCTCCCGAACAAACGTCGAACTTCCAACATCCGGCTTTCAATCACGGTCGACAGCAATTGCTCTCCTCGCAGATACCCACCCACCTCGAGTTTTCCCCTCGTCTATCTCACCTCCCCCTCCGCCGCGATGATGTCCCAGTCTCTCAGAGCTTCCGTGAGTTCTCGATATATATATACCCTCCGTGGTTGGCGGGATTGGCCTTTCCCCTCGATGTGACTGACCCTTTCTCCCAGCGCTCTCTCTTCACCCGCGTCTCGCGGCAACAGGTTTCTGTTGCCCGCCGCACTTTCCTGACCTCCGCCGTCCGTCAGGGTAGGTGATCCATTTCATTGCTCTGTCGCCGTTGTCGAATGTCGCAAAATGATTCGGGTCGCATTGACCTCGGGTGTTCGACCGCGCGTGCCCTTCCCACAACGCAAGTCTAATGTTCTCTCGTTCGCAGCCGACCCTGTTCAGGATCTCTACCTCCGTGAACTCCGCGCCTACAAGCCCACTCCCGTCAAGCCCGGTGACGCCGATGCTCACGTCCAGAAGTTCACTCCCCCCGCCGCTCCCCAGTCCCCCGAGGAGGCCAACCTTGCCAGTGAGCTCCAGTCCTACGAGAGCCAGGAGGTCGAGGTTGAGGGCCAGGCCGTTGCTGGCGAGGCTGCTCCCGTCGAGGAGAGCTGGTTCGAGGAGGAGGAGGAGGAGACTCCCGCTGCCCACTAGGTTACCTGCCTCGACGGCAAGATAGAAGGATATCGCGGGGCTGATGGGCGACCGTGATGAGACGGCTGTGATGGGCTGTCTTCCGGTTGTTGTGCCTCCGAAGGTCACTTTGTAAATTAAAACCTATTTGGAGCATATGAAGTTTTCTTTCTTTTCCTATGAATCGATCATTGGTACATCCAGTTATCGGTGAGTGCATTCGAGTGGAGGCAGCCTGTATCGGCAAGGTTTATATTGTATCCAGCCACTGGGATTACCCCCAGAACCACCTGGACAGGAGGAATTCCCGAGCCTGAGGCCGCTGTTTGTGGCGGTAAGGCGGAGATGATCGATCCGATCCGATTGATAAGTATCGTAGTAAATCACTTAGTCTTGGGGTGACAGCAACGACCAAAACTCCTGTACTCGATAGTCTCCAAGATCAACCCCATCGTTCTCCACCCGGCAAAATCTGATACGATATGGTTGGGATACAAATAGCCGGCTGCACTGATGACCCCATCGTGCGACATGTGCAAAGGGCCACACACCGTTAGGAGCCAGCCAGTCAGCCAGCCCATCCATCAGAACTGCACATGGGCGTCGAGCACCGACTAAATTACCGGAGCACCTCGCTCCAGGTCCGCAAGGGATGCGCATCCTCCTACCTTACAGCCATACTATCGATGTATGGCCAGTACGTTGGGCTTGAGCCGAGGGCAGCAGCAGATCAATAACGTGTTTTCCGTCTGCAGCGGGCGAATCCCAACCCAGAAATGCATCACGCAATCGAACTTCATCAGCCATCCATTCACGAACAGAACTTTAAGGATGAGAAGCATTGCAGACGAGATCTGTCGAATTGGACTGGATGCAGGGGGGGTTCTCTCTGGATCTTCATCGGGTGCCGGACGAGATATGACAGCTCCAGCACGACTCTCTGACCGCTCGCCCAGCTGTGTTTCTTAACTTCGGTTACAGATCTTTCTAGTCTGGAGGTTTCTGATCTTCGGTCTCTTTCGCTATTTCTGGAGTTGGTCTCCCTTCTTGGCCATCAAAAGTTTTACTGTGAGTAACCATTTGTTCTGATTATCTTACGCTTTTGGCTGGGTGGGTTCGGCCTCCCCGTGCGCAGGAGAAAACAACCAGCTATGGAGTACTTCGTAGTGCAGTGGGTGATGTTGACAACATCTCACCATGAGATTCGTCAAGGTTTAAATACTCTTTAGTGGCAGAACCTACATACAGGCTGCAGAGTCGATCCATGAGTCGACCGAGAGACGAACCTGACAGGGAGAGCCGCCAGCATCCATCCATCCCCTTCGGCCGGTGGGTGGATGTGGAGTGGCTGGAACTGCTGGCGTAAGAGTCAGAGCCAGTTCACCCACCCATGAAGCCGCAGCTTTTTTTCAATGCTTTGTGGTGAACGTCGCACAATTCACTTGCATCCATCCACCACCTGACGTTGACCGAGTATAATCCTGGAATGCAGGCGGTTGTCTCCCGGTGGACCGATTATGGCTGTGCGACATTCTCCGGGGATACACCAAGCCGGGCAGGGAGGAATCCGCCCACTGTTTCAATGATCATCCAGGATGACGATTAGATTAGAAGACACCTGAATTCTACTTCGGGCCAGTAGTGGGTTGAGGGGACTGGAACAAGGTAACCAAGTCCTCTCATAGAATATAAAGACGATCCAGATAGAGTGGTCCTCCATTTCCATTGGGACCGAGCCGATGGGGCCCGAATGGGGCAAACCAGAAGCCGGGTCACGGTACCGTATAGTTAGTAAGTAGACCACTGCGCAGACAAGGGAGACAATGGAAGAAGGAGAGACATTATTTATAGGAGAGATTGCATCATGACAGGAGTCTAAGGAAAAAAAACACCCAGACCCTCTTCCTTTTTTCCTTTTCTTTCGTTGCTGGTATTCCGAATGAGAAATTTGGCAGTGCCAAGTTTTTCTCTACGCACAGTCCATTTACTCATAGTTGGTTTCACGCCGGATGTCCGCGCCCACCTGTCTCTCCTTTGCCCCTTCTCTTCTTCCCTGTCTTTGTTTTATTTTTTTTTTCTGCGCCCCATATAGGGTTGAGGCCGTTTGGTTTCAACTCCCACCCATCCTTCAGGGTCCTCTCGCCATACCGGAAGTATGGAGTAGTCAGTACGATAGGGATAAATCATTCTGCACAGAGGATATATTACCGGTTCTCCTTCCACCGCTACACTACTCGTTCTAGTCGATAGGTATAGATAGCACTTATCTATCTCGATCTCTGCCACCTCTTGACTGTCGGTTGGACGTGCATGCAGCAGAATCCACTGCGTAGTTGAGTCGCGATGGTCCCGGATGCTGTATGGTATCGTTTGGATACCTGTTCCGTAAGTAGACGGAGTACTTGCGGATCTGATGTATTCGCCAGACTGCGCACTGTGTAGTAAACATTGATCTCTCCCATTTAGTGTAGTTATTCAAAGCAAGTACTCCGTACCAGGAGAGTCACCCCCTTCTGTAGGGTGATTCATCATGACAACGATTATTGAAAGTTTCGGTTTCCCCAGAATGCAAGGCTGGGAGGGGGTTCCAGGGATTCCATGTATTTATAGGTATCGAGACTGGCGGGCTCGCTCTCCACCTGGCAGAATAGTTTCTGATTGGGATCAACAGCAAAGGTCAAGAAGAGGGAGGATACGAGGATTTCCAAGCGTCAAAGAAGGAACAGTAGTAGATTCCAGGCTGAAGTTGGTCTGGTGGGGGGGTAAAAGAGTACATCCTGGTTGTTGGTATCAATACGTGGTTGGCAGTGGATATCATGCGTGGTCAGGACATTCAGGTCAAGTCATTTAATCATCATCTTCCGACAACCATCATCAGATGCAGGAAAAGGAATAGGAAACCCCAAATAAAATAAAATAAATAAAATCATAAAATAGAATATAAATAAAAAGAAAACATAACCCCAATGAACCACAAATCACAAAGCACAATCTTCAAACCTAATTCAGGAACAGACCGCTCGGACATCCACAGGCTGGAACCTCTCACTCCCTCCCTCCCTTGAGATCCTTAAACGTGGAGGGAGTCCCCATCTTCAATTGACTTGACTTGCTGTTATGATTATTGCTGCTGGTGCTGGCCCGAGATAAAGGAAAAAAAAAAAAAGCTGGACGGGAGAGACGCTTCACTTTGAATTTGCTCGCCCTTTCAACTTACTCTCTCTCCTCTCTTTGCGCCCAATCTATGGGAATTATACGCGAGAAGCAAAAACCGCAGGAGATTAGAAATCGACACCGACAAACAACTGTAAGAAAACCCCCGTATTCCAGCTCTGCCCGGCTTTCCCTCCCCTTCGCTCACTCCCTCTCCCTCTCCCGCGCTTCCTCCCTCCCTCCCTCCCTCCCTCTTACACTCTCTTCCTTTCTCCTCTTTATTCTTGCTTGTTGATTACTCCCTCTCAACTACCTACCCGTCAACGCCTTCGAAATATTCTCTTCGTTTGGTCGCCAAATCTCCATTCGCTTTGCTGCACCTCTCAAGCCCTGTCGTTTTCCTGATAAAATTGTTGTTTCCCCTCGTTACCCCGGCGTCCAACCCTGCCCCTCGCTCAAGCCACTCCCTCCGCTATACTCCAACCTCTCGACCCCCTCCGAAACGCCGCAATTCTGCCCCGTCCGCCATACAACTGCGCGCGCATTTCCCCGTCGCCATTGCCAGAATTAGCTGACTCGTATACCTTCGCTCCGACAGAGTGTTACGCCTCGCTTAGTTTCAGCTTGTCGGGAACTCTGTCAGCTCCAGCGCCTTGTGGTCCACTATCGTATTCGCTTGTTGCTTTCTGCCTATTCGAACGCTCTGCCTGCACCGCCATAATCCATTGCCCGTCCGCCCTACCCCCGCGCCTACAAGCTACCCATTTGCAGTGATCGCGCCCCTTAATGCTTCACTTCCTCCTCGTTGAGCTTATGGTTTAACATTGTGTGGTGTATTTGCTGTTTCTGGAGGAGCTGGTCTCCCCGACCGTCCACCAAGCCTGCTAGCTGGGGGGGACATGTACATCTTTCGATCTAGGGCCAGTTCTCATCGATTCATAACCCTCACCAACGATTTCCGGCCATGTCTGCTTCCGAAGTTGTCATGACCCAAACCAATGACGAACATACCTTTCTCAACCACGCCGCCAGTTATAACCACCTTCCTGATCTGGCGGCGGCACAAGCAGCGGCTCACCCTGGCCTCCGAAGAACATTCTCCGATCTCACACAGCCGACCCAGTCTGATTCGCCGTCGAAAGAGGATGTAGCGGCGGGCAAGGATATTTTGCGACGGACCTCCATCCGGTCCAAGAACAAGCCCACCATTGCCGTCTCGCGGTTCACTGTGTCCGCGGAGGACTTGTCGGAGCCGACCACCGGTTCAGACGCACCTCCATTGCCGGCCAAAGATACCACCGAAGCGAGGCCGCCGTCTCCCGTTGCTCGTCCCTCAAAAGCTCGATCGATGTCAGGGAGATTGGTCAGCTTGGCTCGGAAACCATGGCTATCAAATTCACCTCCATCGGGGAAGAGTTCTCGGCTTCGATCCCTGCGGACGGAGGACCAATCGTCGTTGAACCCGCCCGCAGCATCATCTAGTTTATCACGATCGAGTCTACAATCGGACTCGGGTACTGAATCCGAAAGCATGACCCCCGCGCGCCGAAAAACCATCCTCAACAAGCGACCGCGACGCCCGATGGTTGCTGTCGTCACTCAAAGCCGATCTGACGGCCCGAGTACCCCCAGCAGCGCATCGCCTCAGTCGCTGATGCCAAGACAGTCCCTGGAAAAGCTGGCTGCATCACTCAACGTCTCGACACCAGTGCTTCCCCCAATGCCTAAGACGCCAGTCACCGCGACTCTAAGCTCGAGCATGGAAGCTCCACGCAAAAAGGACGAATTGTGGGGGGTGTTCCGCAATCTCGAGGCAGATTTCCAAAAGTGAGTTTTTTTCAAACTGCCAATGCGCGATTTTGTTGCTTATCTCAAGCCAGATTCCAGTCCAAGTCTAGTGCTTTGAAGGCAAATGTCATTCGCTCTTCCCTGTTGCCCTTTCTCAATCGCAGTTATTCGCACTCGTCATTCAAACAGCTGCGTCCTGAGGACCTAGACCGTCGCGTGAACATTCTTAATAAGTGGTGGATTGGTTTGATGGAGATGCTGAACGGCAAGAACAATCAATCTATATCCGGAACGGATAGACCTGTATATCTGGAAGCGGTGGTGGGAATAATGACGCGGCCGGAATGGAGAATACCCTTCCCCATGCCCCCATCAAGTCGAAACTCGTCGAGGTCCTTGAAGCATGCATCGACGTCGATCTCTGAGTCCTCGGATGGTTCCTCAGGCTCGGACTTTCTTTTGGAGTCTATCCACCACAACATCAGGAATATCTTCATTCAGAATCTGCTCTCCCAGATGGCTTTTGTGGTGGAACGGATGTCGATGAGACATGCTCCGGCCAGCTTAGTCGCTTTCTGCGGGAAAGCCTGTGCCTATGCATTCTTTTTTTGTCCTGGCGTGGCAGATATCCTTGTGCGGTTATGGAATACACCCACGACCATCTTCCGGCGGATACTCGACCAGTCAAAGCTGGAAAAGGGTAGCGGAACACGGGCGTTGGCCCAGGAACTCACCGCCAACTTTCCGGCTGCCTTGCGGAATCTATCATTCTATGCCCACACGCCACTTGTTCGATACCTTCGTCAGAAACCCGATGTTCCCCTAAGTACCGCTCAAATCCCGTGGCAGAGTCCTTGGGCAACACGATGGTGCGGTCGAGACACAGATCTCTTTTTTGTCTTTGTGAAATACATCCATGTGCTTTATGCGGATGCGCTGCCACCGGAGCTAGAAAAGTCGAAACGTATCCTGGCTCCTGGCCTGTTACCTATTCACTCACAGCTGCTAGTCGTTCTCGAGGATACACTATACAAACAGTCAGTACCTCTGCTACCCGATAGCACCCATACCGCATCAGCCGTCACGTTCGACGACTTCATCGAAGGTGCCGATGCAGCTGTCTCAGCACTTCCTCTAGGAACCGCGAACAGCCATCGCTTGATGGCTGAAAATCGTCTGATCATTCTGCTTCGGGATTTTCTTTCGGAATCTTCTCTCGAACCGGACCATGCCAGGCTATTGTACGCGGAGTCCTTCGGTACCATTATGAGAGCAGCAGCCGAGAAAACTTCCCTGTTCGATCACAACGCGTGCTTCCTTTTGTGTGACTTTGTTGAAGAGGTCATTCCCATTATTACACGGTATTCTCTTTCCATGGAAGTCGACTTGTTCGATTGGAAGTTCTGGTTGAAGGTTTGCCGTCAGATGATGCAGAGCCACAATTCTCTCACGGAAGTGCGTGTCTTCGCCTTTCTCTTCTGCATCTGGAGTACCTGGACTGCTTCGGAAGAGAGAAAAGCCGATCTCTGTCTGCACTTTCTCTTGGACGAGCTCGTGTTTTACCATTATTTCAGCCACTGGAGTCCTATGGTTCGGGCTTACTTTCAGCGTCTATTGTGTTGGAGGTTAGGTCGATTCAGCGATGATCCGACACCGCTCGACACCACCATATATGAGACACTCTATAACCGGCTGCAGCGGACCTGGAAGTACTATTTGGCCTTCCAGGCCAAAGCCGAGGAAGACATCTCGGCACCTTTATCGTCCGCTCCCTGTACACCAGCGCCCGGGCGTCGGATCATCATCATTCGGTGCGACAACCAGCTGTCTCCATCTAGTTTCTTCGTTTCTTTCGATCGGGTCATCCCCCCAACTCCCGTGGAGAAGTCAGCACACTCAAATAATAGCTTGTCGAAACCAGAGTCCACGGAGAATCAGCCGCCCGCGAAGAAGAAATGGAGTATTCTGAGAGCTATGTTCGGAGGTTCGTCCAGTTCAAAGAATGGCGGTGAAGGGTCGTCGTCCAGTAGCTCGGACGAATCAGACTCGTCTGGTTCTGATGCTGTAGGGGCCGCGGAGAAGTCCCAAGACAATCAGTGGCGGCAGCCCAACGGGCCTGGGGAACTGGTTCGGCCCCGAACAGCGCACCAGCCGTACTCTTTCAAGTTTTCGCTCGAATGGATGGATCGGCCTCAGTGGCCGAGTAAGAACAAGCGACTGTTCACCCCTTGCCTCCCCGTGGGGGCGCAGCTACACCTTCAGCTGCGGAAGACCTTGGCCAAGCAATCAGAGTGCGATACGACGTCAGAGTACGTGTCCGCGACTGAGGGCGATGAAGACGGTATGAGCGAGGGACCGCAGACCAACCCCTACTCGGACGACCCGGAGGAGACGCCAACGGAAGACACTGCCGACTCCGAACAGACGACGGATGAGCTAGACTACAAACTTGCCATGAACGATCGGTTCGCGGCAAGTAAATATGCCGGCCGAGCGCTGGCGGAGTGGGCGCAGATTGTATCGGAGTGCGACAACTTCTTCGCGCGCCGACGCGACGAGGGTGTGCCCTGCGACCGACTGGTTGAAACCCCAACGCTGGGCGTTGAGAGTTTCCGCAAGTGAAGATGATTGTACATGCCATCATCCATTTTCCTTTTCGTTCCGTTGCAGGAATAGACCTTAAAAATGACCGCACCTCCCGCCATCCCAGACGACCTAGCAGATATTCTCCACCAGATTTCTTCCTTTGCAACCTGTCTATGGTCACAAGCATATCCACTGGGGACTACTACTACTACTACTACAGCCTACCCTAATGCATGAATTTCTAATCTTCTGAGCCACCCATACCCCCCACCCACATGTATTCTATATATAAAACCAGGGTTTCTGACTGACCGATTGACATTGATCTTGACACATAAAACAGAGGCACGGCGCAAAGTTCATACATACAGCATATCTAGGGTGTTTGGTTGATGAATTATTGATTTGCAAAGTCAATTTAATGCATTTGTACCAGCGTGCGTTCTCTTCTAGGCGGGCTGGTTCTGGGCGTTTCTCTCGTCCGTTTTGTCTAATAGTTCAGCTGAGGTAGTTAGTTACTAGTTACTACTACCGACTTAGTAATTATTCCGTCACGAGTGGTGTTTCCTGCTTTTCAATGCTGAAATTGGTAACTGCAACCTCCCTCAGCTAGTACTGGTGGGTAGGAGGTACGGTAGTATACTTACGCCGCCTGCATGTCTGCGTGCCTGTGTGCCTGTTGTGCCTGCCCGCCCAAACCACAGCAGTGTACAAGCGCCCCCAGAAGCGAGGTATATTGGACGAAACTGTGAAGGGAAAATACATTCACATTCTCGTACTTTTTTCTGCCATCTCTAACACGCACGTGGCATGCATACTGAGGTACTGTAGTTAATCTTCCTCCCGTAGTTAGTCATCATACAGTACCGGTAAGTTAGTTAACTAGTTATGTCGACAACAATTAACGAAGCCTCCGTACCAGGTGTCTTGTTGCAGCAAGAATGGGAGGGGGGTTTTGTTGATGAGTAAAAGACCACACACTACACTACGCCACCAACATACCTACAACTACTACGAGGAACTAACCTGGAGATGAAGGACGTATGTGCCACTCAGCAGCGATGATCAATATATACAGACACAAACACCTACCTACCTTATAAATATATATAAATACTCACTGTACAGTTCTTTCTCCACAGAGGAACAGCTGGAGCAGGTGCAGCTACCGAGTCAAGCCGTGAAGAAAGCATGACCAACGAAAACTGTGTTCTCAATCAGGATCAGATAGGTACAGGGCCAGGAAATGTGAGGACAAGAAAAGATAAAGAAAGAACTAAAAACAGGAGATGAACGGCAGCCAGGGAACGGAGTGTCCGCCGTCGAGCGTGTGAAGATGGTCTGTCTATCTACGGGCGGGAGGGAGTATATGTGTTGAGGCCGGCTCCTCGCAAGATGTGGGCGCAAATGATACACACAGAATGGAACTAGAACACACTCAAGAGTAAGGGAAGCGACGGAACAGAGGAAGACTATGCAGTGGAGTGGATGGGGTGGGATGATGGCAAGTGGGAGGGGGCGAGGGGGTATTTTCTATGAAAGATGGGAAATAAAAAAAGTGATTATTGCTGATAGAAGGCAGAGTCACGACAACCTTAGTCGTGAATGAGACTTTCACTCGCACTGGTGATTATCTCCGACACTCGGTCAATCCACTCTTGCGTGAGAGTCCAGTTGCCCGAGTCGAGACTGTCGCGGATGGCAGGAAACAGAGTCGGATCGTAGCCCGACCATAATTCAGGACCAAAGATCACGTGTTTGAATTGCGTTCGGTTCGGAACCTGGAATCCAGTCAGCTTCAAAATTATGATTGCAATCAGAAACCCCGCCCCCCAAAAAAAACACTTACTCCGCCTTCTGGCCTGTCGTCCAAGAGTTTGGTCTCAAAATGAGCCATCCGCGCATTGTACGACAGTCGTTGCACGGCCATCACGTTGTTCTCGAACCCACCAGCGCCCCAGACCGCATCGTGCCAGATCTGAGCCCATTTCTGAAAATGCGCCGCGTTGGCCTTGAATCTTTCGGCCGCTTCATATAAAGGCTTGAAGGTCACCGTGGCCTTCGAGGCTGTCTCAGCAACCGGGACACTCTTCGACTTGGCATACTTCTCCAAGTCGCTGACATACCCTCCAACGTGATCCGCGTAGCCTTCGAGATCATAGGGCAGGATTGGGCTGTCAGCGATCTGCAGAATCAGAAGGCCCCAAAATTGGCCAAGGATCTTGTGGTACTGAAACTCGGGGTCAACGATCCGCGTCATCCAGTCATAGTTTTCATAACAGCTGTGGTAAGGAAACGGTTCGCCAGTGAAGCCAAAGTCCACACTCGAGGTACCGGCGATATCCTGGAAGGCCACATAGTCGCTTCCCGCGCCCAGCGGACCTAGTCTCTTCTTGCTCTTCTCCCACAGATTCTTCAATGTTTCGTTGCTGATCGGGTCCGCAATGCGGCCAAGAATCTGCGTGATGACCCGCTCGAAGAGGGGACACCCCGCTGCATCAAATTCGTGGCCGCTGACTCCAACGTCGACATTGATATAGGCGTAAGCATGTTCCTTGAGCGCCTTCAGCTCCTTTTCCACATGCTCCGTCGAACCGACCAGGTTGTATTCTTCCGCATCCCAACTGACGAATTCAATAGTGCGCAACGGACGCCAGCCGAAGGTGAGAAGCTCGCCGAACACTCGGGCCAGCTCCAGAAACACGGCGGTACCGCTGCCTGGGTCGGCGCTTCCCAGGCACCACGAGTCCCGGTGATTGCCAATAATGATCTTCTTCTCCGGTTGTTCTAATCCCATAATCCGGCCAACCACATTGTAAATCGGCTGTCTTTCCACCTCGTCTTGGAGGTTCATAAGATTGACGGTTGGGGAAGACTTGGCTCCAGTCCACCACTCATTCACCTCTGTAACACCACCAACCCACGTGTCTGGCACCTGCGCACCATGGCCATGCAGGACTTGCAAGAGCCTCTGTGCATCGCGCCAGGCCAGAGGAATGCTAGGGATCTTCGGCAGGCCCTGGCTTTCCTCTGGCTTGAGCCTCTTCTTCTCGTCCGGCGTGGATGCGAATCCGGGCGAGAGCACATCTCCGACCACCCAGGACATCAAGCTGACCGCTCCACGTTGTGTTCCATCCGCGGGCATGTAACGCCCCTCCGGATAGGCGGGACCCTGAACGAAGCCATCCTGCGCTGGATCAGAGTAAATGATGCAGCCCAATGCACCGGCTAGTTCGGCGGCCTTGACTTTCAGAGCACGATCGGACTCTGTGCCCCCATAACGAACCAGCGCTATGGATCCATTTACGTCAATACCCTGCTGTGCGAGGTACTGAAAATCCTCGCGGGAGCCGAAATTCGCATAGACCAGGTGGCCAGTCACATTCCCGGATTTGGAATGTCCATGAAAGACCAAGGTTTGCTCTTCTTTTTCCTCCAGTGCTGCCTCCCAGGCCAATTGCGGCGGGTCCACAATAGCCACCCGTCTGCCGTCGGTTGTAGGATAGTTCAAGTACACCTGGAATTCCTCCATTTCGACCTCATCAAAAGCCGCCTTTTTGAACTCCGACTCCACCCATTCTGCGAGCACATAACTACCTTCTGTACCAGCCATGTGGGGGTACGCGGTCAACTTTTTCAGATTCTCAGCAATGTTGGTCTCGTTGATATGTCCTTGAACAAAGTTTTCCACAGATGCGGCACTGTAGGACTGCCCCATGATAAATCGAGAATTCATGTTGAATATGTCCGAGATGAAGAAGACATACACCACGGTGACCACCAGGAACAGGCCGAACAGACGTAGTAATATCATGCATGCATTGTTTTTCAGCCCTACGCGAGCTTCATCGAGGCGTATCGTGAAATGGAATGTGGGGAGGAAGCGACGAAAAGGTAGGTTGAAGGATGAAAGGGAGCGAGTCAGATTGTTAAATCGCTTGGAGAACCGCGAGCGTAATTGCGAGCGGCGCGAGGATGACTCTGGGCCATCTTCCACGTCCATCTGGTCGAGTTCCCTTTGCAGCTCCTCCATGGAACCCCGTTCCGATCTCGAACCCGTCGAGTCCAGGTCATCGATGCTATTCCGGGCGGACTCGACGGTGGGCGGCTGATAGCCACGCGGTCTCGCCTCCGCCCGCGGAGTGGTATCCGTACCACTCCGGTGCAGAAGGCCTTGTCGTTCAGCATGGTCGCCTGCTTCGTCGGAGGAATCGAGGTGGGATCGGGAAGAGCCAGGACGGGCGCCGACAGCCTCCTCGTAGGTAGGAATCGGGAGGGATTCGTACTCGAACTTCTGGTCGTTACCCATGACGAAGGGTATGGAGCGTGCGGGAGCCGTGCGACTTCGATAGTATCACAGATACCGAGATCAGCGGGGAATCAGCGGGATCATGATCTGACTGAGACAAAAAGAACAGGCGCAAACATGCTCCCAGAACGGCGAGCCTTGAAGACAGGAAAAAAACGATTGAAAAGGAGAAGCCCCCCGAAGACGACGAGAGAGGGGGTGTGTCAATGTAGAAGGAGAAGGGGGTTACGGGGTTTGAGAGGGAGGGGGGGCCGACGGGTTCAGGGATTCTAGAATGAAGTTGATAGCGGCTAGACGAATCAGCAAAGCAATGGACTCGCGCAAAAGAGTGAAGTAGCCAGCCTGGATGGATCGATCGATAGATAGAGGATTAGAGATGAAGGACAGATGATTAGTTTGAGTTCGGTCGGTCTTCCCCGGATCAAGCCGCCTCCCGTCAGAGAGTCTCGTTTTGAGGCTTACGAGAAAACGCGTGGCGCAGTCCATTATTAGTTCTCGGCACTGGCAGGCAGAAGTGTTCGGAATCAGATTTCACCCGCCCGGATCGTCAGGGCATGCACAGTCACAGATCGACATTTTCAACGGTTCTCCGGTGTAGTCTCGTCTAAAAAAACGACACTGGTATGCCGTTCAGTCAAGGCCGAGCATCATTGTTGATGATGCCACAGGTGGCTGCACAGGCAGGATGGATTGGGTGTCCTGCTAGAGATACCGTCACAGAGCATAACTTACAGCTCCGTACACTGTAATCTATCCTTATCAGCATATATCCGTGGTGCGTGTAGGTGTATTCTTATCTGTACTGTCACGTACTTACTTAAAGCGCTTACTATACCCGTAAAGCCTCGCATAGGAAGTGCCAGCAAGTTGGCTAAGTTAGAACTATCGACTCAACAACAAGTGTACTGAACGGGCCTTTGGAGATACGCAAAGAGTCTGAATGCGACAGAAAGCATTTTTATGATATTGCAGAGTCGAACAAACTTCTTCAAGATGAGCATCGATCCAATCTCCCTAGGCAATGTCTTACAATGCATTGAGACTGTTGTCGATTTGTCTCCGAGTTTCAGATCCGCTGTCGTGACACGGAAAGTCGCTGGCTGCTGGATAAAACTGGAGTCGATGGCAAGAACTTGCGCAGGCAAGTGGACCCTGGACGCCCTGTGCTATTATTGTGGGCATATAACAGACACGTGTGGGTGGGATGTCAAACAAGAGGGGCAGCGGATGGCTGTTCATTGACTCTTTAGTTTCTACTGACTATGCGGGAAAAAACCCAAGTCCATACAAAAAAAGGCCAAAGAATCACTTCGTCTCGCTGTTGGGGATTTGAACCCACCTGAAAGTCCTGTCTGGGAAGTTGGACGATTGGGCATTGAGCAATCTCGGCAAAACGGAGCGTCCTACTGTGTATACTGTTACAGATCCCACCGGCCAGATCCACAAGATAAGATTGATTATTTCGCCAGGCTCCAGTCGCTCTGGTGACCTACCTCCCTCCGACCATCGGGTGGATATTTGTTTGACCATGACGGAGGACTTGATTCCGGCATCTGGGTCTTCTCTACTCTTGTTTGTCCTTGTCGCTCTCGCTGTCGCTGTTGTAAGTTGACATACGGCCTTCAAGGCATACAATGGCAACCTCCCGCCCGGCAGTCCCGACGTGAACTACAATCCACCTGTTGAGGTTCAACATGGTTTCACTCCATCGTAACACAAGTCAGAGGGCACCCGATGATAGATAGCAGAGACTAGGATGGTTGGCAGAAAGTCCGAGGTGGATCAATGGCTGGCTCTCCCCACTCAGCGTTCAGATACAAGGAAGAGAAGATAGTTTTGCTGGATGAAAGCACTCGAGTACACGGGAGCCCTGCCCATATTGTTGTCCATGTAGAACAATAGGTGTAGACGACTACTTCTCACTCGGCAATGCTGATTGGGCGGTCTTGTTCGGAGTACCAGGTGCACAGCAGTCCGAAAGTACTACAAGATACCGCGACCAGGTGTAGGATAAGATCTGGCTCCATACTCTGATAGCTCATACCGAGCTATTGCAGTGAGAGTACGGATTTATTATCCATTTTATCGACTAGGTGGTGTCCAGTCGCACTGTGACGTGCAGAGTGACCCCTTTCTCCAAAAGTGGGTTGGCCCATTTGTTGTGGTGGTAGACCGAATATACCGCGATTTACCTCCGTAAGTGTCGGTGAAAAGGAAAAAAAAAATCCAGAGTACGGAGCCGAAGGGAGGGCACAAGGAAACTCTTTCTTGCGGACAGACAGAAGTCGGTCAAACTAAAGGAGGGAAAGGCAAGTTGTGTAATATGCGCTGGGGGGGCGCAATTGTGGTTGGATCGAAACAGTTCGCATCAACCGCATCGGGAGATAGGATGAAGAGTACGGCGTATACCAGATCCTGGACACCTTTCAGATGAACAAGTGTGGAAATTAGGAGGTGGATCTGACTGTTGGAGCACATTCCGCAGAAATTGTCTCAAACCGCGTCATCCTCGATAACACAGACAAGTAACAGTAATTGTGAAATGATTGAAGGGAAACGCGTTCATTCCAAGATGGCTGTAGATGTAGTTTGATATCGGTATAGATCCCACACTGTCGGGGAAGGATGTGAGTAGATTTCGGAACCGGGCAGCACAACATGAAATTAATTTCAATCAGACTCGGGGACAGCCTCAGGCCACCAAACCCACCAACCAGGGACGGCCGGTAAGCCCCACCCCCTGCAGGCTAGTTTTGTTAGTCAAGGAACCGGGGGCAAAAATGGTTAGTTACTCGCATGAAATGTAGATACAATTCATTCTTGTGCCAGCAGCAGCAGCAGCAGCAGCCAGCTTGCTTTGCTGCCCACACCCACCACCACCACCCAGACAACTTATATACCGACTCTTTCCCCCCCCCCCTTTCCTTTCTCTTCCTTCTTTTTACTTAAGATCTTTTAACTCTCCCTCTCCTTCTATCCCTCTCTATTTCTCTCTTCTTGCGATTCTTAAGAACTTATACAAGTTTCTTTCGCCTTTTGAAATTTATCTTCTTAATCTTTAATCTTCCGCCCACCCCACCATCCCACTTCCCCCATCCAAATCTTCCACCATGGCTGCTCGTCCCCAGAACATTGGTATCAAGGCCATTGAGGTCTACTTCCCTCGTCAGTGCGTTGACCAGGCCGAGCTTGAGAAGTTCGATGGCGTCAGCGAAGGCAAATACACAATCGGTCTCGGCCAGACCAAGATGAGCTTCTGCGATGACCGTGAAGGTATGCTTGCATTGGGTCTTTTTCTCTTTTGACTGTAACGTGGCTAATAGTCCGTGTCTCATAGATATCTACTCGATCTGCTTGACCACCTTCTCCTCCCTCCTGCGCAAGTACAACATCGACCCCAACTCCGTTGGCCGCCTCGAGGTTGGTACCGAGACCCTTCTGGACAAGTCGAAGTCCGTCAAGTCGGTCCTGATGCAGCTGTTGGCTCCTCACGGTAACACCAACGTTGAAGGTGTCGACAACGTGAACGCCTGCTACGGTGGCACCAACGCTGTGCTGAACAGTCTGAACTGGATCGAGTCCTCTGCTTGGGATGGTAGAGATGCCGTTGTGGTCTGTGGTGATATTGCTCTCTATGCCGAGGGTGCTGCCCGCCCCACTGGTGGTGCTGGCTGTGTTGCCATGCTGATTGGCCCTGACGCCCCGATTGTGCTGGATACCGCTCTGCGTGCTTCCTATGTCACCCACGCCTACGACTTCTACAAGCCTGACTTGACCAGCGAGTACCCTGTTGTCGACGGTCACTTCTCTCTTCGCTGCTACACCGAGGCTGTGGATGCTTGCTACAAGGCTTTCAACGCCCGTGAGAAGGTCCTCAAGGAGAAGATTCAGAACGGCACCAACGGCGTGTCCGACGAGTCCAAGACCGGTCTGGACCGCTTTGACTACTTCGCCTACCACGCCCCTACCTGCAAGTTGGTCCAGAAGTCCTACGGACGTATGCTATACAATGACTTCCTTGCCAACCCTACCCACCCCGCTTTCGCCGAGGTCGCTCCCGAGCTGCGTGACCTGGACTACGAGCAGTCTCTCACTGACAAGAACGTCGAGAAGACTTTCATGGCTCTGACCAAGAAGCGCTTTGCTGAGCGTGTCAAGCCTGCCATTGAGGTTGCCACTTCCTGCGGTAACATGTACACTGGTACCGTTTGGGCCGGTCTGGCCAGCCTGCTGTCCTACGTCAAGTTCAATCCCAGCCAGCCCAAGCGCGTTGGTATCTTCTCGTACGGCAGTGGTCTCGCCAGCTCCATGCTCAGCGCCAAGGTTGTCGGTGATGTCTCGACCATTGTTGAGAAGCTCGACTTGATCAACCGTCTCAACAGCCGAGTTGTTCTTCCTCCCCAGGCTTATGTTGACGTAAGAATCCACTTGAATGCTGGTTACTTCTTGGTATGGAATGCTGATTATGAAATAGATGTGCGACCTCCGCAAGCACGCTCACCTCAAGAAGAACTTCAAGCCCTCCGGAAACACGGAAACCCTCTTCCCCGGCACTTACTACCTGACTGAGGTGGACGATATGTTCCGCCGCAAGTACGAGGTCAAGGCCTAAATAACGACTAGTACACTGACGGAAATTCCTTCGACTGTGCTTCTTTGGACATGATCAGTTCTTTAGACGACTCTCTAGATTCCCACAGCATGCATGATGATTTTGTTTGCCCACCTTCACCCAGCCGTCGAACCCAGTGGAGAAGAAGAATTTGGTTGACGGGTTCTCGGTTTGATTCCCATGCCAAATGTTAATGGCGCATTAATGTTTCCACATATTGTTCTATCTGTTGCCTTCGGATTGAGGCCGATTTCAGACCCAGACGGGTGCTGGGATGCATTTTTACGGGCGGTCTACGAATATCGTGGCCATTTTTTGTTTCTTTAATTTAGATTAATAAAATATCCATTCAACTTCAAACCCATCAAATTGATTTGTGTTGTGCTTTCACGGTCGAGAGTGAAGATTAGTCATGTGACTACCAGGCTAAGAAGCCTGCCTCGACCTTTTCCCAACAGCACAGAAACAATGAATCTCTCAAAAGTAAAGCATGCAGACATGCTCCGCTAATTCTACTGACAACCTGGTAGCCGCCCGTTCGAAGGACTGTGCTTGCTCGTGCGAATTAGCCACAAGCTAGTGGGTTTACTGCCCGCCGGTTTCCGATTGTTCATCTGTCTCAGTTCCTCCAGTTCATCTGCCTTGTTCCTCACTCTGCTTCATGCGACATGACTCTACGAACAAACTGTATAACAAACTTTCCTCTTGCTTTACATCATGAGCTGGCATGATTTGCTCAATACATCCAGCAAGAAAACGCTTACTTGCAGGTTTCGTGAGGGAAGAGCCACCCAGGCTGCCAGGCGCCGAGGTCAACCTCGGCCGGCGCCTACTGCGACGTTTGGAACGCCCCCATATATTACTGCTTCCCCGGGGTATATTCTTAGGGTGAAGTCGCTGTTGATTCCATGCCGCCTATTGCCTGATACTGGCGACCCTGATTAGTCACAGCCAATGTGCGTGACAAGGGCTCTGGTCCCACAACCCTCGGCGCCTAAGTAGCCCTGCAGTCACTTCTCTCTATGCGCCGTGAGGGCATATAGCATCAAGGGCAACGGGATGTGTCCATGAAATACCCCTCTTGCCGCCCATCGAGTAAACGAACCGGACGTGCAGCTCTGGCGAGATACACGACCTATTTAGGTGCAATTACCCAGAATAGATGAAACGCAATTGCTGCCGGATTTAGATCTTTTGCAGCCGGGGACGAACCATAATCTGCACAGGTAACCGACTGTCTGGTTCAGATCTGAAGAAGAGAACATGATGCAAAATATAGCAACATCTTAACGCGCGACTGCTTGCTGAAACAAGCCCACTCGCCCTAGGGCCGTTTGTATCGCGCTTCCTCCAGCAGACACTGAACAATCCAGGGACCGATCTTCGTGCCATCATGCCCTGAACCGATAGACTGACTGCTAGCCTGGCGTCAATATGGAGATTCCTCGTTTCATGCCATCTGCAGCCGGCTCGGGCCATACTGTTCTTTTTTTGGAACACGATGGTTCTTATGGATTGCGGATCGAAGAGCATTAAATGTCAAGGCCGTCGCCATCCAAATATGCCATGACCAGTGCGCGTTTTGAAGCCATGAGTCAAGCTTGACATACCTCGACAGTTCTTTTCTCTTGTCTAGTTTCTTAGCCATCAGCAAAACTCCCTTAGCAACAACCTTGGAAGCTGGTCCTTCCTTGCTAATATCTTTTCCATCTTTATTCAGCCTCAGCCAACATGTCTCACGAACTGTCCTACTACCGGCCTTCCACCCCGCCTGCGATGCAGTTGCAAGGGTTCATCGGTGCAAACCATAGCCGTCACGCATCTGACTCTTCTCTATACTCTAATAATTCTTCTCCATGGTCCGCTGTCACAGTGACAACAAGTCCAATCATCAGTTCACCTCCGCGGCATCATCATGGCCCTGCACTGCTTCCCAAGATTCGGCCACAGGACATAGTGATTGAACCCAAATCTACCAGCGGGCCTCAAGGCCAGCGTCGTGTTCTCTCCAACACGCGCAACCCTGCGGGCCTAGTGAATTTACCCACTTCTCGGTCTAGCCAGCGGGCTTCCGCTTCGGACTATCTCGCTTTAGCATCCCCTGGTTCGGTTCCTCCTGTTTACAAGACACAAGGTGGACCGTCTTTAGCATCGCCAGTGAGTCTGACGCCGTCGTACAAGCGCAAAACCGCTGGTGGTCACACTCGATCGGTATCTACCTCTATCATCGATGACTCGAAAGAGGGTCGGTATGGATATTCAACCTGCCGGCAAGTCTCCAGGTGCTTGATCCAGCCCCAGGGCACACTCACCGCACCTATCACGCCTATCACACCGAACATTGTGGTGTATCCAGCGTATGTCGAGTCACCCGCGGAGCCGTCTCATCCCAGAACTTGGCCTCCCAGTGAGGTCCCGATGCCGTTGATACTGCCAGGCTCACCCTACAGCTGCACGCGGACTTCCAGCGCTCAGTGCTCGCCGGTTGGGTCCTGCCACCAGACGGACGGGGATTCAACCACGTTACTTTCCTATCTCACTGCGCCAACTCAAGCAGTGAATCTTGTTCGTAACGTCAGCGTGATCCCCACGCGGGGGTTGCACGACTACTTCTGGTGGGACATTCGCAACTTGCGCAGCTGGTCGTCCTTCTCTTTGGAGACCATCAACTCGGTCGACGGGCTCTCAAAACTTCTCCAGACAGCCATTCCGTCCCAGTTCACCCCCGTGAACGTACTCCCCAGCTCTCACCTGTCACCTGACTCCGAGGCTGCTCTGATCAATGTGCTACGAGACATCTACGCTCCTCGAGTGAACGCAGCATTAGCCGTATCGCAGGGCCCGGACCATCTGACTCTCTACGATGCTCCCATTCCGCGGGTCTCGGGCAACAAAAACTACGGAGGGCCGCACTTTCTAGCCAACTACGCATCCGACACGGAACGGACCAGCGCGGGCCTTCCGCGCGGACGACTCGTTGGGATCGTCAAGACTTTCGATCGGTGGAACACGGGGATGCGCAACGAAGCGCCTCACCGCCGGGTCGAATACCTCAACGGACTGGCGCATCTGCAGCGGTGCATGCGCGAGCACTCGTGTCGGTACGGGTTCATTCTGACTGAGATTGAGCTGGTGTGTGTACGGGCGGGCTGTGACGAGGGGGACGATGTGCCTTATTTTGGATTCTTGGAGGTGTCGGCGCCTATCCCTACCAAGCTGGCGGCCTATGGGGATTACTCGGCGGATCGATGCCCCTATCCCCATTCACCGGCCCCCTCCAACGACAGCTCCTTGGCCAGCCAATCCCCGGTTCTGGATGCTTACCGGATGCCCTCCGAGGGGCTCGAGGGGCCGATGACAGCGAGTCTGGCGCTGTACTTTCTCCTGATGTTGTCAAAGTCGGTGCCGCTCCCCTCGCAGCCGTCGGCCCATCTCAATGTGGGCGGGCCGGGGGCATTGACTCGGCAGCGCGTTCTCCCCGACGGGAAGGACAAATGGATTCCCGAGCCGCAGATCGGGGAGCGACGGGATGCCAAGCGGGTTCGGGGGTGGGTGTGGCCGCAGGATGCGTGGCATCGGCGGGAGGGCGGCGGGGTGCCTCGTTCGCGGGCGATGACGACCGAACCGAGGACGAAAAAGTGGCATAAATAGGGGGAAGGGGATTGATGGTTGATAATGATGGGAGTAATGTAACCGTTAGGTGGCCGAGTAGATCTTTTGTTAGGTTGGTCGATGAACAATTCAAAATGGACCATTCTTCTTGATTACTGGTGTGGATAGGGATGATTCTTACTGTAGAGGTCTATGTCTGCAAGGTCCTCGGATCGTCAATGAGACCACTGCGATGTGACCTCAGGTAGTTGAAGGTGATTCCCACCGCAAGAGGACCTTGGGATATCGAGTACCCGGGGGGAAGCGGGAAACCCTACCTACGAGGACTGAGGAGATGTACGGACATTATAAACCCCTTCAGCATTCAGCATGCAGCACTCACTGGTTGGGTGCTGTTTCATTCGAGTCACACGCTTTTTATGTTGAGTTATTGCTCCCTATTCCCTCCTCCAGAAAACACCCAGAATGAACCCCCCCAACCAAGCCCCGCAACCACCCCCCTCCTCGCCTCCAGAAGGCACTACTACCCCCATTCTCCACGACCTCCTCATCATCGGCGCCGGCCCGTGCGGCCTCGCCGTCGCCGCCCGTCTCCGCGAAGAGACCCCGTCAGCCATGTTCACCGACGACGAGCACCAGCGGTACCACTGGATCAACAAGCACCGGGGGCGGATGACGGTGGTGCAGGCGCACGGGCGGGCGAGGAGGGGAGTGAGGGCGGAGAAGTATCAGAGCCCTAGCATCAGCTACAATATGAAAGATGATGAGAGTTCCGAACCCGACTTGGTCCATTCCCGCTCTTCCTCTATCTCCTCCTCCTCCTCCTCCTCCTCCTCCTCCTCCTTTTCAACGGACTCAACCTCCAGAAATTCCTCAGTCGATAACGAAGACACCCCGACGACACTCATCCTCGACAGCACCGGCGCCCGGTGGATGGAACGGTGGAACCGCGCCTTCCAGACCCTCGAGATCCAGCAACTGCGCAGCCCGATGTTTTTCCACGTCGACCCGCGAGACCGCGACGGGATGCTGGCGTATACGCAGGAGACCTCACGCGGGAAGGATCTGTGGGAGATTTCCGGGTGTGTGGGGAAGGAATTGAGTAAGCATCGGAGGAAGAAGAAAATGATCCGGGGAGGGAGGTACGGTTCATTGTCCATATTCTCTGGGCTTCACAGTAGTTTTTTTTTTTTTTTTTTTCATGCTAACAGCTCACCTCATCGCACCTGGCTAGAATCCCCGCCGAACCCGAAATCGACGAACGAGACCGCAAAGACTACTTCTCCCCCTCGACCGGCCTCTTCGCCGACTACTGCAACAGCATCGTCGCGCGCTACAAGCTCAACACCCCCGGACAGATCCGACCGAGCGAAGCAACCGACATCCAGTTTACTGACCGGCCGGAGCTGTTCGGGGAGGCGCAGGGGAAGATCTTCACCACGACCGCCGCCGACGGCACACAGCACTACAGCCGCGCCCTCGTGCTGGCCACCGGGGCGGGCGGGCAGCCGAATCTCCCGTTTCCCCTCACCCCCACCGAACAGCAGGGGGCGTGTCACAGCTCCCAGATCCGGGGGTTCCCCAGCGCCCACGTGCAGACGAAGATCCGTCAGGGGCAGCCGACTCATCTGGTGGTGGTGGGTGGGGGGTTGACGTCGGCGCAGATTGTGGATATGGCGATCAAGAAGGGGGTGCGTAGGGTTTGGTTGTTGATGCGATCGGATTTCAAGGGTGGGTAAATCAAAACTAACCCCCCATCTCCGAGACACCCCTGGATATTCAAGCTGGTCCTGATCGTAAGCTAACTGACTCCCCGCAACTGCGAAGTGAAACACTTCGACCTCACCCTGAACTGGATGGGCAAGTTCAAAAACCTCGAAAAGGCGCGATTTTGGTCGGCGGACACAGACGAGGAGCGGTTGGAGATGATCCAGGCTGCGCGCGGCGGGGGCAGCATCACCCCGCGCTACCAGAAGATCCTCAAGCAGCATGTCGCGACCGGACGTGTGGCGATTCACCCGCAGACCAGCATTACCGGACGGAGATACTGTGCGGGTTCGCGCACCTGGCGACTACAAACGGAGCCGCCGATTCCCGCGCTGCAGGACACCCCGGTGGATTACATCTACTTCGCGACGGGGATGCGGGCCGATGTCAACGAGATGCCGCTGTTGCACCGCATGCTGCGGGACTACCCCGTGGACACGAGTCAGGGCTTGCCGTGCTTGACGGAGGACTTGATGTGGGATGAAGGGGTGCCCTTGTTTGTGACCGGCCGCATGGCGGCGTTGAGGCTGGGGCCCGGGGCGGCGAATCTCGAGGGGGCGAGGCTCGGGGCGGAGCGGATTGCGTGGGCGATGGAGGATGTCTTGGGGCGGAGGCGGAGGCCGAGGGAGGGGGAGAGGGAGTGTTTTTGTGGGTTAGGGAATCGGTTTGCTGGTTTGGTGGATGTTGATGTTGAGGGTTAGGCTGTGTCAGACTGACTGACTGTGTACTACTACTACTAGTAATCTCCATCACAGCCTATTTGAGGCAAGATGCTACCTGCTTGCATTTGTTAACACAGCCCTTCTGCTCAATGCATGTGTGTGTGTGTTTCACGGTAGTAGACTTTGCACCACGAGTTAAAGCTTCTAGCCATACTACATAGGTATGACTCGTAGGCACGGTATAGGGGTCAACCGGACAGGAAGGCGGGGTTCTGCTCTTGCCCCTCAAAATCCAGGGAGCACGAACTATTCACGCATCGCCCTCTTCAACCGGGTTTCAGCTGTACAAAGTAGTACTCCGTATAGTTAGTAGTAGTAGTTCGAGCTGAGGCTGCCGCGGAGGCAAGGACATGTGGCGCAGCACATTGTGGCGGGTGCAGCACGGGTGTGGCGTGATGGGGTCTCGTTCCTTGATGTTCGCTGTGGTCGTACTTCTGGTTCGTGAAAGGTACAGCCACAGAGATGGATCTCTAGAAGATAGAGTTGATCTTGACGATAATCCAACCAGTGGCAACGAAAAGCGAAAGTTCTGTTGGTCGGGTGGGATTTCCGCGCAAGTCCGAGGTGTGAGTAAGTTAGGGTTGGGTTGGATTGGGTTTGGGGTAGTGGAAGGTCCACGTGCAAACACTGGCGCCTGCTACATTTACTGTTTCCTGTGATGGTGGATGATCTAGTAGCTAAGGCTATCCAGTCATATCTAGTAAAGTAGCTAGTATTTCTATCAAACATCGGCAGTAACATAGCTAGTCTATCTGTACATACAAAAAGCATGAATCAAGCCTCAACAGCTAAAGGAATATTATAGCCCGGAATCAACGGCGGCCAAACCGCTTCCTGCGAGACATCCTTCCCCTTCAGCTGACTCCGCTGCACCACCGCCTGGACGAGCTGCTCGGCATTCTTCTTGTCCGTCAAATCAATCGGCGCCAACCCACGGCCCAGCTGGCGGATCTGAATGCATGCCGCCACAGCCGTCAGCCCGAAATCATACGCAGGGATGACCAGCTCCAGCGCCCCGGTGGCCTTGCCGCTGAGGATGTCGCGACACAGGAACGGCTCCTGGCACAGCGGCCGACCGAGTCCGACCCCGTCCAGCGTGTCCAGCGCCTTGACCATCGCCTGGGCGGACCGGAACCCGCCGGTCAGATAGGACTTGGTAGTGGAGAGGGAGGAGACGATGTTCTGGGCGAATTCCATGAAGAACTGTTTTTGTTTTTTCGGGTTGGTCAGTCATAATCATCATGTGTGTACTGTAGCATGGGGCAGGGAAAACTCACAGCCTCCCGCTTCTTCGTCGAATCACGCTTCTCCTCCTCCTCATCGCCCATCTTCCAATTCTCATACGTTCCCCCCGACAACTCCACAAAGTCAAACCGATGCGCCTCCAACGCCTGACACAGTTGCCGCGCCTCGTCCGGCTGAAACCCGTTCGGCTGAAATTCGACGCTATTCACCTTGATCCCCACCACAAAGTCCGGCCGCACGCGCTGGGCGATCGCCTCGCGGATCTCCAGGATCAACCGCATGCGGTTCTCGAGCGAGCCGCCGTAGCGATCGGTGCGGCGGTTGGTGGTCTCCGATAGGAACTGGCTGAGCAGGTAGCCGTGGGCGGCGTGCAGCTGAATCCCGTCAAACCCGGCGCGCTCAAGGTAGGCGGCGGCGTGGGCGAACCCCTCCACCACCTGCTGGAGGTCGGCCTCGGTGGCCGCACGCGGCTTGGCGAAGGTGCTGCCCAGCACCTGCCCGACGAGCTGGACGTCGCTGGCACTGATGGGGTGCGGCTGCAGCAATTCCGACGTCTGGCGGCCCGGGTGGCTGACCTGCGCGACAATCAGGGACCCGTGCGTCTTCGCGGCGGCGGCCAGTTGCTGGAACCGCTGGAACCGCTCGTCGCCTGCTTCGGGGGCGGCGGAGGCGGGAAGGATGAGGTTGCCGGCGGCTTCGAGGTGGGCGGGATCGATCATCACGTTGCCGGTCAGGAGGAGCCCGATCTGTCCCGCCCCCCACACCCGGTAGGCTTCAATCAGCTCGTCCGAGGGGATGCCGCGCGCGTCCAGCTCGGTGGCGGACCAGCTCGAGAGCCGCTCGCTCATCGCCCCCTTGAGGAACCGGTTGGGGGCGCTGCGCTGCGAGAAGGAGAACTGCAGCGGTTGCGCCAGGGGAGTGGCGTCGACGACGGGGAGGCCTGCTCGCGTCATTGTGTGCAGCAGTAGATTAGCAGCAGGTGGTCGAGGTGTCGCAGTGGTTGAAACAATTATTGAGCAAAAGGACTCGGTGTAGGAAGAGGGATGACCCCCACACTTTAAACAATCTGATCAATGCATTGCTTGGTTAATCCAGAGTGGCATCACGGTCCTGGATTTCTAAGCTGTGGCCACGGAGATCATTCCTGAAAAGAAATAGTGGTGAGGATCCACACTTCTTCATCCACTCTTGGATTCTCACCTCGGCATCTTTTCATGGCCCCACAGTTGAATTCCCTATTGCTAAGTGGCGCACCGCGAGATAAGATTGACAACTACGGCGCTTTGCTCGTGCCCGATCCACCGATTGCTGGATGTTATGCCAGCAGGGACTGGTGCGTGTGTTCTTGACATCGATGGGTATTTATTGGTCTTCTCGGGCTATGTCGTGTTTCGGGAGGACGAGCGTTAATTGCACTCTGCGATAGCCTCTTACATCGGAGTAGCGGATGCTGCGCCCAGAGAAGTCGTGCATGCAGACTGTTCGCATTGAAAGAGCCTTGCTGGGGTAATCTACCTCATAGTAGGTTCTTGTGTCTTTTACCCACAGGAAGACCCGAAGAGGCGGTAGTCGACTCGAGAAGGAGATGGACAGCTTGTGGAAAGACTCAATGTCTATGCAGCCGACATAACATTGCACCGTCAAGGCATACCAATGCTGGCCAAAGCAATGCCACAGATGTCTGTTTCAATCAAAGTCTGGCTGAGTTGCCAAGATGACAGGCACCAATGCAATGTTGCCCTGAGTGGCCCAACTCTCTTTGCCAAAACCATGATCAGCACAAGAGCTTCACAATGTCTGGTGGAGATGATCTTATATGGCTGGATGCTCGGCAGCACGGCTCGTCGACCCCGAGTCTCGCATCAGAGACAGGGTCTTTGCTCATAGACTCGCGACTTCGACCTGGAGAGGTCAGTTTCGGCAGGCAGCAGATGTCTGGCTCCTTTGGGTCAGCCACCTGCGTACTCAGCTCCCAGAAGCCATCTTCAACATACCTTGGGGCAGTGCTATTGCCATGTGGAACCTGGCAGCTCTGGTGATTCTGGCTTCCCTTATGCCCTCAGATCTTAGCCGCAGCAAAAGATCGACGTAGAGGCAAGAGCTTATTGGGAAAGGCGAGCATGATCCCATCTCTTCACAGCCCTTTTCATTCCGTAACCTCGACTGAACGAAACATGAGACAACAGACAGGTGCTTTGGTCTATGTGGTCTATCTGCTATTCTGCATGATCCCCACAGAGATACTTCTAGGCTGACGTATGGCACATTGCCCACGACCTACACGAGCCCGCGTTAATTTCCTTGGTTTCACAGGAGGGTTTGAGCCGCAGCTTGAGAGTTAGTTAGAGGAGTGACCCGTCCATTGGGCCTGTTGTTTTGCTTCCTACAGCAGACAACTGGTGGCAGAGCTCGTGGGTTTCGCACTTATTCGCACTTACTTCTGACTGCTGTTATGTGGACCGGTGCAGCTTCAAGTCGTAGTCTATCTCCGTCGGAATCCACCGGCAAATCCCTCCCAGGTTGGATGCAGTATCTGTCCCGCTACGACTGGCATTCAAGCACTACCGAAAGTCATACCCGCATCTCTAAAGTCTGGTCCCATCGTCTCGAAAAACCCTTGCTTCGCCTCCGGCTAGCGAATCCGCCAACCTACGCCCAAGCAAACGTCTCGAAGACTCACCGACAAGCCCGATCTCGGGCTTGTCCACAAGTACAAGAAAGCAATACGAAAGGTTGCTGGATGCTGGGTCGAGTCCAGCATTCTCGTTACTTCTGAAAGACTTGGGTAGGTTGCACTTGGCATGGAGCAAGCAGTTGGGCTTGTGTGAAGCGCCTTGCTGACCGCCAGGCAGCTCTACCAACCGCAAAAGGATCGTGGGTGAGATCATCAACCACTCCTTCTAGGCTCGAACATATTGTTGAAGCGAGGGAGAGGTTGATTCAGCTGACTGGGTTTGTCCCCAGGCTGCTTCCAAGCGGCAAATGGACGGCGCAGTGGGAGGCGACAGAGGTCAGCGGCTGAGAAGAGATGATGATCATGATAATGTGATAATGAAGAGAGGGAAATGCCAATAAATTAATAATTCGATAGAGTTCAATTGCTTTTGAATTGAATTAACCGCCGGGGAGAAGGATTGGTTGCCTCCACTAGAATGGTTGTGATAGGAGGGTGGGGGAGGGTGGCTGTGTAAAAGTTGCTGCTGCTGCTGCATTCATTCATCATTATTCATTATTCCTCATCTCAACAATTCTCCCTCCTCCTCCTCCCTCCTCCCTTTCAACTTCACCTCACCTCACCTCACCTCATCCCCTCAATCCACTTTCTCTGGTTCACTTCTCTGCTGCGCCCCCTACCCCATTGTTTAGACTTCTCTTGGCCTGTTCCATCACTTTCAAAGGTCTACTATCCTGTGACTTGGTGGAGTCTATTGCCTTTGCAATGCCCCGAGGTTCTGGTCCAAGGACAACTCCAGTCCTGATAAGCTCGCCTTCGTGAATGCACATGCATTTTAAGCACAGCCCTTCTCGTCCATTTTTCTCTCCCTTTTATACATCGCCATTGGCCCCCATTCGGTACAAAGAAGGAAATCAGGCCTACGACCATTTCAAGGCAATTAGCTCGCACATACCCTACTTTCTTCCCCAATTGACTCAACCGGGTGTTCTTCTATTGATGCACGCTGCACTATTTCCTCGTCAGACAAATCAGATTTCGTGCCGCTCACCTGAATATGCGGTCTTCAGACGAGCATCGTCAGGCCGAGGGTTTGAACCCGTTCGGGGTTTCAGATAGAGGGGTATGTGCAAATGAAGCGGCGCTTGCGCTTCCATAGCATCTGAGTATATCATGTTAACCAAAGCAGCGTCCACACTCTTCCGACTCAGGATACCTGAGTCCATCCTCACCGTCCGACATGGCTGCCACTCTTTCCCCAAACAGACTCATGGCGCACCCCGACTCGTCGCGGACCTCGCATTCCCTGGATGGAGAGACGCTCCGTCCTCGGGCTGACTCCACCATCTCCAGCGCAGACACGGCCGTGAGGTCCAGAGCCAACTCGGAGCTGACTGCTGTTCCAACCAAGCTGGTCTACGATGATGTCTCGCTGTCGGACGCGCTGAACCCGGATCCGCGCACAGAGGGGGACTTTGTCGTCCAAGACAACAAATTCGCCTTCTCGCCCGGCCAGCTCAACAAGATGCAAAACCCCAAGTCGCTTGCTGCATTCCAGGCTCTGGGTGGCCTCTCCGGGTTAGAAAGGGGCCTACGAACCGACCTCGCCTCCGGGTTGTCGGTGGATGAGACCTACCTGGAAGGCACGGTGAGTTTCGACGACGTAACCACTTCCGCAGCCTATGGCTCGGCGAAGCACGAGCACCGCCGAGAAAAGGAGCTGCAAGTGTCGCAGCCATCGCCCGAGTCTCCTCATCACATCGCCTCAGGCTTGGATGCACAGTTCCAGGACCGCATCCGCGTCTTCAGCCAGAACAGACTGCCGGCTCGCAAGTCGACAGGCTTTTGGACGCTGTTCTGGCGTGCCTACAATGACAAGATCATCATCTTACTGACCATAGCCGCCGTCGTCTCCTTGTCGCTCGGTATCTACGAGACCACCAGCGAGGGAAGCGGGGTCGACTGGATTGAAGGGGTCGCAATCTGCGTGGCCATCTTGATTGTGACGACTGTCACGGCCGCGAACGACTGGCAGAAGGAAAGGCAGTTCGCGAAGCTCAACAAGAGAGTAAGTCCCAGCGTCCTTGCCGGATTGCGCGATGACTGACGGCGACAGAACAACGATCGAGAAGTGAAGGCCATCCGCTCAGGCAAAGTTTCCATGCTCTCCATTTTTGACATCACGGTGGGGGATGTTTTGCATCTCGAACCGGGCGACTCCATCCCTGCGGACGGCGTTCTGATTTCGGGGCATGGGGTGAAATGTGACGAGTCTTCGGCGACCGGCGAATCGGATCAGATGAAGAAGACCGATGGATATGAAGTTGGACGTCACCTCGCAGCTGGTACTGCATCGAAGAAACTTGATCCTTTCGTGATCTCTGGCAGCCAGGTGCTCGAGGGAGTGGGCACCTACCTCGTGACCAGTGTTGGACCGTACTCCACCTATGGCAGAATTCTGCTATCCCTGCAGGAGTCTAATGACCAGACTCCCCTGCAGGTCAAACTGGGCAAGCTTGCTAATTGGATTGGCTGGTTGGGCTCCGGGTAAGTGAATTGACTCCTGCTAAAGTTTTCATCGACTGAGTGTATCAGCGCGGCGATCATTCTATTCTTCGCCCTATTCTTCCGCTTCGTCGCAGACCTTCCACACAACAATGCCTCGCCCGCCGTCAAGGGCAAAGAGTTTGTCGACATTCTGATTGTGGCTGTCACGGTCATTGTCGTTGCGATCCCTGGTGAGTAATCTGGCATACCTGTAGAAGAAACCTACTGACCCGAGTATCCAGAGGGCCTTCCACTTGCTGTCACTCTAGCTCTTGCCTTCGCGACTACCCGCATGGTCAAGGAGAACAACCTAGTTCGCGTTCTTCGGGCATGTGAGACTATGGGCAATGCAACGGTTATCTGCTCGGACAAGACGGGGACTCTCACGCAGAACAAGATGACGGTTGTTGCAGGGACACTTGCTACCCGGAGTTTCAGCCAGAACGCGGATGGAAGCGCGCCTGGCTCCACGGCAAGCGAGTTCTTCAAGCAGAGCTCTAGCAAACTGCGAGACCTGGTCACCAAAAGCGTGGCGCTGAACTCGACCGCCTTTGAGGAAGAGAAAGATGGCCAAAAGCAGTTTATTGGCAGCAAGACCGAAGTGGCGTTGCTGCAATTGGCGAAGGACCATCTTGGCATGGACGTGACGCTTGACCGAGCGTCTGCGGAGATTGTCCAGCTCTTCCCCTTTGACTCTGCTCGTAAGTGCATGGGTGTGGTCTACCGCGAGCCTGCCTTTGGCTATCGCCTTCTGGTCAAGGGCGCGGCCGAAATCCTGGCGGGTGCTTGCACTACCCACATAATCGACAGGGATTCCGACAAGGACAGTCTCGCTGTCGACTCGCTGCGCGATCACGACAAGCAAGACATGCTTGCTCTGATTGAAACCTACGCCAGCCAGTCGTTGCGCACTATAGGAATGGTGTATCGCGACTTCCCGAGCTGGCCTCCCCATGGCGTCAGACGCATGGAGGACGAGCCCGCGGCGGCGGTGTTCGATGATGTCTTTCAGGACATGAATTGGATTGGAGTGGTTGGCATCCAGGACCCTCTGCGGCCGGAAGTTCCAGCTGCCATCCGCACATGTCATGCGGCAGGCGTGCAAGTCAAGATGGTCACGGGTGATAATCTGGTTACCGCCAGTGCAATTGCCGCCGCTTGTGGCATCAAGACCGAAGACGGGATCGTCATGGAGGGTCCCAAGTTCCGCCAGCTCTCCGACGACGAGATGGACCGCGTCATACCCCGGCTTCAGGTGCTCGCACGCTCATCGCCGGAGGACAAACGGATCCTGGTAGCTCGGCTCAAGAAACTCGGCGAAACCGTCGCTGTGACCGGAGATGGCACCAACGATGGCCCGGCTCTTCGGACAGCAGATGTTGGCTTTTCGATGGGTATTGCCGGCACGGAAGTCGCCAAAGAGGCTAGTTCTATCATATTGCTCGACGACAACTTCAAGTCAATCGTCACTGCTATCGCATGGGGCCGTGCCGTCAACGATGCGGTGGCCAAGTTCCTCCAATTCCAGATCACTGTCAACATCACCGCCGTCATTCTGACCTTGGTGTCCTCGCTGTCCAGCAGCGACAACCAGAGCGTCTTGAGCGCGGTGCAGCTGCTCTGGGTGAATTTGATCATGGACACTTTTGCGGCGCTCGCCTTGGCGACTGATGCGCCGACGGAGAAGATCCTTGATCGCCAGCCGGTCCCTAAGAGCGCGTCCCTGTTTACTGTGATCATGTGGAAGATGATACTCGGTCAGGCAATCTACCAGCTCGCCATCACCTTCATGCTGTACTTCGGCGGGAAGACGATTATTGGCTCTCAGCTGGGCAGCGAGCACCCCGAGCTGGTTCTAGACACAATCGTGTTCAACACGTTCGTCTGGATGCAAATCTTTAATGAATTCAACAACCGACGACTTGACAACAAGCTCAATATCTTCGAGGGCATGCTCCGCAACTACTGGTTTCTCGGAATCAACTGCATCATGGTCGCCGGGCAGATCATGATTGTCTTCGTTGGGGGAGAGGCCTTTGGTGTCACCCGGCTCAACGGCATCCAATGGGCCATCTGCTTCATCTGCGCTCTGGGCTGTCTGCCGTGGGCGATCGTTCTGCGTCTGACTCCCGACCGACCGTGTGAGATTGCGCTGGACTTTGCCGTGCGCTGCATCACCTTTGTGACAGCGCCCGTCGCTCGCGGAATGAGATGGCTAGCAGAGTGTGTCAAGTCTGTAGTGCGGCCTCTGACGCGCACTGCGAAGCGTGCAATGCCTCGTCGCCAGAAGGCGGGGACTGCTGACACTGAGGCGTTGCCGGACGAAGAGGCGGGCACTACATCGATGCAGGTGCTCCAACGAAAGGCGACCCCTGAGGCTCCCCCGGCGACAATCCCGGTTCCTCCCATCACCATTACGACCTCATGAATTATGAAACACTGACTGATAGAGCCAGACTCGGCACTGTGCTTCTATGCTTACCTCTTGCTGTGTTTGATTATGGCTGGCCGGTGTTGTACTGTACATATGTATATAAGGCGGGGTGGCTTGGTCTTGGCTTTTAGCGCGATACTCTGATTTTTTACTGTAATATAGAGAGAACTTGATACCTAGACAGCAGCAATGCAATGTTGTGCTATACGATGTATACTTTCAGAAGCTTCTGCCTCAGGCAATCAATCAGGCCTGCGGATGTCTCCGCACCGCCACTTCGAGTGCGCGCCGCCCGCCCGCTGCCTCGTCGTTCCGTACCTTTCAACTCTCCTGCTGCTGTTGCTCTCCGTATCCGTCATCTACAGCTCCTGTCGGCTTGACTTATTGTATTTGCGCCGTGTCTCTGCTCTCTGGCATTGAGATTGTATTCTCGTTGCTCACTCCACATTTCCAATCCACGCCTGAGCTCATCTGCAGACTAACCACGGTGTTCAACTCCTTTCCCCGCGGAACCGCCATCCAGGTAATGACGATGCCTACAGTGCCTGACATCCTCCTCCTCCCTTTTCCTCACTCCCAACCAATACAACAGCTAAAGTAACCAACTCTCTAACTCCCAGATACTCTTCGCATAACTCCCAGACGAATTGACAAATTGAACCCCGCCCTCTTGACACCACTCCATCCATACCCTAGGGATCTACCCCCTCACCCCCACCACCACTACCACCAACAACAACAACGACAAACCCATCACGATACACAACCAGCAAAATGGCGCAACTCAACTACCGCACAATCAACATCGACGTCCTCGACCCGGACTCCTCGATCAACTTCCCCATGGACACCCTCCTGCCGGCCACGCTACCCGCGCCGACCACCTCCAGCGCCGCCGCCGCCGTGGCCGGCGAGGTGCGCCAGCTGCTGCGCGGCGGCGACCCGGAGGCGGCCCTTCGCCACGTGCTGGACACCGCCCCGCTGGGCGGCGACGAGCGCGCCAAGGAGGTCCATCTGGCGGCCGTGACCGAGGTGCTGCAGGGGATTCGGCAGGGGGAGATGAGCCGGGTGCTGGAGGGGGTTTGTACCGGGGAGGGTGGGGCGGGGCGCGCGGATTGTTTGATGAAATATTTGTATGTTGTCTTTTTTCCTCTTTCTCCTTTTACCTAGACTTTTTATCTACACCTTTTACAGGCTTCTGGTTAACGACACGACATCAACAGGTACAAAGGCATGGCCTCCCCGGTCTCGAACCAGACCCCCCGCAAATCGGTCTCGCCGCAGAACACGGGCTTCTCGCAGATTCAGGGCCGCAACTTGGGCGAAGGCGGTGGTGGTCAGCAGATGAGTGTGCTGTTGAGCTGGCATGAGAAGTTGGTGGAGTTGGTTGGCACGGGGTCGATTGTGCGGGTCATGACGGATCGGAGGACGGTTTAGATTGATGATGGTAGTTAGAGTCTGTGTTGTTAGTATGTACTTGACACTTCATCAATGATGGAGGTGACGGATATATTTTTCTCTTCTGAGTCTGCCTCGTTTCCCCTGTATATATATATATATATATATATATGTTAGAGTCTCTTTCATTCTGCAAGCTACATATCATATCATACAACGCTTTTGCTTTTTTAGCTAGGAAGGCTGGGAACTTAAGAGGGGGTTTCATTTCTGCTCAAACGACCCTCCCCCCAGAATATCCTTCAGATTCAACTGCCCACTCCCCCTCTCCAGTGGCTGCGCCTGGCCCGCGCCCTCCTTCCACCCAATCATATAGATCAGTCGGAACGTGGCGGGAATCCCTCTGGCGCCCTCCTCCATATGCAGCTCACGGTAGATCGCCTCGTTCGCCAACAGCACCTCCCGGCCGAGGGGCCCCATCTCGCGGTGCAGGATGGCATTACTCTCGCCCATGGCCTGCAGATCCGCCATCAAGGAGAAAGTATCCGGGAACTCGACCACGATATCCTCGACATCGATCGTCAGCATCTTGAAGCCCGCCTTGTTCAGCAATCCGCCGACGTCGCGCACGTCCGCCAGCGGCGAGACATGCGGGCTGACCCCGCCCCGCCGCTCCAGATCGGCCAGCTGCAGCGAGGTGCGCAGCTCAAACAACGTGTCGCCGCCGAACATGGCGGCGATGAACGGCGCATCCGGCTTGAGAATGTGGTTGACCTGCGCCAGCAGCGAGGGGAGGTCGTTGATCCAGTGGATGCTCAGCGACGACAGCACCGCGTCGAAGCTGTTCTCCGCGTACGGCAGCGTCTCGAGATCCGGCACGACTTGCCGCGTGATCGGCAGTGCTCGGTTGAACGGCTGGTCGATGTCCCGGTTGAGCAGCGCGCTGCTCGTGTCGATGCACGTCAGGTGCGAGATGCGGGAGGCCAGCGGCTCCGCCTGGCCCGTCGGCGAGCCTTCGTCGGGCAGTGGGGTGGTCAGCGCCCGCGCGATGTTGCAGCTGTTGGCCCCGAGGTCGAGGACCTGCGGGAAGTCGCGTTTGATGTCCTTGATTCAGGAAGAAAACTTGATGTTTAGCGAGATGGTTTGGGTTGGGTTTTGGAGGCATTTGAGGAGGAAGGGGCGGTGGTAGGGCTCGGGCGAGGGGGGAATTTTGTATGTTACCAGCAATCGCTCGCATAATCGCCTGGCGACCTCGTCTTTAATATAATCCGTCTTCCGGCTCTCCTCGACGTTCTGGGCCGCTCGGTCCTTCTGGAGGTGCTTGACCCGCCGGTTGAAGATCTCCATCACCGGGTTGCCGGGCGTTTGCATGGCGTATGTCCGTCGAGCGATACATGATCTTGTCGGTACGGAGGGTAGATGTGCTGTGGTTGGGCTGCTGGCGGTGGGGGTAGGGATGTGTGACCGCACCAGCGGCCGTAGGAGTCGAGGTAGAGACATGGTTGCTTGCTCGCCAATTGCTGTGAGGTTCAACGCTTGGAGGTTGCGTTGGATGCCAGATCGACAGGCGGGCAGAAAAGTCACGGCGGAGAGGCGGCGGGAACGTGACGTCGGGGCGGAAGGGAAGGTCGGCCCTCACTCCGCATTTTTTCCGCTGCTGGTGTTCTGGATTGGTTTCCCTCCATGACATGCCGTTTCTCTGCTGTGTGCGGTTTTGTTGGCGTAACGCCTGGTGATGAGAAGATCATGATTGTTATGTCTGGTTGAGTCTTGTCTTGCTGCTATTTTTTGTTTCTGCATGGTTTCTGGTCGTGATACTGCACAAGGTATGCTTCCCCTATGTTTCATTTCGCGCCCCCCGTCCCCCCCACCCCCAACCTCCTCGGACTGATATCAGATACAGCATGCAATTGTTGAGATAGTCTCCACGCATCCCATCATGTCACGTCCATTCCCCTACGCGTACATCTCCTGTCCCTGCGCCAACACCCCCGTCCCGGATCCCTCCAAGAAACGCCGGTCGCGCGAATCCCCGCAGAAGGCCAGCCATCACCCCGACCATCCCAAACCGCCGCCGCGCTTCGACGACAGCGAAGACGAACAAACCTTCGACCCCCGAGCCCCCCGTTCGAACTTCTCCCTCTATCCCCCCGAGCACCTCCTCTACTGCGAGGACTGTCACCAGATCAAATGCCCGCGATGCATCACAGAGGAGATCGTGTGCTGGTACTGTCCGAACTGCCTGTTCGAGACCCCGAGCAGCATGGTGAAGAGTGAGGGGAATCGGTAGGTTCTAGGTTGCCTGCTCTCTGGACCCCACAAACTGATCATCTTATCGGGGAGATGTGCACGCAACTGCTTCAACTGCCCTGCCTGCACCGCGCCGCTGGCGGTCAACACCCTCGAGAACGTCGTCCGCGGCGGCACGAGCCAACAAGGCCCCTGGGTCTTATCCTGCGGCTACTGCATGTGGTCGACGCTGGACATCGGCATCAAATTCGACAAGCCCACCAACATCCGCACGCAGCTGGCCAAGCTAACCGCGACCGACTCGAACCCGGCCCGCTCGCGGCAGATGTCGCGCACCTTTGGGGAGCTCAAGTCGCCCCTGTCGACCTTTGCATCTATCGACGAGCCATTTCCTCCAGCTTCGGGGGAGGCGCGAGCGGACGACTCGTCCGACCAGTCAACCACCCCGCTCAGCCCGGACGCCCGGTTCCACGCCCTCAAGAACTTCTACAAGAACCAAATCTCTGCGACCTCCTCGTCGCCCAACGACCCGCTCGGCGTGGATTTCGGGGCCGGGTTCTCGTCGCCGGGAGCCCTAAACCGGATCATGTCGCTCTACACCTCCTCATCGCGGCTCAGCAGTCTGTACGGGGGCGCCAGCAAGAAGCCCAAAACGAAACCGCCGGTCATGCGCGAGGCGCTCACCGCGAGCGAGGGATTCCAGACGCCGGCCCCTGACGCAGAGATGAGCTTTCTGCAGCGCATGGCGAGGGAGGAGTGCGGCTGGGACGGGCTGGCCTCGCTCGAGCAGCGCGGCTTCCAACCGCCAACCGCGCGGTTCGTGGACGAGCTGCTGCCGCTGGCGACGCTGCTGCGCACCAAGCGCGCCAAACGGTGCAAGTCGTGCAAGCACATCCTCGTCAAACCCGAGCAGAAGCCGCAGTCGACCCGGTTCCGCATCCGTCTGATCGCCCTCAGCTACATCCCGTTACCGACCCTCCGCCCGTTGACCATGCCCGTGCCACCACCGGCGGGAACGGCGGCCGCGGGTGTGACGATGGCCGCTACCACCACCAGCATCAGCATGCCCGTGAACCTCGACGCCCTGCCGCCCCTGCGCCCCACCCAGCTGCTCCTCACCCTCAAGAATCACATGTTCGATCCCGTCCGCATCACCCTGGCCACTCCGGCCGTGACCCCGGGCCGCGTGGCCTCCAGGGTCACCATTCTCTGTCCGCAGTTCGACATCGGTGCCAACAGCGACGTGTGGGACGAGGCGCTGCAGGCCAACTCTGCCACGGCGGCTGCAACCGCGGACCAGCGCTCCTCCCGCTCCGGTGCCGGTGCCGTCGCCGCCTCCACCACGACCAATAATCCCCCCTTTGGGGTCTACGAGAAGGTCGCCGAGGCCGGCAAAGTGTGGGACAAGGGCCGCAACTGGACAACCGTCGTCCTCGAGGTCGTACCGGGGACGTTGCCGCCGTCTAGTGCAACCCTCCCACCTCCGAAGACGACGACTACTACTACTACTAAAATCACCGAAACTGCCGACAACGATGGGGACAGCGACAGCAACAGCGACACCAGCAGTTTCGGCACCGGGGCGGTCCCGGATTGGACCGGCCAGGCCGCGGAACGGGACAAGCAACAGCAGCAGCAGCAGCAGCAACAGCAGCCGCTCCAACCAGACGAGGACGTCCTTGAGATCCCCGTCTTCGTGCGCATGGAATGGGACTCAGAGAATCAGATTGATCGGCCGGGCGTGAGTGCCGCGGGCGAGATGGTGAAGCGGGAATTGGCGTATTGGATGGTGCTGGGGGTGGGCAGGATTGATCCGAGTGTTTTGGGGTGATTCGGCTGTCGGTATCAGTTGTTATCTGAGTTGTCGAGGTCGACGAGGAAGCATTACTTGTGAGAATGTACATGCATTTTAATGGGATCCTATCCAAAACCAAGCCCAGAGTGCACACAGCCCAAGGCTAAGTTCATAACTTGATGAAACCTGTGCTTTCGAAACAACCGCCCCCACCTAGAAACAAGACTATCATTATAGTAGATGTGATATTCCCCAGTCCAACAACAACAACAACCACATTTGTACACACATTCAAACAAGAGCAAACTACCAAGAAAGAAACATAATACTTGAGCGACTGACTGACAGAGCGATGACAGACAGACAGATCGATAGGCAGGCAGAGAAACACCCTACTTGGAGAGAGATTCCAGACAAAACCCGCCGCACCACCACCACCACCACTTCCTGCTGGTCGAGGTAAAGTAAGTACAGTACAGTACATCCCACCGAGTAGCAAGATAAACAAACAAACTGCCAGTGAGTACTAGACGAATCCCAAGCAGGAAAGCAGGAAAAGAACTTCCGCTTTTTGTTCCTACCCATCTCGTCCCACTGCATCCTTCAATATATAACTGGATATAGATATAACCATTTACTAATGTGTTGGACCACTACTACTACTACTACTACTACTACTACTACTACTAGTGGTGGTAATAGAATGATCCTAACTCACCATAGGACTAGGTAGGAATATCATAGATCTCCACTATTCCAGAACTATCTTGTCGATTATATATAACCCGTGGATGATTCAATCTTAATAACTTACGAAGTAACCTCAGGTTTCAGTAGAACAAGGGACCTGATGACTCGGGTGGTCCCATGGTGATGATCCTTTGTTATCTGGGAATTATCTAAGAGGATCGAGTGGATGTAGATTTGGGACATGGATATACATAACATAAGTATATACGGGGTAGATGTGGACATGTTTGGTGAAAACAAGGATTGCGAACATGAACTTAACATGTTTCATGGCGAAACAAACAAGCGGGACTCAAAAAACTATGGGGCGTGGAAATCTAGATGTGTATACAGCCATAATACACAAGAAACAACCCAAGGCGAGGGTCATTCCACTGAAAGTTCCACCTCCATCTATCATACCTACTTTACAGCTGCAGCGATAGACTAATGTTGAAGGTCAAAGGTTAAGGTTAAGGTTAAAATTTTTCATGAGAAGAGGCATCTTCTCAAAGTTTCCAGTTCCTCACAACAGCCATCATATTTGAATTCCCTTTAAGATCCTGATTTTTCCCAGACAACAACACAGTAATTCTTTAAAACAACATTTGGTTTTCATAAGTTTGGATGAAAAGAAATGGAATTATCGAAAAGAATCCCGGATTGTCTAGTAGTCAGAGGCACCACCCTGGGGGAACTCGAAGACAACAGCACGGCCAGTCAACCGGCGGTAGACCTCGCCGTAGGCGTCGAGGCGGTGGTCAACACCACCACGCTCCTTCTCGTCAAGGATGACCTTGAGGGTCTTGGAGCCATCCTCCTTGGTGCGGATGCGCTTGCCGACAATCTCGACGGGGTAGACGAGGTCGGTCAGGATGGCGTCGTGGACAGCGGTCAAAGTGCGGGAACGAGGGCGCTTCTGCTTCTGGGTGGTGCGGGAGTTGACGGAGCGCTTGGGGCGGGGCAGGATGCGGCGCTGAGCAACGAAGAGGACGTGGCGGTCGGAGAACTTCTTCTCGAGCTCACGGGTCAGACTGTCAAAAGGAATTAGTTGAGTTCGTCCTGGTGCTATGAGCTCGTTGGTGGGCGGAGATTGTCCATGGCCGTGGTGATTATTACAGCCTAGGGCGCACTTGGCAAGGGAAAGCGATGGAAACATGTGTCAAACATGTCAAAGGACTGGGGGACTCCCGTACCGCTGCTGGATCTTGTGGAAACCCTGGAGGAGAGGGACGGGGACGAAGATGATGACGGCCTTCTTGCCGTGACCAACCTCAACCTGCAAATTCACGAAAATTCGTCAATATCACAATCGCGCAGATGAACTTCGGCAAAAAAAAAAATGGCAAGCGTTCGCGATATCAGCGCAGCAGATTAGTCGTATTCCTTGTCCGCAGCGTATTGTTCCTTTCCGTGTTGACCTATTCCCATCCAATTCGAATGTCCCATTGTGCGGTATCATTCGGGAACGCATCATCCCAATCCGCTGCAAAATCAGACTTGGTGTTTTGGTTGCTGGTGTCGTGGCTTGCTTGCTGGGATGTCGTGCCTCATTTCCGCATTCCGCACACAAAAAATTCCAATTCCCCCAATTGTTGGCCTGGCACGAAAAAAAATCCTCCTCTTTCGGACAAGGCGATCTGATCTGCTGGCGGAAACCACAAAGGCAATATCACACAAAGACAGTCCTTACCTCACGGGCAGAGACGAACTGCAGGGGCCGAAGGGTGGCCTTCAGGTCCTGTGTGTTGCTCTCGAGGTCGAACAGAGCACCGGCGATCGCGGTCTCCAGCTCGGAGGGGTTCTGCCGCGAGGGCGAGTTAAGGGCGATCTTGTTGATGGCAGCCATTGTTGCAGACAAGCGACGGGTTGCTGGCTGTGCTGCTGGGGGGGTGGCGGAGAGGTGGTTGCTGCCTTCCTTGTCGTGAGGTTGGTGGTTGAAATTGGTGATACCAGCAGCGACCCAATTTGCGCTTGGGTCGGCTGTGGGATCGGAGGCTCGGCGCTCTCGCTTAGCCGGCCGTCTTATGCCACATTCGGCCTAGTTAGGGGTGGTCCGGTCCCGTGATCTGTCTCGCCCTTCCAGTCCGTCTCTTCCCCGCCTACTTATCGTTATCTATGCGGACTACGTACAGTAGGTACCTAGTTGTTGGTTGATAGTGTACGGTAGGTTTCTCCAGCCCTGACTGGGATCATAATCGCATTATTATCCAGTCAGTACGTGACGGACGGTTCTCGTTCTAATCCCATTCCCGCCACTGCATCCATCATCTGTACATCTTGATCTCCTCCCCAGTCGGAGTCCGGGAAATTGGCATAATTGGAAAACGCTGTCGCCGACTGATACAAAACAACAAGCTGAGACGACTCGGACCGTAGAACCAGTCTCTCAGGCGCTGACAATCCAAACCCCCTGAGGATGAACACATTAACCTGTAATCAACCTGGTATTGTATTGAAAAGAACAGAACCATAAGAGAGGCAGAAAAGACAACAATAACAAAAAGGCAAGCAATTATAAAAGCAATTTGGTATCAGCATGCACATCCTTCCTTGGCTGTCGCGGCGCCTCTCTCGCCTAGGTTGACCCGCGAGTCCTCGGCCGGGCGACCGCCGCTTAAACTGGTCTGTCCGGTGCCTGCGCCTGCTCCACGACCGCTCTTCAGGCTACTCTCGGGGATCGCATTGGCTATAGCGGTGAAAACATCGACAACGTTTACTCCAGTCTTGGCACTGGTCTCAAAGAACAATAGGCCTTCTTCCTCCGCGTAGGCGCTAGCCTCACGTGTCGGCACCTTCCGAGCGTCTCCGCTCGAAGCGTCTTGTTCCTCTTGAGATTCCTCGGTGGCCTCGTCTCCCTCGGCTGGCGAGGACTCGTGTTCTCCCTCGGCCTGCGCCTCACCCGCCGCTTCATTCGCGTCGTTTGTCAAGTCCAGCTTGTTACCGACGAGGGCGATGACTATCCCGGGGCTGGCCTGGCGTTGGAGCTCAGCCACCCAGTGCTTAGCCTTGGTGAGCGAGGACGGCTTGGTAACATCGTAAACCACCAAAGCCGCTTGGGCGTTTCGGTAGTACATGGGTGCAAGCGAGGCGAACCGCTCCTGACCAGCGGTATCCCAGATCTCGAATTTAATCGTCCGCGTCGGAAGGGAACATTTTTGGGTCAGGAAGGCCGCTGAAACCGAGAGGGACCCATGACATCAGCTTCCGGTGTCACCGCGGGGAGGCTTTCGGGGGACATCGCCACACATCGGATGCTTACCTCCAATTGTTGGCTCCTTGTTCTCTTGAAAGTCATTGTTGACAAATCGCAGCACCAATGACGACTGTTAAGCCCAAACAAGATCCATCCCATTCATTGTCAGTCTCCTGAGTCACTTTTGTCCCACGCACAGAGACAAAAAATGGGAAACTGCTGAGGTCGCTCATACCTTTCCAACCGCCGCTTCTCCCAAAAGTACCAGCTTGACGCTGCTGCTCGGTTTCGCGGTATTGGCGCTGGTTGACTCAGACATGGCCGTAAAGAGCCCAACGATTTCAGGATGGGGGAAATTCAATCAGGTCGTCGTGCAGAATAGGCTAACAGCCACGGTGATTATGGGTCGTTGAGGGCCGGATTTCTGCTCGCGAGGGGCGGCTCAGGCCGGCAATACAGATGGCAAAAAATAGGCTCGGAAGGGAGTAGCCTAAAACCGACGACGTAAGCAGGAAACACGAGGTAGATTTGGAGTCAGCTTCAAACAGGGGGGGGGGGGTAAGATGAGGGGGGGCGGCGGGCGAACACAAGACATGAAAGAGTAAGTGGGAGAGAAAAAAAAGCCGACAAATAGGGAGACGAATACTACGTACCAGGAGGTAGAAATCGAAATGGCGGTAAAGAAGGGCAGCGATGCGAGAGGAGGATGAGGAGGCAGAGTGACGACGGCGAGGAAGAGAGAGAGAGTAGCGAGAGATGCTAACCGCCCATGTCGATACCCAGTGAGGCGGAGGTCCGAGTAGATGGACTACTATGGACGGCGCGATGCCCAACTGGGATTAGCGGTCCCCGGCAGTCACGGGACGTTCCCGCCTTGCCGAAAGAGGGCTAGATGGTCCGAGTGCAGTTCAGGCAGGCAGTGGTACCTGAGGCGTAAGTCCCGTCTGCTGCATCATTGGCGTAGGAAATGCGGTGTAGTAGTTTAAATTTCACCCAACCCTGACCAAGTAATTAGACGAGAGAAAAAAAAAAAAAACAAAAAAGATAAAATAAAATAGAAAAAATTAAAATAGTGGCTTTGCGGGTGACAGCAGACACGCACATACGGGAAATGGGGTCAAAAAAGAGGGGCTTGACGTTGTCGTCGATTGATTGTACCTAACTGTAGCTAAGCTAGGGCTTCTGGTTCTCTGTCTTCCCCGGGAGAAATGCCCTGCACATACACTCATTAGTCGAGACTCGGATTTCAGGACTCACGACCATAACCCTCTTTCGGCCTGGTGTGCAAGCACCTGCCTGAATACCTGCCTCATTCCACCGCCTGTCCATACCCATCGCCGCTGTCAATGCAGATTGTGTCGTCTTTCAGGCCTCATCCTGGCGGTAAAGGCGATAGATCAACTTTTCCGTCATTCAAAGCCCTCAAGTACATCGAAATGTTCTCATTGGGCGACAAGCGATCTAGCCCAACCCAGCACATCCAAGCAACTAAGGATGTAGCTAGGCAAGCCGACACTTACGTCGAAGGCACGAGGGAACCAACAGTGTCCGACAACATGCCATGAAGTCCGAGCATGACGTGCCAAAAGAGGATCCCCCCTTCGCCCCCTCCCCCCCACCACCTTCAACGGCCAGGATCGCTTGTCAGCCTGTTTAGTTGAAGACAGTCAATTCTCCAGTGGTAGCCCGTGCTGTCATAAAGCCGACGTTGCACGACATGATTTGCGCAGGGCCTGGTGGCTGCCCAAAGAAGAAGCACATGCAAGCCTGCGCTCGCCCTTCCTGATTCTCGACCAGGATCCACCTAGATAATGCTTAGGGCCGGCAAATCACCTTGGAGATGCTCTGTACCCTCCCGTCAAGCCGTCTCTGGGGCAATCACTGCTTCAATGGATTGCAGTCCAGCCTGCCTAGTGCAAGGTTATTCCTGAAGCTTTCAAGCTGGCATGCGGGACAAGACTCCTAATCCTGGAAGTGGAGGAGCCAGAAAATGGAGCAAGAACGAAACTGACCATTATTCTAGATGCAAAGCTTCCCTCTACCGAGCATAGGATACATCTGCACAAGTCAAGAAAGACCCCGCACCATGCACAAGAACGAAATGAGTCCACTTAGGAAATGTATTCAGTAAAAGTAGACGAAATAACAATAGAGGTAAGTGACCGCGAGGCCAGAAGTTCTAGTCTGTCTTGGTATCAATCCATGTATCCCACTGCACAAAATGAACAGTCAAAGCAAAACAACCCAATCCGTCTATAAGAAACGCCGATTCTAGAATAAACCAAAACAAGAAAGCCGATTGGAAGAAAGAGATGGCTTTTAATAAAACAGATCATGGACCGGAAGTCGTGTCGGCGGGATTAGAAGGTATATGGCGTTCAGGAAAAGTAAAAAAAAAAATAATAAAGTCGAACCAAGAAGAAAAGGTAGCCGTTGTCGGTCCATGGTCGAGGGTGATAGCGAAAGGTAGTGCGTGATTAGGACCCGAATAGAGTATTCCGAAACCAGGGATGGCCAACGAAAGACGTAAGAAAATCAGATAGATGTAGTGGTACATAAACTAGAGGGTATGGTTAGTTCTGGATCAGGCCCAGGCGCAAACGGGATGCACAGCACATACAAGCTCGACTTCATAGCAGCCACGTTAGAACTCCAGGGGCCCTGCACAAGGTGCAAGAAGCCCACAAGTAACTTTTTCGCTCGAGAGATCAATAGAATAGCAGATTGTGGTGGGCAGATGTCCTCCAGGGATTCATCGAGTCGAAGGGGGTGGCGGCGGAGCACCGGGCTTCTTGACCCCCGTGGTATCATAAGCTCCGCGTCCCATGTTGAAGGCTGAGAGATCCTTAGGTATCATTGCCGATTCTGCACAGACAGCCATGGTCAGAGAGGTTCAAGATAGGTCTTGTGAGAGAACCGAGGCAATAGAGGTAGGAAGATTGTGAAAGTAGGATGGATGAGAGAAAGTTGTTGTCGGGGGTTGAAGGGAGTACTCACGGAAGCTTAAATAAAGGACGGGTCTGGCTCTCCGGGAGACCAGAGGACTAATTCAAAAATGTCGAAGGCGAAAAATAAATATCAGAAAATAAATGTTGAGGAATTCCAATAAATAGGGTGACTGTGCGTTTGTTGATAGATCGCCTAGCGAGGTACCCAAGATTCCCGGCAAAGAACAGGCGGTAATGATGCAGAGAACGGATGATGCAGCTGCAGGTGAGATCAAGTGCGATCCTTATTAAGGGAATCACAGGTTTGACGCTCGAGACAGGGTGATGTAGCGACGAAAGCTAGATTGTAGGGCAGGAATGCGACTTGGAGGCCCCGAAGGAACTGGGCTTGTAAGAATGAGAAAAGGATGTGGACCAAGCCCGGGTCGACAGGTCGTTTTTGCTGGGATACTCTCGGCCAGGTGGATCGACCGGTGCTTTTCTTTTTTTTTTCTCGAGGGAGGCGTCTTTGTTGCTTTTTTCGCCGTTCGATATGTCGAGCTCGTAGCAAACCAGCGTCGAGGAAACACGCAGGGACGTGCTGGTCAATTATTGGGGATCAAGCGCGCGATCTGATCAAGAACCAACGACCAAGGAAACGGAGCGACTAATGCAGCCCGCAAGGAGGTAATCCTGGAAAGGAGGTGCCACGGAAGTGAACTCCGTCTAATCCGGTAACCAAAAAGAAAACAATTGCGAGACTGGACGTATCGCAAGGGAGGATGGAACGCGGCCTGGTAGGTAACGTCACGGAGAGAGGCAGGTCGGGATAAAGACCGGAGGCGTGAGGGAATGGGCGCAAGTACGTAACGTAGGGGAGGCGGCGGAGAAAGGAGGTAACTAGATTGAAGAGGAGGTCTGGCAAGTAGGAGGGAGATTACTAGTTGAAAAGGGCGAGATCAATTGAATGACCAGGCAGGGAATGGGATGGATGGATTGAAGAATTTAACCAAGTAGAGAGACTTGAAGGGGCCCCATCACTTTGATATATAAGTAGCTCGGTTTAATCTTCACAATTCATTTCTACTGCCATTGCAATTATTTTGTTATTTAATTAACTGAATTGAGTTATTCTTTTGAAGATTGGGGGAAAGAGGATCTAACTATGGAGTAGCTAACCAGACAGTCAACTGAAAAATTGAAAATAAAAGCTTAAAAAATTAGAATGGCGAAAATCAGGCCAAATAAAAAAAGAATTGACTGAGAATCCCTGAAGAAATTCCAAAAAGCAGAACAAAAACAGCGAGAGATGCGTTAAACTGGCAGCAGCCGTGGCAGGAGAATCAAAAGGGTAAACACGGAGTACCCAAAAGAAAAGACAAATAAAATAAATAAAAATAGTAGAAAAGGTACCTACCCCAGCTGACGGGGCCAGAAAAGGCCAGAATTATCGGAGGAATAACAGTAACGACAATCAGTTAGTTGAGTGGGTAAGGAAGTTAGTGAGTTAACTTAGTGAGTTAATGAGTTAGTCAAATATGGAGAAAAAAAAAAGGAAACAGAAAATAACAGCAATAATGATTGATTCTCGAAACATAATACAGAACTTAGCAGCTCTGTTTACATACGAAGTGCTCAGTACTGTCGAGCATAGCTAGCTACTAGGAATAGGTACCGTAAGCGGCTCTCCCGTTCCCGAAGCTGTGGATGCGACACCATCTCTTCCTCTCCATTGCTTTCCTTCCTTCCCCCCTTTCTTCTCCTTTCCTTAGGGGTTCTATGCGCCCTTCCCCTCCCCCCCGGTCGCCAAACGTTCTGACGGCTTCTTGTGTCCCCATCCTTTCTGATGCCTCCAGTTGTGCCTGAATGGTTCATGCTCATACCCGATCACTCAATCCCTAACCCATGATCGATGTTTCGCCGACATGAGTCAGAAAATCCCGATGATGGCTGGTTCCAGACACGGGTTGTTTTCGGAAATTGGAAGGCGATTCATCACCTTGAAGGGCGAAAACAAGAAAAAGAAAAAAAAAAAACCCCCCCCCGTCTGATCTGTAACGGTAATCGATATCATCTTCATCCTCAGTGTGATTCGAGGTTCCAGAGCAAAGAAATCAAAGCAAGAAGCAACGAGGTATCAATCAGTCATGGTTCCATCATCCATCTGTTCGTCCGGTCGTAAGGAAAATGGATCTTGGGCCGTCATGAGACATGGAGTACCGTAGAAAGAGGAATGGTATCGGAGATCTAGCCACACCCACTATCGTCATCGCGCCTACCACCGCACCTTTCTGGTAAAAGCGAGGAAAGCCAGAGAGAAATTCTGAGATCTCCACTCAGAGGTGTATGTACCCTTTGAACCTACCAACCGGGTTCATCAGAGGTAGTGGTCAGAAGCTAGGGAAGTAGGAACCGACTTCTCGGGCAAGTGTGGTGCAAGTGGGTGGAGACGACAGCCGCTTAGAGGAACCCGCGGATGGATCCGCTGGGGCTTGTCTTCATGCTCGCTCGCGTGGTGTTTTGAGGAGGGGGAAAGAAGCGGAATCAGGGGCCCCTGGAACCCGGACGGATGGTCACGATTGCCAAATTGGTGATTCCCGGAAGCCCTAAGCCACCGTCCACCCTGTTGAAACGCTGTAGTATCCATTCCCATGTCTATGTCTTTCAAGTCACTGGACCTCCAGTTGAAGTGTGTTTCTCTGGCTAGCATGATGTAGAATATTACCACTCAAGCCCTCTCGTTGCTTTTTACTCCCATTCCTTCTTGGCTTGAATATGTTCTCCGTCACCGATGAGACCTGAATTTCAGACCGGGGGCTATCATTTGCCACTGTTT